AGAGGGTCCTGGCAAACCGGGACAAGCTGGTCACCCTAGAGAGCTCAGGGGTGAGGGACTCGCTACGAACTTTGACTTCAGCCGAATCTGGTGAAGTAGGAAAATGCCAGTCTTGTCAGGCTATCATGAGGCTGACGTGGACCCACATGGAGTGGCGAGCCATGCCTGCCTGGAGGGTCCTCTCACCAGCCCCCACCCCTCTGGCGGCAGCTGCCTTCCTCCACACCTCGCATCTCAGCTTTTATGTGTCTACATCTATCTCCTTCCCACATTCCCGGCTCAAATTACAACCAGCGTTTAAGTGGGTGGAAACACCTTTGGGTCCCCTTGTTTCTCAAAGCGCTGTTTCCTTCCTCGAGCAAGGACCCCAAAACTTGCCTAGGCGTTGGGCACCCTCTTTACCTCCGGGGTGATCTTAGTGCCTGTACACAACACACTCTGTCAGGTTTCTGGGCCTTTGCACAAATAGGGCTGTGCCTGTGGGCTCCCTCCTGGACAGGCCTGAGCAAAGAACAGGCCATGGAGCAGGTCTAGCTTTGGTGTCAGGATTAGTGGGGTGCCATGAACTGAGGGGTCTCACACCAACTGGAAATCACTGTTCTACAGAGTTCAGAAGGGCTGACCCAGCCGCGAATCTCCTCGTAATCCATCACACCACCTTGAAAACTGGAACCTTCATCTACCTATAAAACGCAGCATGGGGGGGTGAGGGGGGGGAGAGGGGCTGACCAGAGCACAGAGGACTTTGGGAGTAATGACACTACGCGTAGGATATTAAAATGGTCGACACAGGTCCTCACACGTTCTCCTCATCCATAGAATGTAGACGGCCAAGAGTAAGCCCTAAGGTCAACTATGGATTTGGGGTGATTTATATGTCCATGCGGGTCACTCCTGATTTTAAACAGCAGTGGCACTACAGTGTTTCTCAGCAGCGCAGGAGGTTGAGCATCCGCGGGACTAGGGCGCATAGACATCTCTGCACCTTCCTCTCAACTGTGTTACAAACCTAATACTGCTCTTTAAAAAAATCTTTAAACAAATAAAAAGAATAGATGATTTCTCAAGTTCCTTCTAGCCCCAGTGTCATATGATTCTGATTAAAATTATATGCCCATTAAGCAATTCAAAAGGAATTGTGTCTAGAAATGTGAACGCTAGCAGCCAGCCCGGGAGGAAGAGCACGTAAGGTGAGGACAGTCTGCCCCAGCGGGACGGCGGGCTGGGCGCGGCCACGAGACACGGGACACGGCCGCCGGGCCCGAGCAGGCTATACATTAGTCATGTCTGGAAATCCTCCTCTGGATACTGTCAGCCAGCAGGGCTCGCCACCGCCACTTGTTGAGATGAAGGACGTATTGATCCAGAAAAAGCTAGCCAGCATCGCTTTATTTGCTCAACAGCAATGACTTTTTCCAGGGAGGAAAGCCCATATAAAACTATTGGAGACAGAATTCTGGATCAAGTCAGGCCCCAACGTGATACCTTGAAATTACCCATTATAAACAATATCCATTATGCAAAATGACATGGGACCTAATGGGTCTCCAGTATGAAAAGCGGAAACATAATATCCCCCAAAACTCAAATCTTTGAGAGACTCGGGAGAACAAAGACAAGGTTCCCTGCATCTGCCCTCCCCTCCTCCAGCACCACCCACTTGACGAACAGAGGGGAGAGGAGGCTTTGATCGCGGCTACCCTGGCACAGGTTGCACCAGACTTACTCCTGGGCCAGGTGTCCGCAAACACTGTTCCTGTCCTCAGGGCTCCCGGCGTGGTCGGGGGAGACAAACACCCAGGAAATGATCACACAGCTCGCGCTGAGCTGGTCCAGACAGTGGTTCTCAAACACAGGTGCGCACCAAATCTCCTAGAGGACTCGCGAACTTAGACAGCTGGGTCCCGGGGTTGGTGATGCCCAAAGGTAGAATTTCTAGCAAATTCCCAGGTGATGCTGCTGCTGCAGGTCCAGAGACCACACTCAAGTAAAGCAGCAGAGCACACCTGGGGAGTCCAGCTGAGGGCTGCAGCTGCAACAGACCTTTCGGTCCCATCCATGCTGCTCCCCGGGGGCACACGCCAAGGCCACGGTGCTCCGTCTACACCACCATGGAAAACGAGACTGAGGAGAGTTGGGCTGGCACAGGCAGAAAAGGGTTAGAGGACATTGTTGGGACTTGAATGGACAAGGTTTTAATAAATGGGGAGAGCGTCCCGGGAGAGGACAAGCATGTGGGCAGAGGCAGGGAGGTGAGGTGAGCATCACAGGGGCAGACACAACACTGACCACTGGCACGTGCTGCCCTCGGCGGAGATGGATACGTGGGATCTGCATGCAGGCACCTCGCTCCATGTGTGCTCCTCCCCATATTGCCCACGCAAGAGGCCGCTGGGGTTCCATGATGTCCACGTGCAGCTGCTCTTCATAAGGGAAACCTCTGTCACTCTGAGTCCCACTGACCACTCCCAGCCGCCTGGGCCAACTTTGATGGCACCCGCCGGCTTGCTCTGCGGGCTTGTTGCTTGGCAGCCTCTAGTGACTCCCCCGCTTGTTTTCAGAGAAAGCCAGACAAGCCCCAGGCGCGGGTAGGTGAGTGTTTCCAAGGCACCCCCGGGGCTGAGCACACGGCAGCTGGCAGCCCGGGCACAGCGTTGCATGTTGCGGGGCGCTCAGTCCTGGGCGCCCCCTCACTCGGGGTCATAGCCCAATACCGACATAAGAGTCTCCCATTCCCTGCCCGCCCCACTTGTGGAAACCTTGACAGACTTGTAACAAAGTGATCACCCCTTTGTTCACAGAGCTGCACTTATGAGTGTGAGGACCCAAGGCACATGCCTGAAAGGCCTGTCATTTGGGAGTTGAACCCCTAGCCTGGGACTGTCGCCGTTTCCCAGGACTGCCACGGCAAGGTCCTACAAGCTCACTGGCTAAGAACAGACACGTTCTCAGTTCTGAGGACCACAAGGCTGAACTCAAGGTGTGTGCTGGCCACGTTCCCTCCAAAGCCTCTTGGAAGGATCCTTCCTTGCCTCCTCCAACTTCTGGAAACCCCAGTTCCTCTGCTGGAGGGTGTTCCAATCTCTGCTCCATCATTGCAGATTCTCTTTGTCCACATTCCCTTCTTGTAAGGACACCAGTCGCACTGGAGGGGAGAGCCCCTTCTCTTAGCCTGACCTTATCTTAACTAATTACATCCAATTATACCCTATTCCTGCACAGGACCGCATTCTGAGGCACCTGGAGTTAAGACACCATCTCTTACAGGAGAGTCAACCTACAAAAGGTGCCTGTTATGAAACCAGATTAAAACTCAAAGTCTGAACTTGCCTTCGTCTTTCACAGGGTTTTCTTCCTCTAAATTAAACTATAACAATGAATTGTTTAAATAAAAAGAAAACATGACTATTAGGTGTAGTCTTAAGAACAGAACAATTGAAAAACAAAAGACCAAAAACTTGTCCCTGAAAAACACACACCCACCCCTAACAGCCAGTGGTGAATCTGCAAAATCTAAACAGCACCTCTATTAGCAGCTTTGATAGTACCGCACATTTGGGGCCCTCTGCAGGCCAGCTCTGCTGGAGGTATTGACACAGCAGGGAGCAAAACAAACAAAATCCCTGCCCTCATGTGGCTTCCCTTCCTGTGAGGAGAAGGCAGGCGGACAAGACACACCTCCTACCTCCAAGGGGAGACAAGTGAGAGAAGCAGGCTCAGGATTTGTATGTTTAAACAGAGTGGTCAAGGCAGGACTAGGACGAGGCAGAAGGACAGACAAGCAAAGGCCTGAAAGGGGAGGGCCCAGCCTGGGGTGAAGGGTACAGGGTGGGAGCAGCATACACAGAGCAGCATACACAGCGAGAGCCTGCTTCTTCCTGGGGAGAAGCTACTGGGGGCGTTCACTCTGGGGCTGTGCTGAAAGTGTCTTTGGGGGTGAGGGCCAAGGCAGGGAGGCCTGCCAAAAGTAGGGGTGGCATCTCGGCACGGGGTGAAAGCAGAGGAGGTGGACGTGACTGAACACCGGCTCCTTGCTGAGAGTACAGCCCACAATGGACTCAGAGAACCCCTGGGTGGAAGGGAGGAATCTTGCTGGAGAATTGGGGAGAGTGGAGGCCTGGTCCTGGGGGGTGGGGGGGGGCCTGAGAGTTCAGTTTGGGACCAGTTCAGTTGGCGCTGTCAATTCTGTGATCTTAAAGAGAGGCCTCTAATGATGTGGAACTAGGTTCAAACAAACATGGTGCCGGAAGGATCTGCTCAGAGGTACTCCTGGTACTAACCGGTGAAAAAGGCCTCCAAGGCAGGGCCACAAAGGTGGAGACTAAAAGGAAACCTTAATTTTTCAAAGATGTGACTAGCTGGAAAGGGTAAGTGGGCCTTTAACCCTTTGTTTCTAGTCATTCTGGTTAAAAGTGGTTTCCTCTGGAGGAGGGTGCAAGTGAGAGGGTCCTGCTTGTCATATGTACCTCCTGAGCTGTTTTAATTTTTATTACCATATGCATGGGTTAATTTTATAGCAAAAAATTGGCAAGCATTTTTAATATGGCCTTAAAAATCATGAGTCTAAGGAGAATGAAGTAGATTTCTATGTTCTTAGTTGAAGCAAGTCCAAGCTAATAAATGGTCAAAGTTATCAGTAAAGACACACACAGCACAGTTCCATGCACGTACTTGCACGTGAGTCTGCGTATTAGTACGGAGAGGAGCCTGGGCTGGGGACTTCACAGTGGTTGCCCCCCTGGAAAGAGTGGGAAGGGCCTTAACAGGCGGACTATCTTTTTGATGATGAATTCTTCTGAAATTCTCTCCTACTTTTAAAAGGAGCATTTAATGTGTTTTAGGAAGCTCTTCCTACAGTTTGTTCATCCAGAGGTCAACTAAACCTTCACAATGTCCAAACGAAAATTTTTAATATTTTAAAATAGGCACTAGAAATTTTTCAGTCCACACCCTCATTTCTGTATTAACTTTAGAAACTACAAAATGACAAACTTTGTAAATGTTGTCTTTGTTTTTTTATAACAGATGTGTCAAAACACAAATTTTTAAAAGGTAAGCACGACTCTCCTAACAGTACAGATGGAACATACAAATGTCCATTTAACACATGAATGACAGACCCTCCGGGATGATAAAGGGCATGTGAGAAATTGAGCATTTATGGGCAATAAAGAATTTGGGAATATTACTAAGTTACAATCGAAACTGGTTAACCTTGAAGGTTATTTTTTCTATCAGAAAATCATTTGCATCTTCTCTGGACAAAAAATTACAAACAACATACTACCACCTCGAGTTTGGACCTTACTCAAGAGACTAGAGAAAGTCACAGACAGACCCAGGGCTAGAGAATTAACAGTCCTGGGTGGGTCTGTGCTCAGTATGATCTTGAAAGAATAAGCAATCCCCCTGTTGCCTTATTTCTAAATGTTGGATACTTTTTATTAACATAAGATACAAATTTACATATCGGCAGCAATGACTTTCAATTTTCCAAATCCGGTTTGGTCTAAATATTAATCTGCTTTTCACCATCGCTCGTGTCTGTTTTCAATCAGGAAGGAAAATTACCAAGAAGCAGTTCTGAAATTGCAATCACGTTCCATTATAAAAACTAAATATATTGTAATATTGTTTTGATATTCACCTTAATGGGTACTAAAACATTTTATGAGCAACTTAAGTTATGTATCAGGACCAAAGGGGGAAAAAGGCCATTTCTGCTGTGAGATGAACTGTACACTTTAAATGGGGCAACTGTGTATGTGAATTCTATTTCAATCAAGCAGGTCTGTAATAGTATAGAGAGAAGAAAAAAAAAAAACGAGTTTAGTAAGTATTCATGCCACTGGTTTATGGAATTGTTAAAAATTTGTCATTTCAGGTTGCTATCATTTATACAAGCCTGTTTTTATTGATCAATTGATGTGTTTTCCTATCTGTGAAATGTATTGATTTTATCATCTTTCCAATTAAAACAGGCTTTTTCTATGTAATGCCTTTTTACTTAGAAGCATTTTCAGGGATAAATTAAAATTGCTAAGCGAGAGAGGTTTAATTATTTGAAGCATGGAGCTAAATTTTTATGGGAGTCTAGACCTGGCAGAGATTAAAGATACTGAGACCCGTATCAGTGTAAATGCTGAGCTGATGCACCTTGAGCGGCAGGGTTAAGGTCTATCATGCCCACTGAGAAAGACTTGGGCCTGCAAAGTGGCTGGAGCCAAGGTTATGGACAGGGCTTGGAGGTAGGACCCATTGAAGGACGGGGAAACACGCACACGCACATACAAAGGAAAAAAAATAAATAGATAAGGACTGAAAGCTCACTTGGACATTTCACTTGCTAATCCACAAGCTGGACCACAGTTTGCTTTCACATATTAAGTCCACAGGCTTGATTCAGTTACAGATTGCAGAACAACATAAACTAGAGTTAAGAGTGATTTTCTGAGCTCAAAAGTAATTGAAATCCATTTATTTTCTTATCTTTATAATAATCCACAATTTCCTGCCTTATTTTTGCAGAATAAAATTGGAAAACAATATAACTTGGGTCAGTAGCTAGCAGACGACGGGAGAAGTTCAACAAGCGCTGCAATATGGGAAATGTGAACAATCACAAATACAAAAGACCTCTATGAAAGGCACAAACAAATGTAAAGGGTATTTAGAATCTGAATGTGTAATGTCTAACATGCTGAGGAAGCTAAATGAGAAAAATATATTGTTCTTCAGTCATTTCCAGTAAGCCAGGAGCAGAGAGAAAGCAGTACGGGCTTCCTATGGCAAAGGCTGATTCTGGCCTTCAGTGAGTTTTTGGTTTTGGTTTTTTTTCTGATAAAGAATAGAGAAATGTTGAATAAAATCCAACAAACCAAATGAAACTTTTAGCAAGTTCTTTTTTCATACCACATGTAATCCCAGTCAAGAGTAAAGAATAGAGGATTTAAGCCAAGAGAAAATAAAGTTATCGAAGCATTAAGTATTTGATTTTCTGGATAAAAATGGCTTTAAGCCCTCCCCCAAGGTCTAGGACTTTGCTTTAAAAAAAAAAAAAAAGTTTTCCTAAGAGAGATTTTTCTACATTTTAATGCAACTTTATAAATTCTTTTAAAACATTTCCAAGGAATGGAAAGAGAAGTCAGACTGGAAAATGTGAATAACCCCAGAAATAAAGACCCTCAGTTCCTTTCAAATTTCATTTCCTTTCCCTTTTCATTCACCTGCAGCCCAAATTCACCATGTATTTTGCCAGATATTATGAACTACAAAATCGGCAATTATTACCTCTCTACTTCATGAGATCACTTAACCTCCAGTGAAACCTTTTTAAGGCTGATGGTGGCGACCGCCTGTTACTCTGCGCCTGCTCAGGAGATGCTGGGCAAACACACTTTTATTTCTCCCGATGAGAGCAATTTCCACCCCAGCACCGTATTTGCCCAGCAATAATAGACTAGTTTGGGAGATCTCAAAATGCAAGATCTGTATCTCCAAAGACAAACCTCAATAATAAAAACCAAAAAATATACACAAGACATGTCTGGCTTTGGCAGTGCCCCTTATAGTCCTTCCCAGGTATTGACAGCTTCATCCTAGCCTAACTGTTTGCTGGCAGCACCCAAATAAAACAAATTATTTTTTAAGCCTTACATGTTACTAAGTGTATGTCAATAGTTCCTCACCTCCCTATCAAACCCTACTCCATCCCCACAAGAATGTGAACAGCACTTGGCTTACAGTAAATGTCAATGATGATAACCAGTGTCATCCAGTGACAGAAATCTATCTTCAATATTTAAATCTTAACCTATCTTATCACTGATTTCAAGAGAAAATCTAGTGAAGGATGAAATTTTTCAAAGTGCTCTCATGTAGGACATATGTTTTTTGTTCTTAAGCCAAATGTTATGCCTCTATCATCTAGCTATATAAAGTGGCTTTGCAAGGCAAAATTCACAGGGGAGAAAATGGGCAGGGGACTAGTCTATATTAAAAGAACTCAAAGACATATAACAAAACACAGTAAAACTTGATGGAATCCAGATCCAGAAATAAACATCTAAACAAGACATTTTGGAAACAACTAGGAAAATCTAAGCATAGACTGAATATGGATGATAATACAGAATTATGAATCTAATAAATACTATGATGGCTCTGTGGTGAGAAAGGAGGGTGGTTCATAAGGAAATTCAGGCAGAAGTATTTAGGGTGAGTACTGTGATATCTGCAACTTATTTTCAAGTGGCTCAATAAAAATTTATATATTAAAGGCAAATGGGGCACAATGTTAACAACTGGTAAATCAAAGTGAAGAGTTTACAGATGTGTTCTACTTCAGCTTTTAGGCAGATATAAAATGTTTTTACTGAAAAATTAAGAATAAAAAGGTATCAAAAATGGTTTTACTGGAAAAATACCACACATTTCTTTAAATATTTTACTGTAACAATATACAATTACACATCAGTATTTATCTTTTATAAAAAGCATACATATTCAACATAGTTTCTCAATCTGAAATTAGCTACCTTAAACACATTATTTAAGTGCTAATGCATGAACCACTTTAGTGTACTCATCTTAAATATAAATCAGAATAGCTCAATACCTACTTCAAATTAGAGAATCAAATGCCGAGTGTAAGGATCATGACAGGATTGTTCAATTAAGTTTAAATTTTCAATAATTTGTTTCAATAATTTCTTCTTTGTTTTTCTTCTTTGTCTAGAATAGTCTGTTTTAAACTCACAATAGCATCTTGAAATCCAGGATTTAAGTCTAATACCTTCTTGAAATCTTCCAAAGCATCATCAAAACATCCTGTATCAAAACCCAAAAAACAGAAGAGAAAAAAGGTGAGTATTTCTATAATTTATTCATAGCAAAGTCTGATACACATACTTTTGCCTTTATGTTTGCAAACTTTCAACCAGCCCAAGTAAAGGCAGTTTACATTGAAGTCACTTTGCTTGTCTTATGGAATAATATTAAAACTAGCTGTGAATTTCTTTGAGAATTTTAATATGAATATCTAAAATTTCAACAAAACTGTATCACATTTAACATAATTACACTGAAATTAGAAAACAAAATTATTTTCTTTTTAACACTATAAATGACAAACAGTACCTACAATTCCTTTCATCCAAGGATCGAAAAGCTGTTTATATAGTCTCATGTGCCTTCAAAGATTTCAATTGAGGAAAGGTTTACAGGTGATCATCAGCATTACCCTCATTTCACAGCTGGGGATGCACAGGCACCAAGTAATCGGGTCACCCCCACTCGAGCGCCCAGGTCCAATTCCCACCCCAGTGCTCTCTCCGGTCTATAATGCCTGTGGAAAGCCTAAAATAAACTCAGGTACTCTCCCTTTGTTCCAGGCTCAAAACCCAAATTTCACATAACTTTACAAGGTGATTACTACATTCCTTTTACAGCTTTTGGGAGTTCTGAATTAATAAACTACAGTCAAGGACAAAAAGGGAAATATTTTTCTTACCCAGCCTGTACAATATCAACCCTCTGTTGTAATACGGAACTTCAAAACTGGGCTGGACTTCTATGGCAGACGTGTAGTCATCCATGGCTTCATAAAAGTCCACCCTCAAGTACTTGATTTGCCCCCTGTTGTTATATGCAGTGGCCAAATCCTCGGGGCTGCATTTGCTTTAAACAAAAAGTTCACATTAAAAACACCCGATACCAAATTCCTCTCATTTCCACTTTTATTCTCTTTTGGGTATTGTCAAACCACAGCCTCACAACGTGCTGGACGGACAACAAAAAAGCAAGCTAAAGACACAGGGCAAAGCAAGCAAGCAGTGGGAGCAATGTTTGTTCAAAGTCATTAACTGCTTTTGCAGGGTTACAGCATTACAACGTCAATCTGAAGAGGATATTAATTTTAGAGCTCAGTTAAAGCCCCTGTTTTACTGAATATATCAAAATCACTGCTCATTTTCTAAGCACACACCCAGGGCACAGCAGACAAATCAGATACCTGCTGAGCAAGGAGGGAAAGTCAGACCAAAGTTCAAGTGTGCTATGAACAGGTCGCCAAGTGAGTAATGAGCGCTTTTTTTTTTAAAGATAGATTTATTTATTTGTTTGTTTGTTTGTTTGTTTATTTATACAAGCACCGGGTACAGTCAGAATCATGGGAGGGTGAGAGAATTCACCAGAGCCAGAGCAGGGAGCAGAACAGGCAAACTGATGAAATACACTGCTGAGGGGAGCAGTGGGGCGGCAGGAGAGGTCTGTCGCGCCATGTGGGACCCTTGCTGGCGGCAGGGAATCGAACTGGCGCTGCAGAGGCTGCGGGCAGCCTTGCAACCCAGCGCTCAACCACTGAGCCACCGGGGAGGCCCTAATGAGCACATTTTAAACCATCTCAAAACAATGAGATTTGAAATCTTTTCCCAGCAATAAAGAAATGTAAGTTAACCTTGAGCACAAATTGAACACACAGTTCCCCAGGGGCTGTTCCAGGGACAGAGCTGCCCTCCATCCAAGTCTTAGCTTGGATCCTCCCCAAGACCACGTGGAATTCCTGCTCTGGGGGCATCAAGGCTCCACTTTGGGGGCCCTGCAGGCAGAGTCAGCTCTATATCTGTGGATTCCAGAAGCTGCCCGAGGAGTCTAACACAAGCAGGGACTGGATGCCCAGGCAGCTATGACCAGCCACCAGCTGAAGGGACCACAGCACTCCCCCTCTCACTCTCGCCCCCAGCCCCTGCTGGACAATCATTAGCACCAAAAATATTAAAGGGCTTTGGCCAGGCTCAGAGACCATTCTGGTTTCCTTTCCTTCTTTCCAAAAGGTTTCTCAAATTTGAACCAAACAGGGAAAATGTAAGTTAACCTCAGCTGTCATTTCTTTTTATCCCATAGTGTGAAGTACAGTTCTCAGAAAATATTCACGACTACATTCAGTGTTATTAAAAGTTACTTCTCTGAATATCTTGATCCTTGCCTCTCAGGGACTTTAAGTACAGTTGCCTTAAGAGGTACTCACAGCACACAGGGCCCTTCAAATCCAGGTTTGCTAACCATGGAGAGGAGCCACTGCAGGTGCAGGAAAAGCCTGTTTCTGCGGCCTGTAACGGAGACTGGGACAAGGAGACTTTCGAAGCCCAGGGGAGCAAGAGGGGACAGACGCTCCCTTCACCTCACACTGTTATAATACGGGTTGATCGGCGCCCCAGTTGAGTTTTAAGAAAAACGCGGCCTGGGGACTCTAAGTAAGATTTTAGTTACTGAATTTCTAAGTTTCAAAACCTTGTTATAAATTTCTTACATTCTGAGGATCACAAAATGCTTGATTTAGAATTAGGTCTCATTACAATAAATTCTAAAGGCCTACTTTTCTTGTGGAAATTGTTTCATATTTTAAAGACATGGACTAACAGTTGAAACCAACTTTTTTTTTTTTTTTTTGGTAACTTTGAGATTTTTGTAGTATTATTTATTGTAAGGAGATTTAGCCAAGTTACCTAATTCAAATGTGGATTTTTAGCATTTGTTCACTTTAGCAAAAAAAAAAATTTCTGGAACTCAGGTTTATAGCAAAGGCTATGTTTTTGGATATTAGAAAAAAATACTACAAGCCAGAGGGAAGGGCATTCAAAGGCTACAAATACTATTTCAAAATGATTCAATGACCCTCCATTTCAAATATAAATTAAAACTCTCAAAAATGTGTTTAAAGAAAAGATTGAAATGAGAATTCCTAGAATTGTGAAATGTGAATTCCTAGAATTCAGAGCTGTAAGAAAACTGAAGATTTTACAGCTGAGAATGAGGCTGAGTGGGTGTGAGCCATGTGAGGAATAGCAGTGGCCTCAGGTTGCTGAGCCCCCTTCTACTCCACCAGGGCAGCTTTCCTTCCGGGTGCTGGGAGGGGGGCCTGACAATGCTACACACACTGTGCTCCAAGGTGTGCAAAGGGGTGGCACCACACTGGCCTGCGGCAGTGTACCTCCTGCTGATGCATGTGCTTGAAACCTACTCCTACTAGATGTCTATTCCTGGAACTTGAACCAAGTATACGAAACTACCTTTCTATGTTTACATTACACTTTTCTGGGGAGGGGGATCGAGCTGGGGCAGGAAGAGAAGGGAGTGGGTATCACTGCCTCTTCACAAATTTCTATTCACTATGTATTACTGAAACAAAAAAGCAGTTTTATTTTTCTGGTTGAACTCCACCAGACCTTAACAAACAGGATACAAACCTCAGGCCCCCTAACAAAAAACAATTGCAATGCTGTCCCGAAAAATAGATGAGTAAAAGCTTTGAGGGGGGGTGGGTGGAGCAGACAACTCAAGCCAAGAAGCTGTTCATCTAACCCTTTTCTGTTCTTTTCGTGTCGCAGCCTGGGAGACTCCACGCCATCAACAAGAACGACAAAGGCAAAACCTGGGATAACAACAAATGCCGCACATCCAGGTATAAGCCCAAGAGGCTTTGGGCGAGTAGCTCCTAGCAAGGGAGGCTAATAACGTCACAGAGAGAAACAGGGTCGTCACCGGCTCTCTGGGGGCGTCTACACACCACACACAACGCCTCCGGCCCTGACACTGGGTTTGACGTGGATCAAACCTCAAGACTGAATCACCAGCTCAAAATGCAGGAGATCCTATTAAATGACATGGGGGAAGGGGTAGGAAACACTCAGCAAATCCGAAATAGGGGAAATGCGCCCGAGGACACCCGACGGCTTCCTCAACGACTAAAGTGCAGAGACACAAAAGAGGGGGCGCCCTTCAAGGCTGAGATCCGCGCCCAAACGCACCAGCCCCACAGCGAAACAAACACCTCCCGGCCAGGAAGCTCCACGCCCTCGGGCCCCGACGCCCCCCGGGTCTGCGGCCTCTGACGTCTGCTCACGTCAGAGGGAAACCCCGGCGGTACTTCACCTAGTGGGACGCCGCAGAGGCCGCGCCGAGCTTCCGAGACCCCCTCCTATCTAGGGGCGCCTTCTGAGACCCCGAAAGCTCAGCACGAGCGACGGCTCCCAGGGGGCGCCCCTCTCTCCCCAGACTGAGACTCACGTGCTCAGCGACACGCGACGCCCCGCTGGGCGGCGATCTCGGGGCGAGCGGGAGGTCCGGCCCGGCCCGGCCCGGCCCCCCGACCCGAGCGCCCGGCCCCCCACCCCGTCCGCGCGTCGCGCGACGCTCACCCGCCGGGGCCCCCCGCCGCGGCCGCGCAGGCGCACTGGCGGATGTACGCGGAGAACAGCGCCTCGGCCGCCGCGTAGTCGCCCTGCTGGAAGCGCGCCTGGGCGCGCGCGAGGGTGGCCCGGCCCTCCGGCCCCTGCGGCCCGTCCATCGCCCGACGCCGAGCCCGGGGCACCAGGCCCGGCCTCCGAGGGGCGGAGCGGCCCCGCCGAGCCCCTTCCGCCCCGCGCCCGCGAGCGCCGTCGTCTCGCGAGACCTGGGGGCGGGGGGGCGCGTCGCAGCCGCCACGGACGGACTCGCCCCGCGTCTCAGGAGGCGACAACCCGAATAGTCGGCCCCCGAGTCTGCGGCCCGATGTCGCGCGGAACCGGCCTCCGTTACCCCGAGTGGGGGCGGGGGGGGCGGGAAGGGCCGGGGGGGGCGGGAAGGGCTGGGGGGGGCGGGAAGGGCCGGGGGGGGCGGGGGGGGGGGGCGGGAAGGGCCGGGGGGGGGGCCGGGCTGCCCCGGAAGCGGAAGGCCCCGGGGCTGGCGAACGGCCGCGCGGGAGTTTACCAGGTGGTGAGTTAAATTCAAGGAAAAGTTGCGTAAGGTGAGCAGTCCGGAGAGGGGTCGAGAGGACCAGCCCATCACAGCAGGAGGGGGAGGGATAAGGTCCCTGGATTTAGCCGAGGAGGTGAGAGGCCTGCGCGGGGACGGCCGAGCTGCCTGCGGTGAGACAGTCGTGGGGCCCTCTCGGAAGCCCAGTGATGTTTTTACAGAAATAGAAAAAAAATCTATCCTAAAATTCATACGGAATTTCAAGGGATCCCATATAGCCAAAAAAATCTTGAAGAAGAACAAGGCTGGAGGAGTCACATTTCCTGATTTGAAAACTTAGAACAAAGCCACGGTAACCAAACGTGAATTAGCATAAAGACATTATTTTCAATAACTAGTACTGGGAAAACTGGTGTCCGCATGGAAAATAAGTTGGACCCCTACCTAATGTAAAATTTTTGACTCAAAGTGAATTAAAGTTCTGAATGTAAGAGCGAGCTATGTAAAATTCTTAGCAGAAAGCGCTGGGTTGCGAAGCTACAAGGCACGCTTCAGACATTGGATTTGGCAGCAAAAACAAATTAAAGCATGCCTCTTGCATGTAACAGCAATTTCCACCAAATGCAAGAGCAACAAAAGAAAAATAAAGAAGTTGGACTCCATAAAAATTAACAAGTATGCAGCAAAGACTAGTAAAAGAGTAAAAAGACAATCCAAAGAAAGTAGCTGTAACTCATGTTTCGGATGAGGGTAGGAAATGGAGTGATGGAGGCTCTGCGGGGCAGGCTGGGCTGATACCCATGGAAGGAATTCTGTATAGTGTTCCCATCACACTTGAGAAGCTCTGCTCTGCAGGACGCTGGCGAGCCCTGCCCAGCAAGTGAGGTGTTGGCGCCACGCCCAGTGGCTGTCCCTCGCTGACTCTTCAGCTCATCTTCCACAGGGTCCACCTACACTTGGTGCTCTGCCTGCATGGTGGTCTCTTCAAGGCTTTCCTCCACCTGCTTACCCAGAAACACGTGCAACAAGATAATCTGCCAAATGTATTTGCTTGCTTGTAACCCCCTGATGTCAATGGCCAAAAGAAGTATGGCCGCACCAGCAACCCGTACCCCAAGAAGAAAATCAAATAGGCTCCTCCTTCTCCCATAGGGTTGCCTCCTGCCTGAACCCCACAATCCTGCTGTAGTAAAGCTTCCCTTTTACTGACTGGAGCAGTAAATATATAGGTATTTACACATACATAATATACATACATACGTATTTTTACATATAAGTATTTTCTTAATTTTCCCGAGAAAACTTCTAAAATTCAATTTTCGAGAGTGTTATTTGCATTTCCACCAGCATGTAAGAGGGTTCAGTTGTTCCACAGCCTCAACAACACTGGTCAGTTTAAATTTTAGCTGTTAATTTTCAGCGTATAGAGGTATCATTTCTCTAAGTTCCTTTATATTTTACCAGCTAGAAATTTAAACCATGCTGAGTAAGAAATGAGCAATTAAATAAAATAATAACTAAGTCTCTTAATGTCTCTTAATTTTAGAGAAATCTCAAGAGCAAATAACTTGCTATGAAAATTTAGAGTGCAGTAATTTCATGTTTCACCTTAGTTTTTTCTTTTAAAATCAACTAAAATAAATTCTAATAAATCTTTTATTATCAAGATTATGTCTTTAACTGTCTTATCTATACTGTTTATTTTTTTAATTTCCTAACATGAATATGTGACTTTTATACTAAGAAAATAAACGTTAATTTCTTTTAAAAATGAATTGAGTAGGGCCTCCCTGGTGGTGCAAGGGATTAAGACACAACCTATGAAGCTATCCGCAGCCACTGCAGCATGAGTTCAATCCCCAGTCAGGGAGCTACCCACATGGCCACAGACCATGTGGGAGCTACCCAAGACTTCTGTCTTGCCCGCTGCTCCCCTCAGCAGTGTATTTCTGCCAATCTGCCTGTTTTGCTCCCCACTCTGTCTCTGGTGAATCCTCTTACCCTCCACACCTCTGGCCTGTACCCCAGATCTTGTATGCATAAATAAACAAATCTTTAAAAAAAAAAAAAATAATGAATTGAGTAAATAATTGTAAGAATAGACAGCAGGGGGCAACATAATACATTGCTATTTTCATTTTAGAAAATAACAGTCTCTCAAAGCTGTAAAGTGATCAAATTAACTACCTCTGATTTTTTTTTTTTAAGATTTATTTATTTATACAAGCACTGGGTACAGTCAGAAGCGCGGGAGGGTGAGAGAATTCGCCAGAGCCAGAGCGGGGAACAGAGCAGGCAGAATGATGAAATACACTGCTGAGGGGAGCAGCGGGGCGGCAGGAGAGGTCTGTCGCGCCATGTGGGACCCTCGCTGGAGCTGCAGAGGCTGTGGGCAGCTTCGCAGCCCAACGCGCTCAACTGCTGCGCCACCAGGGGAGGCCCTACCTCTGATTTTCTTTTAAAAGTCTGGTAATAAAATTTCCCCCACTTTTAAAATGAGAACTCTCTGTGACCACAGGGAGTAATGCACTGGACCTCCAATTTTCTGGCATTTGCCTAATGTCTTTCTAAGTTGTTTTTCCTGTGGATAGGAACCCCCAGACCCTTTTGAACCCCCAGACCCTTTCTACACTCTGGAGTCCAACACCCTCCCTAATCAGGCCCCACCAAAATACTTAAATCAAAACAAGTACCATGTTATCCATAAGTAATATAGGAGAAACAGGAGAAATACCGGTCATTTTTATTTCAATATTTATTATTTTCAGGTTATTTTTGTTTTTTCATTTAATGCCACATAAATACCTAAGATCTAGGCCTTTGGAATACAAAAATATAATTTCAAGGTGTATTTTAACAAAAAAAAATAACTGTAAATTAGCATTTGTGCATAAAGAGGCGATATATGTTGTCTGTCAGGCACATTGCCATCGATAGAGCCTATCTGCCAGTCCCAGCTTCTCAATACTTCTGTCCACCACACTACTTTGAAACGTAACTTAATTCAGGCCAAGTTTTATGATAAAAGGTCACTCAGTATTATTTAAAGGGAGCCAGTTCATGTTTATTATAAGAAGTGTTTCATTAATTATACTGTCCCCAACATACTGCCTCATTCTATCCAATTTCTCACAACTACTTGTTATATATTGCCATGTGTGTTTCTCCTTTGCCCCTTTCTGCAGGAGAAGAATTTGTTGGTGGTGTTATCCTGAAATTTGCCTCTTTATGAAGAAAATCAGCTAGATCAACTAATACTGTAGACCTTTCTCTAGTCGATTTTCTAGCAAAACAAAGGTCAGATCACTAAAACTTTAGGACAGATCACTAAAACTTTTTCAGATGTAAATCCCAGCCATAAGATTTTACAATAGCAGAAAAGATGCATCTGTATACATCTGTGTATGTGTATATTCATGAGTGTATGTGTATATACACACATATATGTGATAATTAGGTCTACAGGTATGAGAGGTTGTTTTCAGAGATTTTGGTTTTTGTTTTAACCAAAACAAGCAGAGAAGGCAACCCAAGATATATCTGAAATAGTCACTGGAGGAAAAATCTAGGGCTCATGCAGCATGAAATGGCAAATGAGAAAATGCCAAAGGAGAATTCCCAAAAGATGCGTTAGAAGGCTGGAGGAGACAAAAACTGATTTTGGAATGGAAGTAAATGGGAGTTGTTAAAAAGTAAATTAACAACTCATAGTAAGGGTTAGACAGATGACAATTTGAGTTCTCAGCTAGTTCCCAGGATGGGAAAGGAAAAAGCAGAGGAGAGAGATTCAGGCAGCAGGTCAGGACGGGGAAGCACAACTCTGAACATACGCCCTGCAGACAACCCACCTCCCTAACAGTTCTCTTTTGCTGATGAAGCAGAAAATAGTTTCATTCTTACAAAGAAAAAGTCTTATAGAAAGATGTAGTTAAATTCAACAGGAGATGTATTCCTTAGGATGTATTCTCTGTGTTCAGAACAAATTAGAGAGAACAAATTAGATAAAATTCATTGTTAAACTTCAGTAAGTTAACTGACAAGACGCGTTAGGCAAAATAAACAGGGTGTCTATATGTGACCATACCTGAAACTGATGAGGCACAAAAAATATAACAGTCACTAAATATTCATGAACACTAAGGATGAGCTCTATAAAGCAGTCAATATGTGTAAGGTCTGTATTCAATTTACCATTGGTGACAAAAATTCTTCCACCCGAGAAATACAATCAAGCCCACAACTGCTCCTTGGGCTAAGTGGACCCTCTAGCCCTCAGTGGGTATGCTTGCCTCAGGCCTCTTCCACAGAGCAAGTGGGCATCCCTGGTCTCGGTGCATTCCATCTGACTGGGTCCCCTGCCTCAAATTTCAGCTCTGGTCCTCTTAATAGCCCCACTATCAGGGAAGCTGATGAGGCAGGTGACAGGCAGGACATGACATCAGTACATAACTCAGGGCTCAGGAACTGGGACCGCTGTGGCCCACTGGCACACCACCTGACAGTGTCCACCCACCTCATCGCTGTCTCCTTGCTCCTTACTCTGTACTTCACATTGATTTGAGATTTTCATGCAGTCTATAATTCTTTCTGTCCCCAGACCTCTGAAAGGAAGGGCTTGCCTGGAATGTATTTGGAGGCTCCACGGTATCACAGTAACTTCCCACAAGGCACAGGAACACAGAGATTTCTACAACTTCTGGCCTTTTATTTAGGCACATGAGCCCACTATCTTTCCTAAGATCATCTCAGCTCTAACCTCTTGTCAGAGTTCACTCTTCTCAATCTTTAACATGCTTAACTTGTCTCTAAAGGAACAAAAACACACCAAAGTAAGAGACTGAACTAACTAACCTAAGCATCTAATTCCAATAACAATGATACACAGTTCTCTTTATTCATTGTCTCTAGGAAACTTAAGTCAAACTTCAGCTAATTATTTTGATGAATTCATGCTAGAGTTTTGTCCATAGCCACAAAATTAAAAGACAAAGAGTCATGCTAAATGGAGAACATCATTAACAATATAAAACAGGTAATAAATTACCCATGATGGATAAAAATTTTTTAATGAATGATAAGTCTTTTTAAATTAATGATAATTAGTGATACAGATGTGCATCAAGAAAGAATCACTCACCACGACCCAAGAGCTAATTAAAGGGTCCAACTTCATGACAGTGTTTCAACTGGAACTATTACTGCAAAATGCATGTTCTGTATGAATTTATATTTATGTTCTGTATGTAAGTAGATTTGGGGTTTTGCACAGTAGTATGAAGAATAACTCAAATGCTATCTCTTAGATAAGACTAAAAGAGTAAGTGAAAAAGGAAAAGCTATATTTTTAAAAAATGGCTATTAGAAACCATTCAAATTATAAAAGGTCTTAAGATACCTTTTCCTTACTCCTAAAAATAAAATACAGAAGACATTCAATGCATATTTAATTAAATTTATAATAAATGAGATAGAGCTCATTTCAGCATTGTTTAAACGCCTCCTCACACAGGTGTGCCAGTGCTCCACACTCAACCTGGTCCCACTGTCCTGCTTCCCCTTTCCTCCTACCAAGGTTTCCTTTTTTTTTTTCTAATTATTAACCTTGACATGGAGAAAAAGTTCTTATTTGGAACATTTCCATAGTATCATTTAACAAACCACAAGTTAGATAACTAGGTAGGTAGGTAGATGGGTAGATAGATACAAAAATAGGGTGGAATTCCATTCATTTATGTATGAAAATCAATACCATTATTTCTTAACTGTATTTCTATATATAATTATATGTGTAAATAGATATGCATATGTATAATTATGTATAAAAACATAACTGAAATATTGCTGATTTTCATGTAGACATATAGAAGTCGACTGTAATATAGAAACAGACACACACATATATGCTACAAACAATTCACAGTGGTGTGCATCTGCCATTCCTCTACCCCACTGGGCTGTGGCACAAGGGACAGAAGTTGTAGTTACTGATTTCCTGCGCCAGCACGCAGTGCTTGCAGACACCGCACATCCAGAACTGATACTCCGTGATTGGGCTTCCGGTGGCAACACATGTGGGCAGTTTCCCTTCTCCTCTGGAAAAACAAAAGGAAAAACAATGAAGGATGCATTAAAACTTCTAATTATTTCAAACTTCATTTATTAGATGTAAAAAGTGAAGGATGAAAAACATTTCAAGGTAAACTTCAAAGCAAAACTTTCCTTACGACAAGAAAATATTAAAACACTTGGAAAACTAAATAAAACTGGGTAGAATGTTAAGGTAAACTACATCAATATTTAGTGTTTTTATTATTATATGACACATTACACACACAGGAATCCAAGCTTCTAGCTTGGATTGGGGAATGCCATGCACTAATTACAGCTAGCCTACCCTTCAAGAAGGCTGTCCAGTTCGGATTTTCTATTATCTTTTGGAGTATGTTTGGTGAAGATTTCCAGGGCAAGGTCTTCATATTGCTGTTTCTGTTCTGAACTGAGGGTCTCTAAAGATTCCAGTTTGATAAAAGCCTTTGAACAAGTACCGAAAGCTCTGCTGGCACACGCGCAGAGCGCCAGCAGAGAGTAGATGTCAACAGCGGGGATGATGTCTTCATAGTCTCGGAGGTGAAGAGCTGGGAAAGAGGCAATTCAGATTTTGAAAAATAGTCCTGATGTCGTGAACATGCTTGGGAAAGACTACGTTAAACTGTTTCAGTTTAACCTACATGAACTTCAGCAAATTTAAAGAAAACAAAGAGGGGAGATGGGCCCACTCGTGGGAAGAAGTAGGCTGTGTTCCCCATGGTTCTGCAATGCGGTTACAGCGCAGGGACAGTAGCAACAACACCCACTCAAGGCTGGGCCACTCAGAAAGCTACATACAGACAAATGCCTGCTGTGAAAACATGCATCTCTTGTTCCATACAAATAAGTTAAGCATTTCTGCGGCACTCCAGAAAAAGTAAATTTTGCACTGTTAGTCATAATTCTCAATATAGTGCCATGTTTTTGTTTAAAAAATATCAGAATCAAATTCTGTTTTTCTTTGTGTTTCTTTCACCAGGTAACTACTTTGTGTTTGTGTTCTTGAAACAATAGTACATTGAAAAAAAGTGAAAATAAATAAGCCTTAAAAGTTGTCAGTTCAGAATACCATATCTTATTTTCAAATTTTCTATACTGGAAATACAATATCTTTACAATGCTCTGCAGAATCAATATCAGATTTGTAAACAAACTGCATCCATTTCTTAAAAATCTACATTATACAAAAGGTATAACTTTTCAAATTTAACTTTTTCATTATATTTAGATCCACTTGTATAAAAAGCATTTATTATAAGAAAAATGTATTAATAAACTTCTTCAGTATTCCAGAAAAATAAAAAATCGACATTATACAGATGGTCACATAAATATATACAAAGAAAAGATACACACAGTGGTACTTAGGTAATGTGCCCACCTGTCTTCAATGCAGTGTCCACATACCCCTCATAGAGCTGCCTCTGTGCCAGTATAAAGAAGTGGTAAGCCTCGGCACCCCTCCAGGCATTATCTGTGAAACGACTAGTTGTAGACAGAACTTCCTCTTCCAACAAACCAGCCAAGGCAGAAGTAGCCTGCAAGGAAAGCAGACCCACATTTTCTGCTAGCACAAACATAGAATGACCACTTTGTAGAGAGAGTTGGCAAATAAAATTATAACATTTAAATAACTGTAAAGATATTTAAAGTACATCCTGGTGATTCAATACATAGGTACATTGTACGAGGGTTCTCCCTAATCAAGTTTTAAAGCAGACTGATCAAAGCTGAACAGGAGATTCATTTACACATTTAAATAATACTCATATTCTAGGCAAGTCTTTAAAACTGACTAATTACAAGTTGTAGACTAATTACAACTGACTAATTACAAGGGCTTTACCAAGGAAGGCAGATTAGTCTTATAGAGAAGACAACTGTCAATATTTCTAGGTAGAAATTTCTAAATTTGAGTTCTAATTCAAAATCAGTCATTCCGTGCCAAACATTATCTCAGGAAAAAAATGCAAACAAGCAGATTAAATGGTCTGTGTACACAGAGAAGTTTGATAGTCTTTTTGTCTTAAACTCCTCAGATGACTTAATGTTATTTAATGTTCTGCCTCACCTCGGAGCTCTTTCCTTTAACCTTCCCTCTCTGGGCATTTTTCATTTGTTCGTGGTACTGCTCTATAAGTAGAGCTGACAGTACATAGAGCTTCTTAACACGTAAAGGTTTAGTTCTCTTCTTTGCCTCTTCATCTGCAATCTGCAAACATTAAAGGAATTGAGGGAAGATAATTCGTTAATGTGTATTTGCACAAATACAATCATTTCTGCAATTTAATTCCTCCAAAAAAACAAGGAAAGTCAGTAGGATGCAATATAAACACCACCCATCGTGACAATTATTTTTTTAATAAAGCCTGACTTAGTACGAGTAAGTACTGAGTTCTCTCCTTAGTATTCAGTCCATGGAGTTACAACAGATGCTGTTAAATAACTAAGTCAGAACAAAGAAAGCTTTCATGGGATGGGTATCAATACATTATAAAATGAGTTAACAGCCTTGGTAGCTAAAGGTAATAATACTCAGATAATGAATAGAGTACCACTAAGAAAATGGGAAGCGTGTTCCTCGGTATCTAAGAAAACGCTGGCAACTAGAACAAACCAAATACTCACCAAGATTATTACATTACCTTAAACATCAGTTTAGCAGCATCATAAAAGTAATTGGCTTTCCGATAGAGTTCTATGGCATCAAGGGTTTTATTCTTTTCCAATAAATGAGATGCATACCTAGCTAACAGGGATCCAATTTCTTTCATACTATGATTTTTAGCCAATTCAACAGCCTTGTTCCACTAGGGGGAAAATGTACCAATCAGCTGACACAAGCATTTATAGTCATATACGTCATAAAATTCACACAATAATGCTTTATATTTGTAATTATATATAACACTATGAAAAATAGCATCTTTTTAAAAATCACTTAAAACCAGAGCAATTATAAAATGTCTTCTAATCTAACATGTACCAAAATGATCTAAGACTTTGATTTGCATATCTTAAAACTTCAAAGTTTATAATAACATTAATCTTGTAGTTCTAGTTTTGCACAAACTATGAGCAAAAAAAGGCTTATTTCTTTATAGTAACCTAAAATCTACAAATTCAGTTAAGAAAATGTCCTATCAAAGAAACACTACGGGCAAGGAGAGAGTGGAGGGACATAGTCAACAGACTCCAAGAAAACAGATGCCAACCAAGAATACTCTATCCCGCAAAGCTCTCTTTCCTCCATGAAGAAAGAATATGGACCTTCCCAGACAAAGAGAAACTCCGGAATTTCATTGCGACTAAACCCCCACTCCAAAAAATACTACAAGGAATCCTAAAGCCAGAACCTCAGAGGGACGAATAACAACGAAAGAAGACCAAAAAAAAAAAAGTTATTAAAAGAATAAATAAATAAAATCAAAGGAAAGACAAACACAATGGCAAATACAGATGCTAACATATCAATATTAACTCTAAATGTAAATGGACTAAACTCTTCAATAAAAAGACACAGAGTTGCAGCCTGGATTAAGAAACAAAACCCAACCTTTTGCTGTCTCCAGGAAACACATTTAGCTACAAAAGATAAAAATAGGCTCAAAGTCAAAGGATGGAAAACAATCCTACAAGCAAATGGGCCAAAAAAGAAAGCAGGAACAGCTATACTTATATCAGATAAAACAGACTTCAAACTCAAAAAAATAAAAAAGAGACCCCAATGGTCACTACATTATGATTAAGGGGACAATACTTCAAGAAGAAATAACACTCATTAACATATACTCACCAAACGAAAGAGCACCAAAATATATCAGACAACTGTTGTCCTCTCTGAAAACAGACATCAGAGAAAACACATATGTAGTGGGAGACTTCAACACACCACTATCAACAATGGATAGATCAACAAGACAAAAAATAAGTAAAGAAACTAAAGCTCTAAATAAGGACCTAGAGCATTTGGGCTTAACAGACATCTATAGAACACTAAACCCAAAAAAAACGGAGTACACATTTTTCTCAAGCGCACACGGATCATTCTCCAGGATCGATCACATACTGGGGCACAAGACAAACATCAACAGATACACCAAGATTGAAATCATACCAACCATCTTTTCTGACCACGAAGGCATCAAACTAGAAATAAATCATAAAAAGAAGGCAAGGAACTATCCTACCTCATGGAGATTAAAAGCCACACTACTGGAAGACCACTGGACTAACGAGGAGATCAAAGAAGAAATTAAAAAATTCTTTGAATTGAATGACAAGGAGGACACCAATATCCTAAATGTATGGGATGCAGCAAAAGCAGTAATAAGAGGAAAATATATAGCAATAGAAGCTCACATCAAAAAACAAGAAAGAACTCAAAGAAACAACCTAATCTCGAAGCTCAAAGATCTAGAAAAAGAACAACAAAAAAACCCCAGAACCAGTAGAAGAAAAGAAATAATAAAAACCAAAGCAGAAATAAATGAAATTGAAACTAAAAAAACAATCCAAAAGATCAATGAAACCAAGAGCTGGTTCTTTGAAAAAATAAATAAAATAGACAAACCCCTAGCCAGGCTCACAAAGGAAAAAAGGGAGAAAGCACAAATACACAGAATCATCAATGAAAGAGGAGAAATCACAACGGACACAGCAGAAATCAAAAGAATAATCAGTAACTACTATGAACAGTTATATGGAAACAAGTTCAACAATCTAGAGGAGATGGACAAATTCCTACAACGCTACAATCACCCAAAGCTAGATAAAGAAGAATTAGAACACCTAAACAGACCAATTACAAGCAGCGAAATTGAAATGGTAATTAAAACCTCCCCAAAAACAAAAGCCCAGGACCTGATGGATTTACAAATGAATTCTACCAAACATTCAGAGACGAATTAGTGCCTATCCTTCACAAACTCTTCCAAAAAATTGAGAAGGAAGGGACAATACCAAACACGTTCTATGAAGCCAATATTACACTAATACCAAAACCGAATAAGGACAACACAAAAAAGGAAAACTATAGGCCAATCTCCCTAATGAACACTGATGCAAAAATCCTCAATAAAATTTTAGCTATCAGAATCCAACAATGTATCCATAAGATAATTCACCATGACCAAGTTGGATTCATTCCAGGGGCACAAGGATGGTTTAACATCCAAAAATCAATCAACGTTATCCAACACATCAACAAAAGAAATATAAAAACATATGATAATATCAATAGATGCTGAGAAAGCTTTCGACAAAGTGCAACACCCATTCATGATAAAAGCCCTTGAAATTCTTGGGATACAAGGAACATACCTCAACATCATAAAGGCCATCTATGACAAGCCAACAGCCAGTATCATTCTCAATGGTGAAAAGCTGAAAGCAATTCCATTAAGATCTGGAACAAGACAAGGATGTCCACTCTCACCACTGCTTTTCAATATAATACTGGAAGTCCTAGCCAGAGCAATAAGACAAGAGAAAGACATCCAAGGAATCCAAATAGGAAAAGAAGAAGTCAAACTATCACTCTTTGCAGATGATATGATAATATACATAGAGAACCCCAAAAACTCCACAGAAAACTAATTCAACTCATCAATCAGTTCAGTAAAGTGGCAGGATACAAAATCAACACGCAAAAGTCAGTAGCCTTCCTATACACAAACAATAAATCTGAAGAAGAAGAAATCAAAAAAACCACCCCTTTTATTATCGAAACAAAAAAAATCAAATATTTGGGAATAAATCTAACAAAAGAGGTAAAGGACCTATACAAAGAAAACTATAAAACACTGTTAAAAGAAATAGAAGAAGACACAAAGAAATGGAAAGACATCCCCTGCTCATGGATTGGAAGAATAAACATTATTAAAATGGCCATCCTACCAAAAGCAATATACAGATTCAATGCTATTCCAATCAAAATCTCAATGTCATTCTTCAAAGAAATAGAACAATTATTGATGAAATTCATATGGAATCACCAAAAACCCCGAATAGCCAAAGCTCTACTGAAAAAAAAGAAGGAAATGGAGGCATCACACTCCCAGACTTCAAACTATACTACAAAGCCATAATCATCAAAACTGCATGGTATTGGAACAAGAACAGACATACAGACCAATGGAATCGAATAGAAAATCCAGAAATAAACCCACAGATTTATGGTCAACTAATCTTTGACAAAGGAGCAAAGACTATGCATTGGAGCAAAGAAAGTTTGTTCAATAAATGGTGCTGGGAAAACTGGGTCGCTACATGCAAAAGAATGAAGCTTGACCACTACCTCACACCATACACAAAAATCAACTCAAAATGGATTAAAGAACTAGACATAAGACCTGAAACCATAAAATACATAGAAGGACATATAGGCGAAACACTACGGGATTTGCACATCAAAGACATCTTTACAGACACATCACCCAAAGCAGTGATAGTGAAGAGAAAGATAAACAGCTGGGACTACATCAAATTAAAGAGCTTCTGCACAGCAAAAGAGACAATAACAAAAACAAAGAGAAACCCCACCAACTGGGAGAACATTTTTGCACCCAACACTAATGATAAAGGACTGATCACAAAATCTGCAAAGAGCTGATGAGACTCAGCAACAACAAAGAAAATAATCCAGTCAAAAAATGGGCAGAAGAGCTAAAAAGAAACTTCTCTGAAGAGGAAATGCAAATGGCCAACAGACATATGAAAAAATGTTCAACATCACTTGTAATCAGGGAAATGCAAATCAAAACTACCATGAGATACCATCTCACACCAGTGAGAATGGCACATATTAAAAAAACTAGCAACAACAAATGTTGGCGAGGATGTGGAGAAAAGGAACTCTTGTGCACTGTTGGTGGGAGTGCAAACTGGTCCAACCACTATGGAGAGCTGTGTGGAGATTTCTGGACCTACTAAACATAGAGCTTCCATATGATCCAGCAATTCCACTCCTAGGTATTTACCCAAAGAACACAGAAACATCAATTCCAAAGAACACCTGCACCCCTATGTTTATAGCAGCACTGTTTACAATAGCTAAGCTTTGGAAACAGCCCAAATGCCCAAAAATAGATGACTGGATCAAGAAGATGTGGTACATATATACCATGGAATATTACTCAGCATTCAAAAAAGATAAACACATGCAATTTGCAGCAACATGGATGGCGCTGGAAGGGATCATGCTCAGCAAAATAAGCAGGAAAGAAAAAGAAAAATACCGGATGGTCTCACTCATAGCAGGAATCTAGAAAACTTAAATAAGGGACCAGGAAAATGAATATAAGAAAGTGAAAATCAAAATCAACAAAAAACTATGAACCAGAGACACTTTTTGGGGGGTGGGGAGCGGGAGGGGAAGGATTGGGGTCAGAATGGGGCGTTTGCAATTGTATGGGGAAATATAAAAATAAAATTTAATATTTAAAAAAAATAAATAAATAAAAAATTTAAAAAAAAAAAAAAGAAAATGTCCTATCAGATTTAACATTAAAAATTATCTTTATAGGGCCTCCCCTGGTGGCACAGGTGGTTGAGTGCAGCGCTGTGAAGCTGTCCACAGCTTCTGCAGCGCCGGTTTGATCCCGGCTGGCCAGCGAGAATCCCACATGGTGCAGCAGACCTCTCCTGTCTTGCCCACTGCTCCTCTCAGCAGTGTATTTCGTCAGTCTGCCTGTTCTGTTCCCCGCTCTGTCTCTGGTGAATCCTCTCACGCCCCCGCAACTCTGGCCTGTACCCCAGTTCTTGTATAAATAAATAAATAATTCTTTTTTTTAAAAAAAGTTATCTTTATAAAGCAAATGGAGCATTATAAAACCCTTTAAGAAAATACTCAAAAGAATATATTGGTAGTCAAAAATTTCTAAAATCCTACACTTTAAATTTAAATTCCGGCTCTTAAAAAATATTTAATATATACACTTTCTACAGAAAGAAAGGAAAGAGATCTGCCAACATAAATATTGATAAAGTAATTCAATTCCTTCCTCCTGCAATGACCATTAACTGGTCCTTCTCTGGAAACATACCCAAACTAATAAAATGCAGAAAATTATGAAATTACTTCCAGACCAAAACTTGCTAGACTAAAAGCACAGGATCCATCTATGTTCCCATACTGAGTTAGTTATGAGTGGGTAACCCCCTCTTGTAGTGACACCTTCAGAAATGGAAATGCCAACATTCTCTTGGCCCTTGACTACATAAGGGAAATACTGGGCTCCTTTCACAAATTTCATCCCCAGCTCTCTCTGCCTTACACTGGCCACAATCTGTAAAGGACGACTGTGGGAGACTTTAACTTTCAGTTCCTTACTTGGTTGAGATGCACACAGGTATCTACTGCTGCCTTTGGTTGACTACATTTCAAAAATGCAGCTACGGCTTGTTCACACATTCCAACTCTCACAAACATTTGTGCTATTTCCTGTAAGAACAGAACAGTGCCGTCAGATTTCACAGACCAAGAAAATCACTTACACTTTAATTTACACAACTCCTGTAGGACACAGGAATATTCAGTGCGCTGGTTGTTAGTCATTTTTCCTGTTAACAGACACGGGGCAGAGGCAACAAACCAGAAAGAACGCTAAGTCTTCTATAAGGCTTCTATGAAATCAGTGCCTGACTGGCTCCTCTGCAGACCTGCTTTCTAACCAAGTTCTAAAGACCCTGAACTCTTGTTTTCTCTCTATTCAGTAGCTGTTTAGAGAATGTCAAGCTCCAAAAAAAGCCCCACACTACTGGGTGAAAAAAACCTTTAAAGCAATTGATTAATCCAATAGGTAGGGGCTTCAGCGAGAGCTCACATCCACAGAGCTCTCAAATACCTCAATAAAGACATGCCCCAGACAAGCTGGCCACCATCAGTTCAAGGAGCTAGACCCAAACAGAGTTCCTTGGAGAGTGGATGAAAACTGCTAACTCACTGGTATTGTACTGCTTAGCGATTTACGCTTTAGATAAAGCAATAAAAGACAAACACATTAATAGCACTCAATAATTAATAGAGGCTAAAAAAATAAAAATAAAAATAAAATAATTAATAGAGGCTTTGAAAGAACATACAAAACAAAGTTCCAGAGAACTCAGCTTTTTGGGCCTTTTTAAAATATATTTTATTGTCAATATAACATAATAAAAGTCTAGCTGTTTTTTAATATTTCACACATACTTATCCCAGGACCCAGCTGGATTATTTTGAAGCAAGTCTCAGACAATGTGTCATTTCATCTGTAAATACTTCAGGTGTTCAGGTAACCCTGTACAATTGCCAATTTTATGCATCTGATGAAACTACACAAAACTATAGTCATGTGACTAATCTGCCCTCCATTTTCAGTCATTCTGTAATACTGACATGATGTTTTCACAATTAAAAGTATCACTGCAATTCTAAGAAACTAAGATTGTAGATTAATTTTAAATCTTCTTTGTTGCAGATAATATTTCCTGATAGTAACATAATCCTTATAAATGAATCTATCAACTTCAAAGACTACAACCTATAATACCTACTGGAAGCAACTTGTGGTTTTCTGGGAGAGAATTAGCAAGACTCTCCAGTCCCTCATAATCTTCTAACATGTAATAACATTCAGCTAAGCGTTCCTGGTTCCGGCCTTGTACATAATACTGTACAGCATTTAACCTATGGAAAGAAGAAAGAAGAAAAACATTTAAAATTAATGTGAATTAATTGAGAAATAAGCACTTTCACCAAAAATGTTCCTTCATTTTAATTGCTTACATTACTCTAGTCATTATCTTCAGTTTTAGAATGTCTCTGAAGCATACAAATTAGAAAAGAAAAATCTAAAAACTGTGAAGCACATTTTAGTAGCAACATACTTTGAATAGTCTTTAAAAATATTGTTTTAGGACCTCCCCTGGTAGCGCAGCGGTTGAGCGCGGGGCTGCAAAGCTGCCCACAGCCTCTGCAGTGCCAGTTTGATCCCCGGCCACCGGCGAGGGTCCCACATAGCGCACAGACCTCTCCTGCCGCCCACTGCTCCCCTCAGCAGTGTATTTCGAACAGCAGTCTGCCTGTTCTGCTCCCTGCTCTGGCTCTGGTGAATTCTCTCACCATCCCGCGCTTCTGACTGTACCCAGTGCTTGTATAAATAAATAAATAAATCTTTTTTTTAAAAATTAAAAAAAAATAAAAATATTGTTTTAATCTGATAATATATAACTGTACTTCCAAATACTGACATAAATAAGTATATTGATCAAAATGAAAAGTTAAGAATAAAAATCAGTGATTTCTGAAAATGATCAGTAATAACAAAACAAGCAAATATGAAATAGATTTTTCAGAAATAAACTATACCCTGTGGAGAATTGCACACTATGGTCTCAAACACTAGAAAGCTGCCCAGAGGTAAGCACAAGCCTTGTGAGTTTGGAAAGCCCAAAGTTTTATAGCACTTGCATAACAACTTTAAGGATCTCTTGCTCCCCAGTGTGACTATATTTGAAATTTAGGATTCAGGAGAACAGTCTTCATTTCCCTGGCATTATTTCCCAAGGAAGGACGCAGGCAGCCAACATTTTAAATGCTACGTGAGTGGACAAGGAGGTCCAGACAGGCTTTCTACCATTTCTGTCGATCAGCAAAGTAGTCCCCGATGGCGTTGTGGGCTTGTTCCAGAAGACTGTCATCCGCATCGCCAGATCCAGTTTTCAGGAGTTGGAGAACTCTAAACCAATCTCCCAATTTCAACCGGAGGCCAATAGCAAGATCTCTGCACACAGTGACATTCATTAGTTCACTCACTCAACAAATATTTATCAAGGGCCTACTATGTGCTAGATTCAAATCAAGGGTGGTGCTGGGAATATATAGTAGTGAGTAGACAGACAGGTAATGCTCCAACATTTTGAAACTTAACCTAGCCAGGTAAGAGGCAGTGGGAAGAACCTGGAATGGGAAAAAGGAACTAACTCTCTGCCTTTTATTTTCCAGAACTTCTAATTTAGTTAGCAAAAAAATGACTTAAATAGTATTCACTTCTATTTATCATATATTATTTTATATAAATCAAAAATTATATACACAGAATAAACTCAGTCTCTGCTCATTATTTCCTGCTCCTGAACAAGAGAAAATAAAATAATGGCCTAAATCAAAAGCAGAACCCAAATAATGAGCTATGTAGTCAATGATAAAAGCCCCCAGTCTCTGTAATCATGTGCTTTGTCCCCCTACCGAATGAAAAAAAAATCTCCTATGGTGAGACATTAGCATACATAAAAGCAGAGAAGGAAACAGCCCCCAAATTACAGCAAATTAATGAAGGGCATGTGGAATATGTAGGTTGTAATCCAAACTGAAATTAATTTCCAAAAGAAATGATATAGTTAGCCTATTTTCCACCGCTTCTTTGTACACATTCTGGAATGTTCTGAAATGCTTGTACCTTCATTACTGACCTTCTGTCCATATCAAGATACATTCTTTCAGCTTCCTCGAACCTGCCAAAGTAGGCAGCTACTTCAGCCTGCTTCATGGACTCACTCTGTAGGTTGCCCAAGCGCTTCACAAACTTAATGCCTTGGTAGTCTTTGCAGCGGACAAACGCTTGCTCTGCAGTGTGCAAATCCAGTTTCTGAAGAGCAGCTTCAGCCAGCAGGCGCCTTCATTAAAAAAGAAACCGAAAAGCAAATTACAAATTACTAACAACTCTTGAATCAAATTCAATTTTATACCGACTGTTTCTAGTGCAATTTGGAAGGAAGTGAGTATTTTAACACATGAAGACATTTCTCATAATATTAATGCCTAAGGTGAATACTCTGAAATCTAAAATGAATTCATATGTTTTATAAAGAAGCATGGGAACAGAAGTTTTTCCCAGGAGGCTGGCACAAGAGCCGGGATGAGAGAGCAGGCACATCTGAAGTTTTGGGAGTTTTATGTTAAATACCAAAGTCGGGGGTGTGGATTGTCCTCTATAAATTGAGATGCATCTTCAATTCCAACCTTCTCAATCAAAGCTCGGCTATCTCGGAGGGACCGAATCTCAAAGTTAATTATATAATCCTTGTTTGGATGTTCTGGATTCTAGAAGTAAAGGTGAAAATAAAGGAATTTAATAAATTGTTGCCTTTAGAGTCTAGGTTAGCTTTTTCAATTAAAAACACTACTTCATATTGTAAACCTGGGAGAAAACATGGCAGTTTGACAAAAAAAAAAAAAAAAAAAAATTTGAAGGCCAGTGTTACAAAAAAGAGCTGTTTAATGGACAAAGAAAATTAAGCTGCAGTTACAATGAACTCACCAGTTCATTGTCTCCCAATAAGTGGAAAAGCGGAGCACACAAGAAGACAGAACCTGGGCCTCCCTGGTGGCGCAAGGTGTTAAGACACAACCTACGAAGCTGTTCACAGCCACTGCAGCAAGAGTTTGATCCCCAGGCAGGGAGCTACCCACATGGTGCAGCAGACCTCTTCTGACTCACCCGCTGCTCCCCTCAGCAATGTATTTCAGTCAGTCTGCCTGTTCTGTTCCCCACTCTGTCTCTGGTGAATCCTCTCACCGACTGCATCTCTGACCTGTACCCCAGTTCTTGTATGCATAGATAAATAAATCTTTAAAAAAAGAAGAAGAAGACAGAACCCTCATGTGAAACAACAATGGCTCCTAGAGACCGGAGTTCTCTGAAAAGGTAAACTGAGTCTCAAGCACCCCCCTCTCACCCTGCAACTAAACCACTGTATCTACAAACTGAAAAGTCCTTGGGGAACTCCCATGTAGAAAGTAGGAAGCAGTACTGAATGAGCATGAGGTTTGGTTTCAAACAGACCTACACTCAAATCCTAACTCCACTGCTTGCTGGCTACATGACAACTCTTTCAAGAACCTGTGCTAATACCACTCTGCCATCAAGGAAGCCAGGCTATCACCCCACATATAAACCCAGTCCTGTCTCTACTGCCGACTCCACTGCTTTACTCCCCAATGACTCCAGGATGATGCCCAAACTCCACAGCCAGGCATGCAGTTGGTTATGGCCTGGGCCACCTCCCCCCTCACCTCTCCCCAGCCTCATTACTGCCAGTGCTACCAATCACACACAACAGTTTTGAAGCCAGAGAGGTTGGAGTCAAATCATTCCTTTTGCCTAGTCACTGCAAATGAGCTCATCTCTCCAACTGTTAGGTTTTTCATCTGAACAAGTGGAGATAATAATCAAACTTCTTACAGTTGTGATGACTACATGGATAACACAAACAAACATCCAGCAGAGTGCTGGGCTGTGCCCCTCACACTCTCTCAGCCTCAATCCTGGCCCACACCCCTGGGTACAGAGCTTCAAGGACATGCACCTACTGCCTGGACCTCAGCACTGCCAATCCCTCCCAATCCCTCCCTTTCCTTTCTGTGCCCTGTGGTGTCATCACTTTCCAAATCCAAGCCACATTTGGGTTGAAAGCCCATCTTGCTGCTATGATGGTCATTACACAGGAAAAAGGGGTTCATAATAAAAGGGTGTGTTGCAGACCCCTAAGGCATAAAGTGCTGAGACAAGGAGAATGCTGGGGTCGTTCCTGGGAGACTGGTCAGCACGGGATGGCCCGTGTCCAGACCATGAAGTCTTTTCTTGTGTCAGTAAAGCTAAGCCTGAGAAACAAGCAAGATTAGAAAGGAAGTAGAACAGACCTGATAACGCAGAACTTTAGCAGTGAATATGTGCCTGGAGAAGACTAGATACTAAGAGAGTGATTCACTATGTCATAACTAACAAGGGGGGCAGTTTGTATCAATAAAAATGAGTTGCACCGGGCACTCGGGACGCTTGAGTTGAATGGAGAAGCCTTGCGTTCCCTGGGTCCCACTTCTCTTAAATTCTATTTTGTGTCTGTCATTTATTTATTTATTGGTTATTTCGGATTCCTCTCCTCCATCCTGTTCACTGGAGCTGGTCTCCGGGAAGGGTGCAATGACATCAGACCAAAATAGGAAAGCATGCTACAAACAGCAACTAGCTTTCAAAATTTTAAATCTATCCCAATTCAAATAAGCACTGCAGTACATAGAAGCAGTTAATATTTTGGATAAAATGAAAGTCAAACTGCTCTCAATATTTTTAGGGTAAAAAAATCCCAAATGATGGTCAATGAAGGCCAAAGCAGAGGATCAAAAACATGGTATCAGAAATGGGTTACTTTATAAAACCTGAAAAAAAAAAATGGGTACTGGACCTTCAAGAAAGTACTCAGATATCCTAGAAGTAGAAAAAGACTAAAGTAAATTGTCAGGTATTTCTTTAGTACCTCTTTGTTACTAATACAACATGAGTGATGCCAACAACCAGCTACCATTATTTGGTCTCTCGGTCCCAGCACTGAGTGCTGAGTGCTCTTCAAACATTATCTTATAAAATAAAAATCCTGTCAGATAGGCATGATTATTGCCCATATTTTCGTAGAGGTAAAAATTGAGGCTCATACACAGGACAGGAAAGTGAAGCCCCCAGAGGTGCAGGAAGCTATTGAGGGGTCACCCAAGTGACAGCGCTGGGTCGGAACCCAGGTGTCCCATCTCCTCACTCCACATGCCCAACCGGGGCCCAACACTCCAGCACCAAAGTGAATCTGGGGCAGCCAGCAACAGAAACGCACTCCTTACTGGGAATTACCTTTAATATCTCATCCAAAAGTACAGACTTGATTTCTAAATCCTCAAAGTTACAAATATATCCAGAAGTCTGAATGGGTTCCTTTAAAGACAAAAACAAATGTTCTGTTTAATTGCACAAAATTTTCCTGCCTTTATCACACTGCAACTTTTAATTTTATTATAACACTTTTAGCTAACTTACACATATCACATTTCACTGCCAAATATTTCAGTGCATAAGTCTAAAAACAACGAGGTTCTCTGACATGGCCAGAGAACTACATAATTGATATTAATTTCCTAATGGCATTTAATCTAGATTTTCACAGTTAACCTAAAAAGACCTTATATAGGTTAATAATCTTATTCTTTTGATTTGACATTAAATTTAATTCTTTATAAAACTGACAAACAGGATATTTGGATCTAAGTATATATTAATCAAAGAAGTCTCCTACCAGACTAAGAAGTCTGACTTTTGCAACATTAGACAGAGTGCCCTGATAGATTTCTGATAGATTTCTACATAAGGAGGTTCAATTTGCAATATGTAAATGAGTGAGTCTGTTATAAACATGTCTTTCTGTTATTCTAGTGTTATGCAGGCTTTTAGAAATAAAGTATAGTAGATGCATAGCATAACGTAAAGGACCCGCACTAAATCCTTAGCAACGAGTACATATATGATGTAAACAAACAAACAAAAAAACCCCATATACTTACAACCACCAAGAACACTGTAAAAAGAATAGGATGCTGTCTGATGATGGAACTAATACAAGACTATTTTTTTTAATGTGTGAATAAAAGAAAATCATAATCATAAAAGAAAATAACCAAAATCCAAATGAAATAACCTGTCAAACTTATAACCCTGAAAGTTATTCCTCCATATATGATAAAAACACAAAACTTATAATAGGAATATATCAAAAAGATGAAAAAAGGGGTAAAGTTGGATCATATCTAGTTTGAGCTTAGAATGTTTAAGAGTGAGGCTCTTTACTGGGTTCCAAATGCATATTTTCCTTTAAAAAGTAGAAATTGTGGGCCTCCCCGGTGGCGCAGCGGTTGAGCGCTGGGTTGCGAAGCTGCCCGCCGCCTCTGCTGCGCTGGTTCGATCCCCGGCTGCTCCCCGGCCACCGGAGGAGGGTCCCGCATGGCGCGCAGACCTCTCCTGCCGCCCGCTGCTCGCCTCAGCAGTGTACTTCGGTCCTTCTGCCTGCTCTGCTCCCCGCTCTGGCTCTGGTGAATTCTCTCACCCTCCCGCGCTTCTGACTGTACCCAGTGCATGTATAAATAAACAAACAAACAAACAAATAAATAAAACATGCCTCTATAAAAAAAAAAAAAAAGTAGAAATTGTTGAATAATATATTCAAATTATATTTTAAAACTTTATAAAATAACTTTATTTTCTCAAAAAAGGTTGCTATATAAAGCAAATAGTATGTTTTTATGAGCAATGAACACAAAAAGAATCAGAACAAAATTTAATTTAAAATGAAAGTATATGTAATTAAATACTTCTTATAAAATTTATGATCTTTCATATCCTTTGATTATTTTGATATTACATGTAAACCAAGCAAACCAATATCCTGTGTAAAAATGTTTATCATGAGAAAAAAATTTATTTTGGACTAGATAATGCAACAGAGCAAGATGAAAATATAAAGTCACAAAAGATGATCTGTGGGTAGAAAATGCCAAAAAAACAAAAGTGGGGAAAGTTACAAAAACAAGATTCCAAAATAATCTATGATAATTGGCACATAAGTAAGTATGAAAATAATTATGTGATTCAGATTTTTAAAATTCAACTTCTGCTTGAAGCAGCTCACCTAATTTTCCTTCTCTTCCAAAATTCACTAAATATCCATCCACAATTCAATTGAAAATGAAGTTTTAGACCAGTTATCTACAAAGCAGGGTGTACTCACCTAAGTAGCATGCAAAATATTTTTATCAAAAAAAGTATTTAAAACTTTACTGAACTACACTGTACCCAGAAACACATGTGCTCGTCCTCATACACAAATCAGAGGCCTCACAAGGGCCAAGGTAAGAGAGGCCCTCAGTGCCCGTGCCCAACTGTCCGGAGCGGCATGCTGTGACATACTGATGGCAACCTAGGCCTAGTTGAGCAGAGGTAGGGATCACAGTATCTACTGTTAGCTAACGCTCAGAAATTGGACAAGTGGCTTACAGGCTTCCTGCAAAGAATCTGCGAATGAAATCTAACACTGACACTGCAAGCGCAAGCCAACAAAGAACGGGCAGAACAGCCCCCTCTCTTGTTAGAAGAGCAAATTCTTGAGTCAGTCACATCACAAGCTGAAAACAAGGACAGTCTACTCAGATCTGCCAAACATTGGCTAAAAAATCAAAACTATCAAATAGACTATTAGAAGCATGGGACTTGTATTCACTAGTGAGTAGTTTCACACTCCAAAGTGTGCACTGTGCCTAAGACACTAGGAATGGTAGCACAAAGCACAACTACTAACATGGCGTTTTTAAATAAAGTTGAAATTATCCCACTAGAATTTATCTTTTTTTCATTCTTTTAAAATTTCTATTTTAGGGATACGATTGATAACATAGGTCATTATGTGTAATTTTTAGCTAAATAAGTATACATAGATGACGGTATGTATTCAAAAGTTTAGAACTGACTTGTCTGAAAAAGAATCAAAGGCACAAAAATGAGAGCCTGACCGATGAAAATACAACATGTGAAAGAAATATGCATGTGAAAGAGCAGTGCCACCGAGAGGTGCAATTAAAGAAAAAGAATCCAGTACCTGGGAAGCATCACTGCAGATGAAAATGAGCAAGAACAGAACAGCAACCTTAAATGTTCATTTCCTTCACAGAAAATGTGCCTTACCTGGGTATTTGAATTTTGCAAATAAATAGCATTCTTTCCTCACATATAATCTGAAGAAAGGTTGACAACTTAAAGAAAGGTTAAGAATACAGAATTCATAACAGTACTCAAATGCATAAAAATACTTTTAATATTAACTGTCAAACAATCGCTTAGCTCCTGAATAACAATATAGAATACTAGGTCCTGACAGAGTTCCAGTAAGCTGTTTTGAAGAGTGCGTCCTTAATGACAGGTCAAAAAGCACCCAGAGCAATGAAGAACAGACTGACTGACCCAGCACGGCCAGAGCCCTCAAGAGTGAAAAGAACAAGGCCTCCCCTGGTGGCGCAGCGGTTGAGTGCTACCCTCAGCCTCTGCAGCGCCAGTTCAATCCCCGGCTGCCAGCGAGGGTCTCACATGGAGCACAGACCTCTCTTGCCCGCCCGCTGCTCTCCTCAGCAGTGTATTTCATCAGTCTGCCTGTTCTGTTCCCCGCTCTGGCTCTGGTGAATTCTCTCACCCTTCCACACTTCTGACTGTACCCAGTGCTTGTATAAATAAATAAATAAATCTTTAAAAAAAAAAAAAGAATGAAAAGAACAACATGACACAGTTTATGAAGAACTCTATTGAGTGGAAAGGTTGTAAGAAATCCACCCAGTTCCAAATCTAATAGATGTTGAACTACATGCCAAGTCAGAAAACAAACTCAAGAAAAAGACTTGTGTTAAATTGCTTAAGAAACACTTTCCACCAGGCCAAGATTTTATGGGTACTCGGCGGGCCACATGCTATACACACAGTGGGCAGCCAGGCATAACAAACACTCCCTCTTCTCCAGGTAAGATTTCTGACTCAATACAAGTAGGGCTGAGGGTGGAAAAGGACCCTATCATTCAAAAAGTATTCTATGCCCATCCTCAAGGTCATCATGTGATTACCTATTAAATTTTCACACTGGTTTTAGGGTAAGGAACCCTCGAATAAAGTCTGTGCTTATAGGCCACATTACTTCCTTTAAACCCTGGCTCAGGGTCTAAGGATTGCAAAGGTCCTTAAGACTCCTAAAAGTTTGAACAAAGACTCAGAGCAATTGCATCAGGTCGTTAGCCAACCCAAAGATCCTGAACAGGGCTCAGAAGGGAAAATAATTTAGGATATTAAAGGGGCAAATAGTTTATCACTAAATAAGTTACCACAGAAGATCTTCAGCAGCTCTGAGGCCCAAGCATGTGATTTCTTCCAAAGAAGGAAACTGCAAGTCCAAACAAATGCTGAATCATGATATACAGCATTAATTTACTCATTTCTTATTGCCATGAGTGGTGAAAGGGGTACAGAAAAGTCCAAATTGAAAATTCATTAATAACTCAAAAATGTTGAAAAGATGTACCTCCTCCTTAATGATGTGTTGATTAATCTCCCACTCAAAATATGTTGAATTTCCCAAACACAACAGCTAACAGTTAATCCAGAGAAGACTAAGTGGCAGCAGAATTCAGAACCTAAAAATGCTGATGTGCGCCCCAAGTAGAAAATCAAAATATGACAAAATTAGTGAGAAAGGGGCTTCCTGCTCCTCCAGAGAGTAGGTTCATCACAATTCACAGTCCACACCTGTATATTCCTAAGGTTATCAAGGCGAGAAAGATCAGGATTAGCGGTGCCTACAAATGTAAATGTAACTAAAATGAGATAAGCACAGAATAAGGAGACTAGACAGGAGAAAGAAAATGAAAGGACAAGGCAGTCTCAAAACTATATTTTTTTAGTTAGTTTGTTTTCAACAATTTTGGTAAATAAGAGTACTGATTTCTTTTTAACTTTGACAAGGAAGAAAATAAAGACCATATAGTGAGTGGCCATGGGTCCATCTCTTAAAAAGAACAGATAAATACTTAAGAAGTGCCTCAGAAAACACAGAAAATATTTTTTAAATGAAAATTATTCCTATTTCTGCCAAATTATTTTAAAACCCCAAAGAAATGTTTCGATTAATTTTTCTGAAATTCACACAGCCAACAACAAACATCTTGGTGAAACAAAGAGAAAATATCCACGTTGTGATATTTGGCTCATTTTTTTATGTAGTTAATGCTCATTCCTTGTTTTTACCTCTGGATCCAGGTTTCTGAAAACATACATTCTTGTCTTCTCCATCATTGCAAATAAATCAGGATTATCTCTAGCCCACTTCATATCCCAGACATCTTTTCGCTCCAGCTTTAGCAACTCCCCAGTGACTTGCTGTCCTGTGCTGTCTGTTACCCGAGCATCCAAGTCAAAAAAAATGAGAACTCCTGAGATGTCTATGATAGCAAGACGACTACAAGCAATGAAATTGGAGAAGGGAGGAAAGTTGTAAAATTACTAAGAGCGATCATAAATGATAATTACCTATAGCCATTCTTCTTCAAAATCAGTTCATCAGAATGTGTGAATAAGGTAGACATGGTTTGATATAAATAAATGACTTTAAACAAATTTCAATAAATTTGATAAATTTAATAAATTTCCTCTCCATCTGTGAGGAAAAAGTACCCAAAGGGATTAAAGCAACTGGTAGACAAATAAAATATTACATTAGCATTCCATATCTTGCCCAATTAGAGAAAGACATTTAAACGAAATACAGCACAGCAAATACAAATACAGTGGATACCATACTGAACAATAAGACAAATTTAAAACACACACCATGTCTTCATATTTGTTACATATTGTAGCTCCAACAATCACAATTGATAACTCCTAAATCTAGCACAAGAAGAGTTTTCATACTTACCTGGAGCTGCAATTCAACGATAACTGGTAGGATCGATAATTAAGAGAGTATTTTTGAATCAAACCAACATTAGGAAGACTGTATCTCTGAATGGTGCCAGATTCACGACCCTATGAGAATTACTTTTGATTACAAAGGAGTATTTACCCATAACACTATTAAATTACTACTACTGGTCTCTCTATATGTTCATGCATTTATTTTAAACCAGAGTGATAATGTCATATTGAACTCACAATTCTGATACTGAATTATGCTACTGAGTACATATTTACCTCTTTAATTTAAACATGTTAAAATCAGTTGAAGATGATATAAGTTTCTCATGTAAAGTTTAAGGAAGAAATCAGAAACCTAGTTCTTTAATAATACATACATTCTTACATCACAGGAAGTAATATCTAGAGTTATTTACAGTTGTTTATTTTAATAGTCACAGTACACTGAAAGCGAAAATACAAAGCATTTATTGAATTAAATTTCAAACGTATGAAAAATCAATATATGATCACCATAAGAGAGTGCAGTTACTGAAAGTCTATGCTTTTATCCTCTAGTCAACGATCTGATACTAGCTTTTAGTAAAAGGAGAAAATAATCGGAAAATAGTGATACAATGAGTATTAGTTTAAATGTGTTTAAAAAATAAACCAGAATGTAAGTTTCTGTGCAATTCTGTGCAAGCCTTAAGGCTGACAGACCAATAGTTAGTACAACAAACAGGAAAGCCGAGATTTTCAAACTCTCCAGCCTCTTCATTCTAAGTAGTATGAAAGTGACTTTGAAAGCACCTTTTCTGACACACAATAGCAAGCCACGGAGAGGAAGGAGCTCCCTAAGACCTACTACCACCAGCAGCTCACCCCACATCTGCCAAACCCTTTTAGGGCCCATTCAACCCAGTATCAAATTCTCCTCAGCTGGGCCCCAATCTTTTGCTCTTACAAAGAGCCCTTTTGACAATGATTATTAATTTGTGAGGTAATCTTTAAAGTTTTCTTATTTATTATTCCAGGTTTATTAAAACTTGAGGTGCCCACAAGATGACTGATACTCAAAACATACTGCACTGCCTTCTTTGACAATTTAAACAATTATTAATCATAAGTTTTTTTTTTTAACTTACCACAATCAGTGTCTTATCAGATGCAGTTATGGCACAAATTGGATCCCTTGTGCCCTAAAATAAATTGTTATTCATTAGCAAATATTTATTGAACGTGCAATTCACTAAGGAGCTACAGCAACAATAGAGTAATGTCACACTTACTTAAATGAGCACCTACTAGATGTGTCAGACACCTGAACTAACTCAAAAGAAGTCTCTACCCTGGGGATCGCTCAGAAGCCTATTGGAGAAGACAGCAAGCCAAATGCACAGAGTGCTCCGAGAACAGCGAGGCTCACACAGGAGTCACGACAGCAGAGGACGGCACATCTAGCTCACACGGAGACAAGCAGAAACTGGAGCTTAGTCACAGAGGTTCAGCAGATGCAGAGGACCAGCAGATGCCAAAATAAAGAGTGAAATGGCAGGCACTGAAAACACCTGGTTAGATCTTAAGAGCATGTACTAGTTAAAAAAATAGTCGATCTCAAAAGGTTACATATTGTATGATTCCATAATAGCAATAGCAAAGTTAAAACTATAGAGGTGGAAAACAGATCTATGGCTGCCAGGGGAGAGGTCTGTGCATGGGGAGTGGACATGGAAATGAAGAGGTATGAGGCAAGTTTATTTGTGGCAATAAATTTACATAAAAGTAGACACACACTCACTCACATGGAAAAACCAGTAGAAACTGAATAAGGAATCAAGTCCAAATCTAGCTCAGTATCATAACAGCATGAGTTCCCCAATTTTGACATTAGACATATATGATGTCACCACTGAGTGAAGATGAGGGGGGAAAAGCTCAACAGTGATTTTTGCTACTTCCTATAAGCCTACAGTTATTTCAAAATAAAGTGTTTTTAAAATCAAAAGAAGAGAAACATTAACAGATCTAGAAAAAAGGTATGCAGAACCCAAAAAAATTAAAGCATTACTAGAATAATACGCTATCCCCTGAAAACAAATTCTCTTTCAGTTTTCAAAATATAATTATGATATTTTCAAATCTATAATTATTAACATTTGCTGGCAAAATAAAATCACCTACTTGAATGGTTTTACTATAATCAAGTACTCCATCTGCTGATCCAGAAGGAAAATCATCAACATGATAAATTCTGAAGGAAAAAAAATCAGAATTTCAAAGAAAGTTTAAGGGTTATATTATTCATAACCTCTAGAATAACTGAAGGACTGGATGACATCAATGAACATTGTTATTTAATATAAGTACCCTGGTTCTTGACACAGCTAAATCTTTAAAAGGCAGAAATTATCTCCGAGGTGGTCAGAGTTATGCAAGTGATATATTCCTGAAAGTTGTTCAAAATTATATTTGAACATTGAATCATAAATTCCCCAGTGAATTTCATTAGCTCTGAAAGATTTTACTGACTATCCAGAGCTGAACACAGGTCAGCAGTACCTTCTAATATACTTAAAAGCTTCTCTGTTGTTTCTCCATAATTTCCTTCTATCAAGGTGCTTAATGAAGCTCAAAATTAACAGAATTTTGTTCCAGAATAAAGAATCCTTCCTTACATAAATTTCTGGTGTTACAGAGAAACTCCACTTACAGAGCTCCACTCAGGTACCTTTATTATAATACTTATTCAAGCCAGTGTTTGTCTGCTTTATTTGTCTTTCCCACTAGACGGTGAGTTTCCTGGAAGCAAAGACACATACTCAGTTGTCTAAAATGTCTGCTGAGACTATACTAAAGAAAATGGAGGTGAACAGGGAAGACAGAGCATAGGCTAGCTCTGAGGCCTCAATTTCTCCATCTGAAAAATAAGGATAACAATTCCTCCTTCGCAGGGTTTTGAAAAGCATAAAGAAAATCGTATTTGCAAAGCAGAGCCTGTTTCATAAAAGGGGTTCAAGAAATTGTAGCTTTAGTGTAGACACAGGAAATTCATGCCATTTTCTATCTTTAAAATACCATGAAATATTATAATTTCTAATTTGAAATCATAATTGTACTGTCACCAATGCAATAAGATCAACAAATTTTTAATAAATTTAATGAAAAGCATTAAATGCAGAAACAAGTACCCACTCAGAGGTATTACGTTTATGCATTGTAATACATTTCTATTAAGCATGTAAATAACTATTTCTGCTAGTTATCACAAAAAAGAAAATAAAGGTGTCAGGAAGTCTTAGGAAGCCATCTGACCACCTCCCTCTCTTGCAACAAGGAGGAACTACGAGAACTGCCAAGTCTGAGCCAGGGCTCAGAGCCCACCATCCTGGCTCCATTTGTCGGCTGGGGGCCTCTGGCAAGCAATTTAAGCGCGTGCGTCTCAGCTTCCTCTGCTAAACAGAATCCTGTGACCGCTGACTAGAGGTACCACCGTGTCCCGCAAGTAAGAAGTGCTCACCATCAACAGCCACATTTCACAGAGGAGGAAACCGAGGTCACAGTGAGAACCAGTCCGGAGCCATTAAAACTAGCGAGTCTATCCCAAAGAGAAATACAAGGAAATGCTGCCTCCTTTATTTAAACAAAAGCCAGAACCTCTTTATTTTATTTATATTCCAGTAACACCGGTTGACAACACTGCATATGACTGAGAAGCACAGGAGCAAACATTCAGACCACAGCCACCTGCACAACAGTCCATTGTCCTGTCCCACTCACCCCTCTGGGAGCCTCCAATCTACAGTCAGATTTCCAGAGTTTGTTACTGGTTTGGTTTCATCTGACCCTTTGTTTGGTTTCTCTATATTCTAAACATCAGTAATGCCACCCAGTACTTGCCTTTCTCCTGACTGACTTCACTTAGCATCATCCCTGCCCCTTGGTACAGGTGAGTCTGCACTCCCTTAAGGGAGGAAAATGCTGCATGAACATCCCAAATATTTTAGGGAAGAAGTGAAAAAGCAACCTGGGACTTCTGTCATGACTGGCACTGCCACCACAGACTCAGTGCCGATCATCAGGTGATGATATTCAACAAAATACTTTGCTTAAAGGCTTCCGTAACAATGAGAAGGCAACAGAGTAAAACTAACACAGGCGACATCATTTACAAAGCACAGATAACACATCTGCACCTTGAGATTCATTCTGGAGAATTCTTCCATCCTGGTTCCTAACTTCTTTATCCTCTTTATCCCTAGTGAGCAGAAACAACCCCAATCCAGACTCCCTGGAATCCAGGGCAAGAGAAAGAAGACAAACCACCAGCGCCCCCACCGAAGGACCTCCTCCCGTCTGGGGCTAAGAGCTGCTTCTGCTATGGCGACCGATGCCAGACTCTCCCCAGCCTCCAGGGAAGACCTGTACCAGTAAGCCACAAGCATGGAGCTTTGATGAGACATTCAGTCTTCAATTAAATAATCCTGTTTCAGCATAATAACCCTAATATGGTAAGAGTGCATAGAGGTGACCAGCCATTTCCTTAAAAACATTTTTCTAGCCTTTATCTTTAAGGGCTTTTTTTCATTATGACATGTTACCTCTCTATTACATTGAAAAATTTAAACAGATAAACTTGAAAGATACTCAACTTAAAGGAAAATATTATTTTTAGTAATCAAAACAATTTACAGCTTTCAAGCATGACAATTTATAATTAGCTATGTCTGATTTAAGTGTGATATGGTTGAGCTACTAAAACATACACATCAAAAGATATACCTTTCTCGCCCTTCTTTTCGAGACCGAGTGATCTGATTAATTTCCAATGCTGTGAGCTTCTTTGCCACACGGTATTGCCAGGTATAAAATGCTTCTTTCGAAGCTGCTATCACATGGGTTTTGGTCATAGCAACAAATAATGGCACTATTAAAAAGAACATTAAGACAATTTGGTTACATTTACACTGTCGCAGAGTTAGCACTGCAAAGGAATTCAGTGATCACTGTGTCCAAGCCTTCATTTTACAGACAAGACACCCTATAAACAGTCTCTGAAACTGCAAAAGAATCACAAGTTGCAGAACTATACAAAAACATTAACTCAAAATAGATCATAGACCTGTATGTTAGAGCTAAAACTATAGAAATCTTAGATGAAATTCAGCGGTAAATCTTTTAACTGATAAATGAGTGATAAAGCCCCACCCCTTCCTCTCTGGGTTAGAGCCCTTGGCTTGTCTCCTCTGATCTCATTTGTCAATTTCCTCATTAAATTAGAAAAGAAAATTCTCCCAAATTCCTTCCTAATTCAGGAATATGTTCTCCTAAACATATAGTTTTTTTCATCTGTTTGTTTTTTAGAGAACATTTAATTAATGCCCTACTGTGTGTAGCCTTTTATGAAGAAGATAGTTTCATCACATGCCTCTCAAAGATAAACAGAGGATTAAAGAAGTAAAATAACTAGGCCAAAGTTAAAAACAGGAAAAAAAATTAAAGACATGCACACAAAATACATATTTAAAAAGCTCCTTTATAGCAATCATGTTAGTACCTGTTTTTAAATTCATGAATAATTAAAATGGTGTGAAATTTAATTTCTATCCATGGATATTGTGCAAAGTAATCACTAACATAGCCAGAATAGAGAAATGATATTGATACCAGCTACCATTTGTAAAGTTCCTGCCTGAGTTCAACTAAAGGATATTCAAGACTTAGGAACTGAAGAAAGAATTGGAAATTAAGCTGATGGTATGATGTTGAAAGAGTAGATTAACAACTCAGGAATTCAAATTCAAGAATTTTTACACACTAACTCAGTACAGTTGAGTCATATTAAAAATTTTCTTCATGGCAATTGTCAAGGTTTTTCTATTTAGACCAGGTACTAATTCTGAACTCTAGAGGGGGCCAAAAGCCTTCCAGTGGAGAACTCACTGGAATCAGTGGGGAGACTGGCAGTAGGGTCAGGGGAGAGCTGAGTGGGACAGATTAGGTCGAGGCTTTGCTCCACCTCCTCTGCGCCCATCTTCACTGACCCATAGACATTTGATAAATATTTAGTAAATTCTACCACGGATTTGCTGATGCTGGCAACTATTATGTTCTCAGTGTGATGAAAAGTGTGCAAAACTTAACGCTTTCAAATAAAATATCACTTTTACTAAGCATATAAAGGCAGTTTTCTAACCAATGTTTGCCTACAATTATAAATTATATTCACTTCCTTCCTTTTCAATACATCCTAAACAATCACAAGAGTTGATCATTAGCCTGATTAACTCAAAATTAAAATGTTCATGGTTCACAGGAATAGTCAGACTTTTTGCACTCAAATCACACACATGTGCTAACTCTGTGGGCTTAGATGAGTCACTTATTCTCTCTGAACCTCAGTTTACTTACTGCAAATTGAAGATTATAATAATACCAACCTTACACAGCTGCTTTAAGAGTTAAAAGAGAGAATAAATGTACAGTACCACACCTGGCACAGAATAATGGTAATTTTTTAAGCCAATATTATTAAATGTTTTCAAAATATATGCCAGGCATATATTTCACATAATTATATCAATTGTAATTATATAGTTTTGATATTTAATTATATTAATATATAATTAATATATAACATATCTTAATTCACAACCACTTTATAAGGTAAGCATTATTATTACCCCCATTTAACAGATGAAGACACTGATGAACAGAATGGTTAAATAACTTGCTGAGTTTGCACAGCTAAAAAGTGGTAGAAACTAGGACACAAACCAGTTAATCTGGCTCCAAATCTGTACTCTTAACCACTATGGCATACTGCTGCTCACTGAGGGTTAATCAGCGTTAGGTGTGGTTGCTATTATTGTTTTTATTTTTATTAGTTGTGTAGGTTTTTATAATAAAACTATATATAAATCCATGAAGCAATACCAAAAATTGAATACAATCATCTGAAACATGTTCTTTTGAATCAGGGTAGATAAGCCTAGCCACATAAATGATGCAAGATATTTGTCAATAAACCCATCCCATCCAGATAGGATAAGTCTCTAGGAAAAACTTAGAATACTAAACTTTAACAGATTTTTTAGGAAACCAACACAACCAAGATAAAAGCACTCCATTTCCTCATCAGTTATTCAATATCTGGAAAGAAAAAATTCAAAGTATCTAGAAGGATTATGAGAAAAAAAGTTTTAAGGAAAATAATTATGCTTCCATTAATTGAACTTGGTAACACTAATAGGTAGCAGTTACCAGTGAACCAAGAATGTAGAATAATTTAAAACCACTGAGGAATTCACATGTAAGTAAAGCCTGCTTGCATTATTTTAAGGTCGAGACCTAAATTAGGGCCTCCCTGGTGGTGCAGGCAGTTGAGCACCGCACTATGAAGCTGTCTGCAGCCTCTGTGTCACAGGTTCGATCCCCAGCCAGCTGGGGAGAATCCCACATGGCACGGCGGACCTCTCCTGTCTCACCCGCTGCTCCCCTCAACAGTGTATTTCATCAGTCTGCCTGATCTGTTACCCACTGTCTCTGGTGAATCCTCTCACCTTTCCGCGCATCTGGCCTGTACCCAGTTCTTGTATAAATAAATCTTTAAAAAAAAAAAAAAGACCTAAATTAAATGCCTACAGCTATAACATCCATCCCCCCAACTTTAACAACCCCCTACTTATTCATTTCTCAGTCCTTTAAAGAGCTTGTAAACTGAATTTGCACCAAAATGTTTTCATCAAACTCCCTTTCTGCAGAATATCTGCAAAGACTGCATATGTTCAAGACCATCCTTAGGAGCTCCTGCAAGCTCCCACCCAAAGGACTACAGCAAGGCATCCAGTACTTTCCAGTCAATTTTCATGCCTTTGTTCCTCTGCAAATGCTGTTTTCTCTCCTTAAAAATGACAAAGAATACTTATCTTTCCAACTCAGCTCAAATGAAACCTCTAACTAGAAAAGATGTCCTTATGGACCAATAGCTACCTCTCAGGCATCTAGCACAGCCGGAAGCAATAGTCATTGTTCGATGGATTAACTACATTTTAATTATGTGCTTCAACATCCTATAGGAAATGTCTTAATTTCTTATCACTCCTGATGCCCAGTACAGGATATACTCATTAATGGTTTGCTAAATAGAATTATCACTTTCTATTTACATGGCAGAAAATATTTCCCATGCATTACACAAACAACTGTTATGCAGCATGTAGCAGTGTGTGAGATGTTAGGAAGTGGGGTTACAGAAGTATGACCTAATCTTTAAGAAGCTCAAAATCTTCCTGAGTATGAAGTACTTTGGATAGAAATAACCAAAGGTATTTTGAGGACTCAAAGGAAGAATAAGAAAAAAGGGGACCTAACTTCCTCATGTACATCAGAGTCCCACAAACCAAACATCTTTAATAATGCACAAAGTTCTCTTTTATAGTTTCTATGGAGATTGGCAGGAGGAAGAGTAGGTGGCAAAAGAAAAATTATATTTTCTAGAACAGTATCAGTTACATAGTCTTTTTTGCTTAGCCTTCAGTCTTCATGAAAATTTGGCATAGCAACTTAAAAAGGAATGTTACAGGATATGTATGAAACAAAAATGTTGAGTCCTTGGCTGAGTTTACTGCAGACCAATGAAAGAACCATTTGTAAAATTTCAGCCAGCAAGACTGCAAAAAAAAGTTTCAAGACTCAAAAATACAAATAATCATGCCCTCAAGTATTTGCCATTTTATGTACATAAAGGATTTACAACTGGCTTTCTTTAAAAAGTACACTACTTATAATCAAAATTGATGAGGTTAACTCTATCATAATTCTATTTTAAAACTTGATATCAAGTGAAAATGCATATGATCTGAAGACTGACAATTCACACCCTTAAAGGCTGTTATATTTCTAGAAAAATAGAAGATATTCATGTGACAAGCATCTGTAATAATTTTAAGTCTTTTAGCAAGGAACAATAGCGTGCATATATGTGAGTGCAGACACACACAGACATGTCCACATAACAATGACGATAAGAATAAGACACTGTAGGGTAAATTTTTTTCAGGCTTTTCTGCCCTCCTGCCATTAGGATTACCCTGCCTGATGGGGCACCTGCATTTTGTTACATCGTTCAAGTTATATAGTTTACTTCTGTGGGCTAGGGCAGCAGTAATGATGTATTCTCCAAGAGAAGCAGAGGCAGGAAAGAGAAAGAAAGAAAGAAAGAGAAGGGGTGAAAGAACACCAGGGAAGAGTGAAGACATGCTGGGGGTCTTGCAGGCCTGCTAGCCTTCTGGCCCCCTGACCCCCTGGCACCCCTGCCTGCCATATACCTGGTTGCCTGAGAAAGCCACCGAGGGCTTCAGAACTCTCCTTTACTCACTGCTCCGATCATACAGATGCTGCACTGTGCCCTTCCTGGCACTACAGACACAAAGTTGAAAGTCTCAGTACAAAAAAAGTGAATTATCAAGACCCTAAATTCAACATATAACATCCATGTTTAAGAGCAACAATTTCTCACATCTGCTGGCATCAACCAAATAGCTTAGCAAAATGCATTTGACTAAGACTGAATGTGAAATCTGGGGGATAAAAATGACTAGCTCCCAAATTCAGAAAATAATAAGTTTTCAAATTTTTAACTTTAATAATTTTTCAAATAGCATTCCCAATAAATTGCCATATGCTTTAAAAAGAAACCATTATTTTTGTAAATTATAATAAAATGACAACAAACTATTTGACGATTTTTAAGAAAACACTTAAGATTTATAATTTTTTAATGATTACATCCATAGCTATTGAATAGAGAGAAGGGCAAACCTAAAATACCAAATGTCTTCTGAAAACAAAGTAGGAATTTTTTTACGCCGTCCCTATTAATAGACTGATTTCATTAGGAAAATCTGGAAAGGACACATTCACTTTTACAAGCAGCTCAAGTGTTTTTATGAAAGAAAGGTATTTACAAGCAGTTTATTTAAAATAAAAGTATTTAATGGCAAAATTCTTTCTATAATCCTCAGTTTATTACATACTAAATATTACATACCAATTCCTATGCAATTATATTTTCCATTTAAAGCAAATGATGGCAGTATTGCAGTTGTGAGATTACTGTGGGTTTTAAATAGAGTAACTATTGTATTAACCAGGTACTTCTGAGAATGAAGGGGAGCATTATTAATGATTTTACCTTGGCAATGAGCATAAATCGGTACTGGACCTGGCAAAGCAGGAAGCATGATCCCCGCTCTTTCAGAGACTACCATGCTAATTAATATTATGTTTGTTTTTTAATTCATTTTACAGATAAAACTTGATCAAGAGGGAATAAATATTTACATTTCCTTACCAATATCAATGTATTTGGGGTCCAAGGGTGTGCCAATAGAATTACAAAGAACTAGCACGAACTGTGAAGGAATAAGACAAAAAGTATCAGTGTGCCTGCTTGGGCTGGAACACTCACAGCTGGTGCTTATTTCTATACATAGTATCACTAACTAGGAAATAACTGATGAAAAATTAAATGCAAAGAAAAAGAAATATAATCTACAGCATTAAAAATAAATATGAATTAAAATTAAGCCAGGTTGATTTGATATAACAGGGATTTTTTAAGAGTCCACTTAAGAAACACAAAGTATACTTCTAAAGTTCCTGATCTGCGGTCACCTCAAAATTCATTTTTATCTGATAACCAACTATATAAAGAGGTAACTTAATTTGTTACCGTTGCACCAAAGGTTTCCATCTCGTTCTCCTCCTTTGAAGCAATGTATAAACGACATGAGAAATTCAGAAAACTTTAGTTAATTCAAAAAATGATTAATCCAACCTAGTGAAATTGATTTTAAATGTCCATTATACACAATGTTAAAATATACACAATAATTAGCAATGGTTATTAAGAAAATGAATCAAGTGTAATACACACTTTATACCATATTGTTATATAAACAAAAGTGATACTTTTGTATCCTGCTTTTCTATATAACCTCTTCTATATCCTGTACTAAGAATACTATTTTCACTTAGACATATTCCTGATGAGAATAATATCTAACAATTTTCTATTTACATATGTGGATTTTTTGCCTTTTCTCAGCATCTCAAGTAAAACTTCTTGGATTTCATAAACACAAACTCAATGATAAAAATTATAATAAAACATCATAATTTACTCTTCCACTACTCAAAATAAGCTTATTCACTGCAACAAGATACAGGTTTTTTGGTTACTCATCATTCATATGCTGCTAGTTTAAAGAGTCAAACAGTTCCACAAGATTTTAAAATAGAAGTTTTCCCGGCCACTTCCCATACCCTGTTCTCTGGAGTAATTACTTGCAGCTCCTTTAAGTCATTCTTTCGATATTTACCTCTACAAATCCAAGCCAAGCTTATCCTGCTGCTTCTTGTTAGTCTGTTTCCATCCGGGCACTCATGACTTCTGCTCTAGGTGGCATGTACCTCTCTCACCAGCCTCTCCCAGCCTCCCGACACACAGGCCCACACCCCCATCCCTCCATCTTCCCACCTTTAATTTTGTTAGATCAGAATGTAGGCTTAATACATTTATTACACTTCCATTAAAAGCTTTTTAGTTAAAAAAAAAATCCAGTGAGCACATCAGTTTGACTGTAAATGTTTATTTACAGCTGAGTCATAAAGTAGAACCAGACTTCTTTTCCTTTCAAGCACATTTTGCTTTCCCTATAGGCTAATAATTGTCTCTATTTTTTTCTCTTTGCATAGTTTTCTCTGTATTTATTACTCAAGTCCCTAATCATTCCCCAACTACGTATGTCTCCTCACAAAGGCACAACAGCAGCACCACTACATCGCAAATTTCTTTTGCAGCTGGGTAACTGCGCTCATCTACTCGCCCTGGCACAAGGGCACAGCTGGTCCCACTCCAGCACTGGTGGCAGATTATTCTCTATTGGTTTAGTCCTCGTCTTGGTGCCCCATATCCTGAGCTAACTTCCTAAGATAAGGAAGCTCAGAAAGAGATTTTTGTTGCCTTGTACATCTAGGAATGCCTTTACTCTCCCTCTAGTTAATTCATAATTTGTTTACAATGTGGAATTCAAGATGGGAACCCATTTGCCCTCAGAATTTTGAAAGTAGTTCTCCAAAACATTGCTGTTGCCAAGTGGCATGCCTGAATGATAACTGGCCCCATGAAATGTTTGTCCTCTCCAAAAATTTATAGGGATGTTCCTTTCATTCCCAGCGACCTGAAAATTTGAATTTTCTTGAGGTAGAAATGTTTTTATTCACTAAGCGAGGCATGTGCAGGAAAATTTCTTTGATTTTTTTTTTTTTTTTAGATTCACTCTCTCTGTGTTGCCTGTAAACTCTTTTCAGAACAACTATTATTCAAATGCTCTCCTTTCAGGTCTCTGATTGTCTTTCACTCTTATTTTCCATTTTCTTGTCTTCCTACTCTATGGGTTTTCCTTCATTTTATCTTCTAACTCCTGCCAATGTTGTCATTGTTTTACCTTATTTTAATTTCTAGAAACTGCCTTTTCTACAGTATCCTTTCTTTGCTTCATGGATGAAATATCTCTTAATGCTGATGATAAAGATGGACTTTATTTATAGTATTTATTTTATGCCATGAGTCATTGATTTTTAAAGCAACATAACTCCAAATAAAAAAAAGTCAAAGGCTACCTAAACTGTTATAAATGGTTGTTGGCACAGAATTTTTTAAGCATTTAATCTAGACATCGGGATATTCATTTTATTTATGGAGTTTCAACTTGGAAAAGGACTGTGTTTTTTTTTTTTTTTAAAGATTTATTTATTTATGCATACAAGAGCCGGGATACAGGCCAGAGATGCGGGGGGTGGGAGAGGGGTGAGAGGATTCACCAGAGACAGAGTGGGGAACAGAACTGGCAGATTGACTGAAGTAAACTGCTGAGGGAAACAGCGGGCGAGTCAGGGGAGGTCTGCTGCGCCATGTGGGTTGCTCCCTGGCCGGCCAGGGATGGAACTCGTGCTTCAGAGGCTGTGGATTGCCTCAGAGTGTGGTGCTTAACCCCTTGTGCCACCAGGGAGGCCCGAAAACTGTGGTATTTTAAATATATTTTGGGAACAAAAGGCTTCACTACTGAAGTAAGCCAATACTGCTATGGATTAACGGTAGGAAAAAAAAAATCAGAGGCCACAGAACCAATGGACCAATTCATTTTCTAAAACAGAGGTCTACACAGACATGGTCAATAGACCCAACAATGTACTGTACCTGCCAATACAGAGGCCACACTTGAGAAGGTGGGTCACTACAGACCTATCTTGCCAAGAAGTTCATCCATCTAAGTTTAAACCTATCAAGGAACACGTACCTGAGGATGATTTTCATCAGCTTTTGTTGCCAATATGCAGAAATCTCCACAGGTAGTAATAGAAATGAGACTCTTCACATATTTAACGTATTTCTCATTGTTTTTTGTATCCCAAAAGATAACACAGTACTCTGGACGATCAGGTCTGGTGTAAGCGTAAACTACAGTGTTTGAGCAATAACCCCACTAGGAAGGAAGGAAGGGAGAAAGGGAACAGAGGAGGGGAATGAAAGAAAAAAATAACTTTAACATTGGGGGTAAAAATCATACGCAGAAATATTGCAATACCTTTTCTCACTAAAATTACTTTAAGAATCTAAGCACAATAAAGACAGTTACAAAGAATTACTACAAAAATAAATTTAGTTTAATATTCCTTATATTAATTTGTAAGATTTAAACTTCAGTGGAAAAAATTCAGATTTTTCAGTTGTCAATTACAAACTACTTGGGGACAACAGAGAGAGTGACTTAAAGTTTAAACTCTGGGTCCCTGTGCCAAATAGTCTCAGTAGTTTGACAAATCAATCTTGTATTTCAGAATTTATTTTGCATTAAATGTTTAAAATAAAATATCAACTAGTTATTATGCTGTTCCTCCTCATTTTCCTCTTATGATCCATTCTTTGCTTTTTTTTACCCTGTTTGGTGACCTGGAGGTGGACTTTTATAAACACCATCACCTGGGCTACCTTGCCTTCTGTGTTCCAGTTGGGTTGGACCAACAGAAGGTACCAGAAAGGGCAGAGATGAGTCAAAGTATTTATTGCCCCAAGTCCTTTCTGCTGAGCCAGCTGGCAGTGGCTGCGCCCCTGCGGGACAGCCCTCCTCTGGAATGGCCACAGTTCTCATGGGATCTGGGAACAATACCCCCACCCTTGCCCACTTTTCTAGTCTGAGGGGGCTTGCCTTGCTTTGTAACAAGCCCTCCAGCAGTCTCCAGGTTCTTCTGTGAGTGTGCCAACGTTTCCTGCTGAAGCCCTGACCCATGGGGTAATTTTACTAATTAGCTAGAGGCTCTGGAAAAGTTTACTAGTTCAAAGGTCTTCACAAAGGTCTCCTTTCAGCTGGTTTCTAAAACAATGAAACTATGAAGAGATAGGCAAGAAACAGATATTATACTTTGAACTGTATCAAAATAATTTAGTAAAAAACAGTTTCTCTTTTTTTTTTACAATTGTCCATAATACGCACCTTGTAATCAGGTCGAATATTTGCAAAATATATAAAAGAATCAACGGCCAGTGCAATTTTCAGTCCACCTCCTTCCCAAGACAGTGCAGACATGTGCTTTCCAGGAACCTTCAGAGTCCCCAGATGCTGAAAAAATAATTATATTTCACCTGAAATAACACAATTAAATCAAACACAAATCACCACCAAAAGAGGTATGAAAATTATTTTCTGAAAAGTTGCCACTCACTTCAAAATCATTTTCTTCAAGTTTTACAATAAAAAACATACACATGATAGGAAAATTTACAAACTATCGCCAAAGAACTTAATATTAAATTTCACCAACTCTAACATGCCAGTCTTAAATGTGCATCCTTTCTGATGTACAATTAAGGAAAGAAAAGACACATCACTAATTAAAATAGGGCAACTTTGATTAGAACATGCATCCCAATTTTAATTGTAAAAAAATGTGCTTCTGGGAATCAGTGATCATAGCAGGAAATTCAATCGTAAAGCCTTGCCTCTCTCTCATCCCCACAGCCCACCAGGCACCCAGTCCCACCACTTTCACTCCTCTCCATCCTCCACCTCAACTGCCTCCCTTCTTGAATGAATGGAGGGAATAGCCTCCTAATTACAATTTTTACCTTTTGTCTCTTGCTTCATTCATACCCTCTACCCTCCAAATTCAATCTCTATTCTGCTGTCTTTCTAGAACACAAATCTCAACATATCCTAATCTGCTTTCAAAAAAAAAAAAGTCTCATCTTTAAACATCAACAGCTCCCACTATCACTTTCTTTAGCAAAGCAGACAGTGGCTTCTCCACCTGGTCCCAAACTGCACCCCTTGGCTCATTACCTACAATTTAGCCATAACCACTGTGTTCGCAGCCACGAGATATGCCTCCATGCCTCTGGCCCATATAAAATCACTTCTGCCTGAAACCTCCCCTCTCCTGCTCTTCCTGGTCCTCCTAGAGAAAGATGATTCACCCTTCAAGATACAACTCAAATATTGTCTCTTCAATCAGTCCCACCTTCTTCTCTCTCCTGTGGTTTTGAAGAATTTTGACAGTGAGCTACTTGGGAGCACTAACTTTATCATATTCACATTTATTTCCCGTTCCCTTAATAGATAACTTGGTAAACTGGTAATCAATATATCTATTAAGAAAATAAAATGCACCATCCATTCAAATTTTAATTTCTTCAAATAACCAACACAATATATATTATGGTTAAATTAGTGACCAAATGAGTACAAAGGGTTTATTAATATGGTCATAAAATAACAAAAAATTTTTATCCATATTATTTGACAGAATAGTCGAACCTAAAAATTTTAATAAATTATACTTGTATCCCTTATTCTTCTGCAGCTATGGTCTATTTAATGTATTCAACTCCAGTTTGCCAAAGAAACTAATGGGGGAACAAGCTTTAACCTGGGAAGGTCCATGGCCATATTGCTGCAGGAACAAGCCGGTTCACAGCAGCCCTCTTGGTACTGACTATCTACAGTGGGGGATCAAGGCCCTCTTCTACCTCTGCACTCCTGCCAGGTGGGGGCAGCACCAAGGAAAGAAAACCGATTTGGAGCATTCAGCAGCACAGCTAGCTCCTTTAGTTTTCACCATTGCACTAGGAAATATCACCTTTATTTTGGGAAATAAGGAGGCCGAGTCTTAGAAGGTAAAGGACTTCTCTAAGTCACACTACACTGTGGACACAGAATTCAAAACCAGAGGGTTGGCCTGACTACAAACCCCACGCTCTGTGTCCTCTTCTACAGCTAAGACCATGATGCAAACACCAGAAGACCCGAGCCCCCAGAATCAAAAGTGAAGTCTCCCCTGAGGTATTCTCTCATTTTGAATCTTTGGGATAATTTCCTTCCAAGTTATCTTCCCTATCTCAACTATAACAGAGGGGCAAAAATAAATGCCCCACATAGTCACTCATTTAAAAAGTATTAAGTGTCTCATATGTCCTAAGGTACCTTTACCTTATCAATGTTGTTCTATACACATGATTTTACACGATAATTAAAAACAAGACTTAGAACCCACATTTTTCTACCTGGAGAGGCAAAAGTAGTAAAAATAAAGATAAAACAATGCAAAGATAAATTAATAATGATTTAAAAAATCAGTAAAAAATGTGAATTAAGAAGGTTATAAACATCAAAAATAACTTGAAATCAGAGCTTAAATATTTAGGAATCTTGAGAACTTCTGTGTTCCCTTAGTTATACAACTACCAACTCCTTACAGCACATTCTCTGGGGTAGCAAAGACAGATTCAAAAGCATCAGATGACACCATTTCTTATCCTTACAGAAGTAATTAAAATGTGAATATTAAAACAACTGGTAAGGGCCTCCCCTGGTGGCGCAGCGGTTGAGCGCTGAGCTGCGAAGCTGCCTGCAGCCTCTACAGCACCGGTTCGATCCCGGCCACCAACGAAGGTCCCACATGGCGCGCAGACCTCTCCTGCCGCACCTGCTGCTCCCCTCAGCAGTGTTTTCGGTCCTTCTGCCTGTTCTGCTCCCCACTCTGGCTCTGGTGAATTCTCTCACCCTCCTATGCTTCTCTCTGTACCCAGTGCTTGTATAAATAAATAAATCTTTAAAAAAAAAAAAAAAAAGTAAAACAAACTGGTGAAGTTTTTTACACCACTAAAAATAAATGTTATTGAAGTCTATGGTAAAGATAATAAAAACCAACAGGATATCCTAAAGAGACTAAATATTGCAAGGATTAAAAGATAAAATGGGTAAAAACATATTAAGCTTAGTAGGCAATAAGCTTTCACTTTCTAAATTACTTAAAATTCACAATATACTAATTCTATTTGATATCTCTTACATCAGTAAGAAGTCCAAAAAACTTCTTTAAAAGTTAAAATTCTTAATACTATTGAGAAACATAACATGCATATGAAAACTGTTCATATTTTAATGTCTCATCACCTAAGATTAATTACTAGACATGCCTTCTTCATATAATTGGTAACTACATCAAATAAACACTGTTAGAAGTTTTAGGAAAGGACAGACAGAAATGTAGGCTTCATATCTATGTACATTTAAAATATCATATTAAAAGTCATAAAAATTAATCTAAAATGAAATCACACTAATAAAAACAACTCAAAATCCAGCAGTGAAAAGAAATACAAATTTAGCTCACAGAGAAAACATCCCAAATAACTACTGTATAGGGACTTCTTTTGTGAAACATCTGCTTTTCTAAATCTCCTGATCATAAAATAAATTCCATGATAAAATACAACCCTAAAGACTGAAAATATAAAGATGTTATTCAAAAACTTACCCAACATCTCATCATTTTCAATCAAAATGTAGCTACAAGGAAATGTAGCAAGTTTACACTTTCCCTCTACTTGTTCTTCCCTGACCTTAGCTGCTGCATATGTCAATGGAAGGAAGAGAAAATCCTGATGACACTCACCTCACCAAATGGAGTATAAAACTGCACAGTGTTTACATCTTTATCCTGAGCAGCTGCCTTCTGGGAACCTGCCACAGCCAACACGCTGCCAATGTGGTTCCACTGGATGCTCACAACATACATGCCTGTGTCCACCAGGACAGGGTCTAGCAAAGAAGAAAAAACAAGATAGCTGTGGTAAAATACTCAGCCCCTCGCACTCTGGAATCTGAAGAACAATTTTAAAGTATACTTTTTAATTCTCCACATTAAAGGGGGAAAGAGAGAAGAACTGCATACTTTGGTCATTCTCATGTCTCATGATTTGACACCTCCCATTGTCAAAGCAGATAGCCAGGCAGGGGCAGTCCGGCTCCACGTAGCCTTCAGTGCCGTGATACCAGTGAATCCCAGCAATACTGATAGCTCCGGTCACATTCACCAAACAGTTCAGTTTCATCTTCATCTAAATCAAATCAGTTAGGTTAACAGTCTGTATTTTAAAACAGATGAGTATGACTAGAATGTCGCGGACTTTAAAGCCTGATTTCAAATGCAAGCTCCATCAGTTACTGATCTACTAGTCCTGGACAAATCACTTTGCCTGAGTTCAACTTTTCGCCATTTGCAAAATGAAAAAAAAAACCTCACAGAATGTTCATGAAAGTCAGATGATAAGAGGTGTATGGAAGCACTCTGAAAATATCAGTGTCAAACAAACTCAGCTATTACCAGTTCCACCAATGAGTGGCTTCATGTAACGACACAGCTGAAAACACACTGCCGGTAAGATTAGAGACTCTCAGTGCTGAGCTCACAAAGCCAGTGTTTCCTGAGATTATGCTACCTGCACCTACTCTATTTTGCTTTTTTTCCAGGGCCTGGCTTTTCTTTTCACAAAGCAATTTTATTCACTTGCTACAAAAATATCTTTGGTATTTCATGTAAACCTTGGTTCCGATATCAGAAGACACAGAGGGTAAAGGGCCCCTCATCCAGCTCATTATCTCTCTCGGCTTCAAGACATGGTGTCCTTTCCAGCTACCAGGCAATCAGAACTAAAAGCTGAAAATAGTCTAACATGTTGCAATACATGCCATGAAGCAATCAAAAGAACTTTAATAAAAAAAGGTAGACTACTACAAAAAATCTCAATTGGAGGCTTTGATTGCACACATCATCATAACAAATAAATGAGTATAATACATGAGTGATAGATAAAATAATCATATAAAATTATATAAATAAAACCGATGAATATATACACATATATGTATGTATACTTACTATAAAATTCCCTTGATTATCATAAATGTGGATTTCTCCATTTGCCATTCCAAAAAGTAAGATCTTACTGTCTGCAGACCAAGCTACATGGCATAACTGTATACCCTTCAGGTCTTTTCCCCAAATACGATTCCCTAAAACAAAACACAGAAACTAATTATTTCATTAAAACTTCAAGGACATGATTATCCAACAACTGCTTTACAAGTCCTGATTTCCCTGAAGAACACTCACATTGTCTAGAGCATTCGCGCATTTGTTCAATTTATTCAGTCAATAAATATTTATTAAGCACCTACTACATGCCAAATACCCTATTAAAATAACAGTGGAAAAAGTAGCTATTTCATACTTCTTCCCTTCTCTTTTAGACTCTGCCCCGGCCTGTCTCCAAATTAGCAGATTAATCCATCTTCTAATTTGGAAGAAAAATAAAGGTTTTCAAAAAAGAAATTTTCTCATTTCCGTTTTTTAACAGTCTGAACAAAACTGAATCTACACAAATATTTTCTGCTTTGGCCCCTAAAACAAAGGAAGAAGTGTCTCCCCAACGAGACACCCACTCACCCACTCAGGCTAATCCCTCTGCCACTTCTCTGATCTGATCCATTCCTAGCTTTGTAAAGATGTATCAATTATTCTCATTTTCCTTTCTCTTTCAATTCTTTTATCTAGGCCCTTCTTATACGCATACTCAGATTTATCCATCTTTACAGATGTCATTTCAAAAACAAACCAACCAAAATAAAACAAAAACATTTCTCTCAACCATAAATTCCCCTCCAGGTATCACCCTATTTCTAGCATTCATTCTTTCCAGCCGAAGGTCTGGAAAGTTTTCTATACCTGTAATCTGCCCCCTGCTGTTCTCCCACTCAACCTCAACTTCTGCCCAGAACTCCACTCCACTGCCTTCCTACAGATCACCAATGGCCTGTGTTAAACCTCTAAAGATAAAAAATTATCAGCTAAGGACCTCCCCAGAGGCGCAGCAGGTTGAACGCAGCGCTATGAAGCTGTCCGGCGCAGCCTCTGCAGTGTGGGTTCAATTCCCAACCGGCCAGGGAGATCCCCGCAGGTGCGGCAGACCTCTCCTCTCTCGCCCGCTGCTCCCCTCAGCAGTGTTTTCGGTTCGTCTGCCTGTTCTGCTCTCCACTGTCTCTGGTGAATGCTCTCACCCTCCTGTGCCTCTGGCCTGGACCCCTGTATAAATAAATAAATCCTTTAAAAAAATTATCAGGGCCTCCCCTGGTGGAGCAGCGGTTAAGCGCTGGGCTGCAAAGCTGTCCGCAGCCTCTGCAGCACCGGTTCGATCTCAGGCCACCATCGAGGGTCCCACATGGCATGCAGATCTCTCCTGTCTCGCCTGCTGCTCCCCTCAGCAGTGTATTTCGTCAGTCTGCCTGTTCTGTTGCCCATTCTGGCTCTGGTGAATTTTCTCACCCTCCCGTGCTTCTGACTGTACCCAGTGCTTGTATAAATAAATAAATAAATCTTTTAAAAAAAATTATCAGCTAAGTCTTAGTTCTGAGCACAAGGCATTACCATCCACCGAGCCAACAATCACTGCCCCATCTTCATACACGATGCAGATCTTCTGCCCATCCGCATTCCAGCTCATGCTGCGGACCACGGATTTATTTCTATTGTTGATCATCTCCTCATACCAAGAGCCTATTTTCACAAATTCACAAAAAAAAAAAAAAAAATACAATTCAAAGTTTTCACAACTGTTAAATGGTACTTCAGAGTTGAAAGCACTCCACAAAATACACTGTAGGATAATTCATTTCAAAGTTTTCTATAACCTGAGACATTAAACTATAAAACCTCATATCCAACATACACAAAAAATTAAACTGCTCCAAAGATTATCATAGAAAATATAACAGATAACCATCTCTTCTCCTCTTCCTCCTTCCCTCCCTCCCTGTTTCCCTGCCAACTTCCTGCCCTTCTTTCTTTCCTTCCTATCAAAAAAAAAAAAAAAAGAAAACCTTCACTTGCTCTTGAGAGCCAACACAATGGATTTTTCTCAATAAAGATCTTTTTTTATCTCTTAAATACACTTCAAAAACAACTGGAAAAAAATGGAATAATCACAATAACCTGATAAACTCTACAATGGTCAATAAGCATATTAGATTAAAATTCTAAACCTCCTTCAAAAATACTTTAAACAGCTGATAACATACTAGAGATATTATATCACTAATGCTAAATGACAAAAACATTGTTGCACACAGCATTGGAGTGAGATGCGACTAATCTCAGTAGAACCAACTGCAAGGTGAATCTGGAGGCTGTTTTGTTGTGTTTTTGTTTTTTGAAAGTTTTTACTACATTTTGTTATTAGAAACTCTCATCTGCAGCCATGCAAATGATCACGTGACCTGGAGTAAGTAGTCAAGGCAGGGCATTATCAGAGTTAGGACTGAGGCACAGAGAAAACCTACCTTGGAAAAAGATAAAGTCTACTCCAGCCTCCAGTACTTGTACATTTGCTTCCAGCACACACAAATTTTAGGAAAAAAGAAATTCATGGACTATGACGTAGTTTTTAATTAAAAGCTGTTAAATGGCACACCCTGCATCTTGTCAAAGCAACACACATGAACGAAATGGTTTTTGCTGTTGAGTTGATGGCAACCGGCCTCAAGAGAATAGGTATCATGAGTTACTTTTCTGGTAATAGTGAAGCAGTGTAAGCTAATCCTCCTGTTGCTCTCTCTTCTGGGCGAAAGCACAAATTGTGAGTTGGTAGACAGAGCAGAGATAAAATCTGTATCTATTAAAGAAAGGAAGCTAACTGATTCAATAAAGGAAGTGAATTATTGCCTTAGACTTCCTAATAAATGTATTTTTAACTACTGAGTGAACTCCAGTTACTGACCACATGGAAACTAATTCTTTGCTTAGTTTCCATGGGGGAAAAAAAAAAGCTAGCTCAAGCAGGAACTATCTGCTTAGTGTCTATGTTCATTTTGGAGCTAGCCAACAGGCACCTGATTCATTTCTTAATACCAGGCCACAGTTCAAAGGAAATAAAGTTAAAGGGTAAAGTCAACAGGAACAAATCCAGAAATATCACCATTGTGCAGTTAGGATGAATTCCAGCTGCTGGTTAGAAAGGTTCCAAAGATGTTATTCCCCCTGCAAATACTGCAATTCAGACTCCAATTTGGGAGAGATGAAACAAACTTCCCTAATATACCTTTATATAACATCCAGACAATGATCAGCCCATTCTGATCACTGGTAGTCAACTTCTGGTATTGTTCATTCCATGTCACCACTTGAACAGAACCTAAAAATTATAAAAATGATTTAGAAACTAAAAGGAAAAAGGCTACCATTGATTTCAAATTTATATTCTGATAATAAGCCCCAAGAGCATGTTAAAATCAATATAGTTTCTGTTCAACTAACTGGTCTGTAATATTACTCAGAAATACTCAGAGGATGCAGTTACTGTTATCACTAATTTTCTGTAACAATGCATAATAGTATTTTCATGTTTCTTCCTATTTCATGCCAGCAAAGGCACCTATGGTCAGTTGCAGGAAGCACCATATAGTCAATGATAGAAACAAACATGATTTACCCGGTTGGTCTGACTGCCAAGGAACATAACTCTCAAAGGACATGATGCTAAGTAGTTGAGTTTGTTTCTTTGTTTTGGTTTTTGTTTTTTAGAGAGGGGAGATGTTGTGTTTGGTTGGTATGTACCATATTCTCTCCTCCATCACCCTGATTTGCCATTCTAATAGTAACACACTCTTGAACCTATCTTAGACCTCTAGGTTATATGAACAATAGATATTTTGTTTTGTTTGTTTAACCCCTAAATAGTTTAATGTATATTGCCTAAGAATAAGGACATTCTCCTTGATAACCATATTACAAATTAGGAAATTTTAAATGGACATAATATTAATATCTATCTCACAGTTCATATTCAAATTTTATCAATTGCCCAAATAATTTCCTTTATAGATATTCACTTTTCTCATTCCAAGATCTAATCTAGGAATGATCTAATCTAGTTAGTTATTAGGTCTTTTTTGTGTCCTTTACTCTGGAACCATAAGACAGATACTTAAAAAGGATTACACATCCATCCATTAATAAAAGTATTTTTAATACATAAAATAACAGCTACTTTTTTCAGATTCATTGATGGTGTTGTAAAATCATGAAAAAGTTCTTGAATTACTCTAGGTTGCACTAATTAATAAACTCAAAAAAAAAATTACTTGAAATAGTACCATTATTTGAAATACTGGCATTTCTGCATTTAGTAGTAGCATTTCTGCTTCCACATTAAAGATGAAACTATTCAAATATAATTTTTAAGGTTATACAACTCACCACTATGACCTTCAAGAGTCTGATTCATAGAAAGGTTACTGGGAGCTGCAAGACCCCTCAACTTTGCATCACCTAGAAAATCAAACAAAAACCTACTATGGCAAGTACATACAAGTGATAGATGATAAGATTTTGATGTTTCTTGCTTTTTTTTTTTAATGCTGTTCCTATTCCTGAAGGATATTAGAAAAATTATATTTTAAACATGCCTCATTCTGATCTATTTTCTTAGGGTGGAAACATGGACTATAATACATACCCCCTGAGAAGATATTATTCTGGTAAAATAAAGCAAAATGTAGACAATAATACCAATTACTCAGCATATTAAAAGTATTAGGAGTTATCATTGCTACTTATTCCTTCCCAAAAGATCGCAAATAAAAGTATTTATGACACATAGATTGAAAATTCTGAAACATAAGAGATAAAAAGCAAAGACCTTAGAAACTGGTTTTTACTAGATTTTGCAGAAATCTTACATGCATCCACTCACTTATTCATTCAACAATATTTATTGAATTTCTATATTGCTATGTACTGTAAAAATTTCTAGAAGCAAAATGATGAACAAAATAATTAAGACTTCTCCCCTCAAAGAGCCTGTATTCCACTGAGGGAACAGATATTAAATATCATTCAACACCCACAAAAATATGTATGCATGTATATGTACAGTGGGGTGTGTGTGAAGGCATAACAATAACAGAGAAGGATTAATTTAAATTGGAAAGAGGGAAAATCAAGGAAGTCTTTCTGAAGAAATGACATAAAGTTGATACTGAGGGATAACTGGAGACATGCAAGTAAGGTAGGGGAATAAGGAGAGCACCAAAGGCAAGGAAGCAGCGAGTATAAAAGCCCTGGGGTAACAGAACATAGTCTTTGACAAACCAAAGTAAGGTCTATGCAGTTGAATTAGGGGGGAAATAGCATAAGATGAGGCAGGAGTGACAGGCACAAGGAAACTTCAGAAGTCTTGTAGGAAACAATAAAATTTTAGATTTTCCAAAGTGCAATGGAAGCCTTCAAAGAATTTTTATTTAAATTATTTATTCTCCTTGATTACTAATCACATGGTGGCAAATATGGCAATATTAAAATAAGCCATCTCAGTAAACTAATGTTTATTTAGAAAATCTGCTTGTTGCATATAAAACATAGCATTTGAATTTTTCACTTAAAATTACAAATTTGAAAAAATCTCAAAAATTTGCAATAATGGAAATAATAAAACTTGATGCTAAAGAAAATTCTACTTTCGGCTAACATATATCTTAAAATATTACTAAAAATATCCTTTATTTGAAAAATACTTTTCACTGTGAAAACAATATGAAGAAAAAATACCTGAATTCTTCTAAAACCTCTAGTTCTAATTATCCAGCTGCTGTCTTGGCAACACTAAAATAAGTACATTTATAATATAAACATGCACATATAGTTATATACACCTGCATACATGTGTGTATATGCATACATATGTGTGTATACACACATGCACACATATACATATGACTAGCACAGTCATCTGTCAAACAATTAGGACAGATATTGGCATATACACTAGGTTGAACATTTTTTCAACATAGGGTTCTTTCACTCATCAAATCTTTTAAAAATTGTACTAAACACTTAAACCTATTCTAATTTTTTGAGAGTGTATGGTGGACACATTTTTCTTAACTTACAGAACCGAAAATCCATTCTAACGCCTTTAGCAATAGTGACTATAACCAAGTAAAATTAGTGAAATGTGATTCTAATAGTTCATAGGACCCAATATATTTGAAAGTGTAATGAAGCAATTCCGTTTTTCTATTTTTTTTAGTTTGAAATCAGAGTTCTAATCAGGTTAAATGTTTTTCTCTCTATGCAGCTATAAAGTACAGCACCCTTCACATAATAACTGCTGACAAATGAGAAGAAAAGCTCTCAAAATTCAGCTTTACACACTGAACAAACAGTACCCACATCTGAATACTTGCTGGTCTCTTGCTGGTACCAACATCAAACCTTAATCACACACACACAAAAAAAAAGGGTGCAAAATCCATCTTAAAATTCTGACATTCAATAAAAGGCCAAAAGTATCAAATGAAGTCGAATAAAGCCAGTAATACCCACTGAGCTGCATTCCTGAACTCCCCAAGGCCGCTAAGGTAACACACGGAGCTGGCACAGGAACCAACATCTGGTAACGCTGACATCACCCTTCTAAGAGCACCTGGCAAAGCTCGAGGACTTCAAAGGCACGGTGAAAGAAGCCATCAATAAAGTAGGCATCTAAAAACCATGAGGAGGAATTTTAAGATGAAATCCATAAATCCCACAATCTAAAGTATATCCCAGAAGCTCAAAAGGTTAAGGAATTTTAACAGATTGAACTGTAATACAGTGACTGAAAATGAAGTACATAGGTGAACAGAAGAGCCTGCTAAGAACACCAGACTGCCAAGCACCTTTGTCTTAGAAACCCTTTCACAGAAGTCAGTTTTTGCCTTTACATTTTGCCTTCATAAAAGGTGTAAGCTTTTATTTGCATCCATCAAAGTTGTTAGTAGCCCAATTCCAAGAGAAATTCCTGTAACAGGCGGCACAACAAGCATGGTGAGGAGAATCAAAATATATGGAAGAAACTAGGCAGAAAAAGAAGAGACCATGGAACAGCTGACTCCAGGAGAGAAAATATCAAAAACTTCAATTATTTAAAAGAGGAAGGCTACGCCCAATGGCAATTATACGCTGTGATGGCCCCCAACACACACCTATTCCTTTTACAAGGCTCCTTCAAAAGATGGTGCAGTTCTGAGGAGTCACTACCATGTTCCCAAACCCCAAACAGGCTCCCCTGGCTGCTCAGGGTGAAAGGCAGCAAGTGACTTGGCATGCCCATGGACACAGCAATAGACACCTGATCTGATATTTCTGGAACTTGGATTTTCAGGTCTTTCTCTAGAATGGAGTGTGTCTGGATATGGATATGAACACCCCTAGAATGAACACTGGACCCTTCCCTGTCACTCCTGTTGCGTGTGCACCCGGCGGGGGGAGAGGCATCCTTGCCGCCTGCCATTCCCGGACGGCTGCGCAGATGCTACAATCGGTATGAATGGTCTTCAATGGTCTTTATCTCTGACCCAAATGTTTGCTTCAGGGTAATATCTTCACTCATGCCCATGAGTGCACAGAGACCTTGGCAGCAGTAGCAGGAAAATTAGGAGCTGCCATCTCAAGCCCAGCCAGGCCCCTGCCCCACCACCCTACCGACAAAGGGCCGGCAGACCTTTGGGGACTGATTTTTTTTTAACAAGGAAATGATACGATCTGGTTCCTTTCTTTCAAAATCCCATGCTAATCTTGAGAAAAAGGAAGAAAATGGAGGCATCATATTACCCTTCTAGGTACCTATAGAACATGTATTCATTAATTTGAAAAGTTATATGCAGCATAATGTTTACTGCAGCATCACCTACAGCAGCTAAAATACAGAAACAACCTACATGCTCACTGATAAAAGATTGGACAAAGAAGATGCATGGTGAAATACTATACAACTGTAAAAAAGACAAAATTTTGGTATTTGCAACAAAAAGTCAGAAAAAGACAAATATTGGATGATTTCACCTATTTGTACAACATGAGGAAACAAAGCAGATGAACAGACCAAAAAAAATAAAATAAACCAATGGACTTTGACTACAGAATTGAGATAATCAGAAAGGAAGAAGGAGGAGAGTGGGAGCAAGGGTGGAGAGGGTCTAATGGATGGGTATTTTGCTTTCTAAATAAAAATGTGTGTGTGAAAAAAAAAAAACAAAACAAAATCCCATGCTAACTGGAGTTTGAAGTATGGGCTGGAAGGAAGCTAGGAGAGATGAGAGTCAGAGGAAAACTAATTCTCCTGGAATCTATACGAGGGATGATAGTGGCCGGAAAAGATCAAGAGTTCAGCTTTAGGCATAAGTATGAGATGCGTGGAGCGATGTCTGAAAACTGAGGGCTGGGGCGAGATATAAATTTTGGAATCATCACCATTATAAGCCTCAGGGAGGAAAGAGAACTAGAGAGCACTATAATGACGAGAGCGCCCAGATCCAAGTTCTCAGGAATGCCAGCAGTTAGAAGAAGGGGCAGCTAATAAAGAGGTTGAGGACTTACCAGAGAGGAAAGCGGAGGAAAGGGCGGGTTTAAATGTAAAAATAATTTAAAACATTTGAATTCTGGGTCCCACCCCCACCCCGCCCCGGGTGGCACAGTGGGTTGAGTGCAGTGCTGTGAAGCTGTCCGCAGCCTCTGCACTGCGGGTTCGATTCCCAGCCAGCCAGGGAGATCTCCACAGGGCACAGCAGACCTCTCCTGTCTCGCCCGCTGCTCCCCTCAGCAGTATCTTCAGTCCATCTGCCTGTTCTGCTCCCCACTCTGTCTCTGGTGAATCCTCTCACCCTCCCGCGCCTCTGGCCTGTACCCCATCTATTGTATAAATAAAAAATAAATCTGTGAAAAAAATAAAACATTTGAATTCTCCTTTTGTCTTGAGGAATGTTTCGAGATGGCGGGAGAGATCTAATGCTCATATGAATCAAAAAGACTATCCATTAGATTTGGACCCTCAAAGTCACTGGGGAGGGAAAGAAAGGAGGGAGGAGGCGGAGAGTGAAAGAAGAGAGAATAATTCAGTAGGAAGTTCCCTGAGAACGTGAGAAATGTGAACACTTGGGAGCAAGTGCCAGTTCTAGCTCGCTTCCAAGGAAGTGAGAATGCAAATCAGTGCCAGTGAGAATGCATATTAGTGCAAACTTTCTGGAGGGTAATTTGGCTAAACATTAAGGACCTTTATAAAGGCACATGACCTTTGGGCCTCCCCGGTGGCACAGCGGTTGAGCGTTGGGTTGCGATGCTGCCCGCGGCCTCTGCGGCGCCGGTTCGATCCCCGGCTGCTCCCCGGCCACTGGGTGAGGGTCCCACATGGCGCGCAGACCTCTCCTGCCGTCCGCTGCTCCCCTCAGCAGTGTACTTCGGTCCTTCTGCCTGCTCTGCTCCCCGCTCTGGCTCTGGTGAATTCTCTCACCCTCCCGCGCTTCTGACTGTACCCAGTGCATGTACAAATAAATAAATAAATCTTAAAAAAAAGAAAAAGAAAAAGAAAATAACTAAACATCAAAAGCCAAACTTTCATTGTTACATAGTATCTTCCTTCCAACCTGACTTTTTATTTTCTACAATTAATCTAGAAACATCAAAACAATTGTTCTCTCTTCACTTAGGTTCCCTAGGAGTCTTCTATACAGCAGTTCATATCAGGGACTTGAAAGTGCCACAAACCTAAGTTCATATTCCAGCTCTGCCACTTACTAGCTACATGACCTGGGCAAGTTATTAACTGATCACATGCCACAGTTTTCTCATCTGAAATAGCTACCTCTCAAGATTATTGGGAAATCAAATGAACGGTATAGGTTAAGCACCCTGTAGACAGACAGGCCAAGCAATAATTATGAGTATGCACCTTGGTAGCTTGAAAGCTGTGCTAACTCAAAGTAAGGTCTGAGGACTAGCAACACCAGTGTCACTAGAAATGCAAATTTCCAGATCCCATTCCAGATGTACTCGGAGACTGGAGGACTGAAATTCACTTTAACAACTCTCCAGATGATTCTTTTTTTTAAAAAATTTTTTTTTTAAAGATTTATTTATTTATTTATTTATACAAGCACTGGGCACAGTCAGAAGCGCGGGAGGGTGAGAGAATTCACCAGAGCCAGAGCGGGGAGCAGAGCAGTCAGAGGACCCAAGTACACTGTTGAGGGGAGCAGCGGGCGGCAGGAGAGGTCTGCGCGCCATGTGGGACCCTCCTCCGGTGGCCGGGGAGCAGCCTGGGATTGAACCGGCGCTGCAGAGGCTGCGGGCAGCTTCGCAACCCAGCGCTCAACCGCTGCGCCACCTTGGAGGCCCAGATTTATTTATTTATTTATACAAGCACTGGGTACAGTCAGAAGCGCGGGAGGGTGAGAGAATTCACCAGAGCCAGAGCGGGGAGCAGAGCAGGCAGAAGGACCGAAGTACACTGCTGAGGGGAGCAGCGGACGGCAGGAGAGGTCTGCGCGCCATGTGGGACCCTCCTCCGGTGGCCGGGGAGCAGCCGGGGATCGAACCGGCGCTGCAGAGGCAGCAGGCAGCTTTGCAACACAGTGCTCAACTGCTGCGCCACCTGGGAGGCCCCAGATGATTCTTATGCCTGAGAAAGTTTAAAAAGCAACGCGGCAAGTTATCCAAAACGTTATTTAGTTCAACTCCCACATTTTACAAGAGTGAACTAAAGCCCAAAGACATTCAGCAACTTGCTGAAAGTCATTCAGTAGTCTCACAGCAGAGCTGAGATTCCTGCCTCAATCTCCTTATCCAGATCTCCAATTTAGACTGGGAATTGCCTAGATCTCCAATCCAGAGCAACACTGCAGATGCTAAAGGAATAGGAAGCAGTTTGCTGTGATTCCAGAGAACTAGAATAAGGGAAATCAAGCTGCAAATACAAAATAAGAAAAATGTGCCACAAAAAAATTCTGTCTGGGGGGGAACTAGGTATATAATCATTAACACATCCAATAAGCAGAAAAATAAGTCCTATTAACAATCTGTTAAAATGTTAGATTTTGTGACCTTTCTAAAATGTTGATATGCATCTTATTTTTTAGACTCCTAATAATACAACACAATAAGCAGACATAGCACAAAACAACACCATGACTTCGTTTTTACTTTTTGTTCTTCTTCATTTTCCATCAATATCTTCAGCAAAAGTCCTCTGGTGCTTACAGTTCATATTCTCTGCACTTTATTGTAAAAACACTGCAGGAAACACCACAAAATGTTTGGGGTTTTCTTTTTTCCTTTCTGAAATAATTAGAATGGCATGCTGATAAATAACAGTAGGAAATCTCTGAACAAATGCTACTAGTCCATTTTCCATCGAGTTCAAATATTTGGGTTACATTCACTTACCTGTCTGTGTCTCTAATTTCAAAACTTTCAGTAATCCATCTTCACCGCCACATGCTATGAACCCTTGGTCCTTGTTCCAAGATATACATTTCAACTTCACGTTATTGGGAATGGCGATCTGAAAGGCAACGACAGCCCCTCTCACGACTTTTCACCGAGGAAAAGAAGGGAGGCTGCAGGAGGTGAAGGCAGAGGAGACTCTCCCCATGAAGGGAAATGTTCAGCCTTGCAGAAGCATGAGCTGTTATGAGAATGGGCATGGCGTCCTGAACTTTCGCAGGCCCCTACTACATGAGAAAGGCAGTGACTTTGAAGGAACCCAACAGGGGAGTCATAAGCTGAAGTTTTAAAGGGGGTGGTGGGGTACGGAGGAATAGATGCACACCGTCGGTCCCAATTCCCTTCCCGCATGTGACCCTTAGGGTGCCCTGTGTATCACTTCTCTAGTGATGACCCAATAAAGTTCAGTCACCTGGACCAGTAGCAGGTGGAGAAGGGAAGATCCAGGGGGGCATGGAGGGATCGGTCCCGCTGCCTCTGCCCCCCGCCTCCTTCCCCCCAAAAACACAGGACCCAGCCAGAGGCAGGAATGGGAGAGCCGCGCGAGAGGACTGGGGGCTCCGCTCGCCAAGGCTGCGTGGGCCCCGGGACCGGCTGGCCGGGCCCGAGGCTGGCCGGGGAGGAGGGCTGGCGCGGGATGCGCGCCGCGGGGCTGCGGGGAGATGGGGGGCGAGGGCGCCCCGGGAAACTCACTTTCTTGTTCAGGTAAAAGAACATCCTGGGACCCCAATGGACGACCACCGCCGCCAAGGCCCGGCCCCAGGACACTCGCTCTAAACGCCGATCGCAAGTACCAGTAGCTCCTGGAGGACCCGTCGCCCTGGCAACCGCCGCCGCCCGTCGCGTCCGGGGCGCGGAGGGCACTTCCGGCGTCGCGCCGCGCCACGTCGTGCGCCTGCGCGGACGGCGGGGGTCGAGGGCGGAGGTCGGGGGTCGGGGGGCGCGGGGCGCGGGGCGCGGCGATGGCTTCCCTGCGCGCTCGGGGCGCTGCTGCTCCACGCGCGGGGCCGCAGCGGCGACTCGGTGTCCCTCCCGGCCCCCGCCGCCCCCAGCCCGCGCGGGCTCGGGGCACGCGCCGCCCCTGGATGGTGGCGGTCGCCCGAGGGGGCAGGGGGCGGTCCCGGTGTCGGGCGCGGGGTGAGCCCGAAGCCCCAGCACCGGTGAGCAGGAGAAGTCGTCGGCAGGGCTGGGTGGGGTGCCGCCCGCAGCCCAGTGGGGCGCAAAACTGCGTCCCCAGGACTTGCAGACCTGCCCCGGCGCTGAGCGGGAGGGAGACCCCTGCGGCGGGCGCGAGGGGGGCGACTGGGTTTGCAGCTCATTTACACTGTCAGGGCAGACACTGGGCCCCCGGCGCTTGTGTGCATAAATAAATAAATATTTTTTTTTTTAAAAAGTATGCGCTTTGGGACCATTGCAGCGTATGGCTTATAATTCCATCTTTAAGGAATTGCAGAGTGTAGGTATCTTCCCCCCGGGATCTGATCCGCCGTCTCTTCTGCGCCTCGTTTCGCTTCTCCGTTCTCCTTTGTCCATCGGAATGCGCCGGGGGTAGCGCCACAGTTTCAGGCCTAGGGCAGAAACGCCCCTGAGATTCGGTTTCACCCGTTTTGGGGTTTTTATTTATCTCTGGTTTTCGTATTCACTACATTTTGTGGCTAACACTGTAATTTGTATAATCTAGCTTGTCATTTTTGCAGCAGTAGCTAATTTCCCCTACTTAGAGACTTTCCCCATCTCAAGCAAGAGTTCACCCAGCACACGTTGGAATTGACAGTAGCCCTAATGCCTTTCCCATCAAATCAAAACCCAGCTACAATCAAGTCTTCCTTCAGCCCTAAAATGTCTTTACTATGGTGTTTCCAATCTAAGCAAGTCAGTATGCTCTGTTTCCAAGGTCATTTCACAAATTCCATGATTTTCCTGCCATCTTGGGTAAGAATTGTACCTAGCAGATGCACAAATCAGGCCTCCCTGAAACTTTCACGTTTAACCCCCAATTCAGTTAATATATTTGTTTTCCAGTATATATATGCATCTGCTTTTTCAGCACCAAACTGTAAATTCCTAAGATATGATCGCATCTTCTCACATGGACACCCTACCTGGACTCATGTAACAATGAGTGTTGTCCAAGCTAGGGTATTCCAATCACCTGTTCGTGTTTAAGAGACACCAGTAGCTGAAGCTACTACTAGGAGTCGCATTCTTGATAACTCATCTTGTGGGAGCTTGGATTATCATGTACCTCAACTATTCTGTGTCTTTGCCTTGATCATTCTTTGCTTTGACTATTCTGTGCCTCTCTGTGCAGAAACAGGGAAAGTTGATAAAGAACATCTCAGGGCAAAAGTCCTGGTGTGAGGATTTATACACGCTGACAACAGCATGTGCAGAAACAGCAACCGTGTGATGGTGAGGGCAGCATAAACACTGAGACTGCCCTTGACTTTCTCCCTGTTTTCCACCCTTGCCTTGCTGCTTACACATCTCCCTCACACTTGTGCAGTCCCCTTTTGCCTGCTTGCTTCTCTGATCTTTTTCTATTTTCTGCCTGATTCTAAATAAAAACAAGACTGCCCTTGAAGCTCAACTATACCTTCATGGTGTAGTCCCTCTAGGCTTCTCACTGTTCTGCACGTGGACTCTGAGTAATCCTTTTTCATCCCGTCGCCACACACTGTAAGGAGACATCTCTCTAACCTTTCCCTAGTTCTTGGACATGCGCTCTTATATCTTTCCATAGCAGCATTTCCCTGACATATTAATATATATTACAGATTCTGTGCACAAGTTTGGAAAATAATACTGCTCTGTAGTTTTCCTTTTAAAAACGTTGAGAAGTAACAATAAATGTTCTATATAACATATACTGCCTTATTCTATTTTTTTAATTTCTTCCCTTTAATGTTTTAATTTCCTATTGTTTATGAATATATATCTTGGTTATATTTGCTTTTCAGAAGACATATATTAATGTAACTCATCTAAATTTAAATATTCTGCTCCCACAACACTGTTGATGAAAGCCATCCTTTTTTTATAACATTGATATTGTTTTCTATGAATACTGTATTAAAAGCCTAAGCAGTCAGTTTGCACATAGAAATTATACAATTATATACCACTTCACAAAGGCAGTGAACACATATTCTACAATATCTACTTTACAGAAATTTTTAAGTTTTAAATATCGAAAGGTGTAGCTGAAAAACACATAAACTTGGCAGCCGATAGTTCTGACAAGGAAGTTTCAGCTTAGGGGGATTATAAATACATGAATTTGAAAGTAATTAATTTAAATAATCATTGGGTAAAGCCTTTCTATTTACCTGAACTTACTTTTTTTTTTTAAAAGATTTATTTATTTTTATACAAGAACCAGGTACAGACCACATGTGTAGGAGGATGAGCTGATTCACCAGAGACAGAGCAGGGAACAGAATAGGCAGACTGACCGAAATACACTGCTGAGCAGTGGGTGAGACAGGAGAGGTCTGCTGCGCCATGTGGGTATCTCCCCGGCCGGCCAGGATCGAACCTGCACTGCAGAGGCTGCAGACAGTGGCAGAGCGCTGCACTCAACCACCTGCACCACTAGGGAGGCCTTGAACTTACATTTTTAACCTCAAGAGCTTGAGATTAAATTTTGCAGAGTCACAGCATTCTATCCATTGATAAGAAAGTGCCAAATACCTAAAATAATTGCTAAATCACTTTAAGGAAATATGTTAAGAGATAAAATTGATGATAATAAGCAAATGTAAGTCATCAAATTAATATCGACCAAAAGAAGAGATTACAATATATATAAACATAAGAACGTTTTATTATACTAAAAGCAATGCAAAACAAACAAAAAAAGAAGTTAGTAATACACAGCTTAAAAGACTTTTCTTCTAAAAGTTACAAGCTTTTAAAACTGAAAAGATGAACAGAAGTAAAAAAGTTAGGCTTATCAATATTTAGAAAGACAAATTAGGTCTTATTACTTGCTGTAGTGATATTTATAAATTGGCCCCTAAAATAAATTTAGAAATGTTTCCATCTTTGGTTAAAAGTTAAAAGTTATAACACTTAATTCACAACTGAAGTTTTTAGCTGTGTTTCCTTCTAACAGCATGAATTAAAAATGGTATGTAATATTCCCTTCTTCTGCTTTAGCTATGTATACAATCTCTGAAGAGCAAGAAGTGTTGTGGAAAGTGCTGAAGAAACAGTTCTGATTTATATTTATATCCACTTAATCAAATGAACTTTTTTTATGTGTAAATACCTTGTACAGTTTATACTCTTAATTAATAAGACTGGTTATACTATATACTATCAAGATAAAATAAATCAAAAGTTCCATTATGAATATGGTTATCTTACTAGTATAAACAGTCTACCATTAAATGGCTCAATTAGTAAATAAATGGCTAAACCTTTCACTATTTTCTACCAATCATTTCACAGTCATAGCTTAGAGACACTAAAGTTTGCTTTTAACTGAGCATTTATTTCCTTAGAAAATGATACTATTTCTCCAGAAGATCCTCACACTACTTATCCAACAACCTTCAAGTTGATGGCAGTTTATCAGCAGGAACACTGGAATACATCGAAGAATGAATGAGTATTAAATACATTGAAGAATGAATGAGCATTAAATACACCGACTCCATATTTCCTGTTAAAATTTGAGTCATTTAGCGATGTAAATGCCCAAATTCATTTATCTGCAACTTCTCCAAAACATCATCTAGTGGCTGGTTGTTAAGGCTGACACCATTTATTCTTACACATTAGAAAACAGAAACACTTCAAACACTTCAATAGAAAAGAAAATAGTTACATTATCATAAATAAATAAAACAAAATTGTTTTCTCACCAAAACCCATATTTAAAATTCAGAAATGCTAGTCTTTGGAGAAGATGATAAATGTTTCCATTCATATATTCCCTAAAATATTTTTGACAAGTGACATCTTGTTTATATGTAAGTTATATGAAAATTTTCATAAGTTTTAGTTTTAAAATATACAGTTTCTGTTACATTATAAATATAGTCATTCTTTTAAGATAAAAATTAAATCAGTCCTTCAAATGTAACCCATGCTACATTAATATACTGAAAAGATACCTACTATAATTCTAGAACAATATTTCTTGTATAAAGAATTTTGTATTTCTCCTTTTGCCACAGAATTTTATTCTACTTTGAATTTTGGAAATCTTTTCTTGCTCACTCTAGGGTGCTTACCTGAAATAAGCTTATACATACAACAAGCACACACTCATTTATGATGAAATTGCCTTTAAATTAATTTTCTTTAACTAAAAATCCCAAAAATCTTTTGTCAAATCTGGATTGAGTTACCATGACAACTACTGTGAGAATATAATTGATTCAAGCACCAAATAAATTACAAATTTTTACATAAAATCATTTAAAACTAAAGGGAAATTTTCATGAAAACTTCTCTCTTAATGGGCGGGATTGGAAGAATAGTATTTATGAAGCTTTGAACTGTTGAATTGTCCCTTTGGTTCTCCAGAGATTTTACTTTTCCAAGAAATTTGTAAGATTCAGGCTAAGCAAGAGTCCACCTTTCTCTTGTAGGAAAGTGATAATACTACAGTAAGAGTGGGGAAAAAAAGAATGCCAACTGACCCCAAGCAGCCTTTTAGGCAGGCCATGTCAAGGAAGTGAAGGCTTCAGAACTAATTCCCTTAAAACACTGTGCACACCCCACCCCCCCCAGACCCCTGGAGTCTCCGCAGACTCCCAGGGGATCCAGCACAGAGTGAATCCCACTCCTCCGAGGTCCAAGGAGCAGCCGCTGTTCACGGAACTAAGAAAAGGCACTTTTCCTGAATTACTCCTTTGACTAACGAACTGACTTTGAAGGTTTCGGAGATGGTGCCATGTTACATTTTGAAACCTGCTTTTTGACCTCCAGGCTCACCAAAGCATACAACCTTGAGCTATCACACCCCACTCATTAGCTGACTCATTTTGTTCATGTACAGATTCTGGACTAAGAAAATCACACTAAGGAAGTGGAGTGTAAAAGTTCTACTTGTGAGTAAGTGCTCACTTGGCACACACACTGCTCTGGAAAAGCACTAGGGAAAGAAATAGGCAGCTTTTACAGTAAGTATTACTGGGTGATAACAGCCTATTAAAATATTTTTCTTTTAAAAGAACAAGTTTTTTTTTTTAAGTTGTGTATTACTATTTCCCACTTTAAAACTTACAGAATAGTACGTTATCCTGTGGAATGTCCTAAAATGTGTAGCTCAATTGCAGTACCTAAGTTGGCTTCAAAAGCAGAGGCAGAAAACCTTCCAGAAAGGATATGTTTGGTATTCAGTCTCTGCAGATACGTGCTGACCTTGTCCTGGAATGCCAGCGTGGCCTCACATCCACAAGCGTCTTCTGTGGAGATGAGTCTTCGTGCTTCCTCAATGGCTAACAATGACAGTATACAAAATGTTACAGCTAATGAGAAATCAGAGCAAATCAGGAACTCTACAATACTTCCATTTTTTAAGACTTTTTCCAGGGGGTCAAAGGATATAAGAGCCAACAGAAAGAAGAGAAAACAGTTAGAAAATACAAACTGTGTGAGGAGATGTTGGGAAAAAGTTTACAGCTGTCAAAGCTGGCTAGTGGTTATATGAGAGTTCATTGTATGGTCTCTGTACTTATGACTCCCTGAAATTTTCCATGATATAAAGCAGATTTTTTTAAAAGATGATTGATGTAGGGGGAAGCCAAGAATGCAGAGATAAAACAATTTTCTTCTGATACTGTGTCCTCACTAAGAAATGCAAAATGAGGAAAACAGTTCTCTGTAGGAACAAAATATTTCAAGGATTAAAGCTAAATAATTCCTGATTTCTTAAACGGACTATTACTCTCTTTGGTGGTTTGAATTGTGAGAATTCTACTTTTTGCCCTTGAAAACATGAGAACCAAAAATCAGATTTCTGTTGTTTACACTGAGCAAAGGACACGGGAGAACGCTAATGCTAACTCCAGCTCTGTCAGTGAAGAAGCTAGTCCTTTTCAATACCACAGCTCCTCAAGTTGCCTAATGAAGTAAGAGTAACTTCCTGGGCCTGAAGATTGATGTACAGATCTCCCTTGGCTTAAAAAAATATCCTAAGTCAAAAATGCATTAGTTGACCTAACCCACCAAACAACTTAGTGTAGCCTAGTTTACCTTAAGCAGCTCAAAGCACTTATATTAGCATACATTTAGGCAAAATCAACAAAGCCTACTGTATAATAAAGTGCTGAACAGCTCATGTTATTCATTGACTACTGGGCTGAAAGTGAGAACCCGTCTAGAGTACCAGTGGTTTACCCTCGTGCTCGCGTGGCTGCCGGGAGCCCTTGGCCATTGCCAACATCATGAGAGAGCGTCATCCCACACCACTAGGCCAGGAGAAGGCCAAAACTCAGCATCTGAAGTATACTTTCTATTGAATGCGTATTGCTTTGGCACCATCTTAAAGTCAAAAATTGTTCGTCAGACCATCGTCATTCAGGTACCCTCTGTGTTAGCTCCCCATTGAGTATAGCAGAACTTCAAATAATGTCACTTGATTCACTGTCATTTTGTTATAATGAGATGAAAAAATCATGGCAGGCATTGAGGGAAACACTTTTTTGAGGACCTGATTTTTCCACACATCATTTTGCTTAAAATCATAATCTCCACAAGAACTTCTCATGACGCTGAGGACTTAATGGACTGTAGTCCTCTTATCAGTGGTTTCTCTTTCTGTGGCTTCAGTTACTCACAGTGATCCTCAGTCCAAAAATATTATGCATAACACAATATTTCGAGAAAGACCATAGTCACATAATTTTTATTACAGAATATTGTTGAAATTGTTCTATTTTATTGTTGGTTATTGTAGTTAGTCTCACTGTACCTGCCTTACAAATTAAGCTTTATTATAGGCATGTATGTATAGGAAAAAACAAAGTATATAGAGTTCAGTATCATCGGTAGGATCAGGCATCCAGGGGGGCTACGAATGTATCTCTGCAGATGAAGGGACTTCTGAAGTACTGTTGCCTAAGGATAGGAAGTGACCCTTTGCTGATACATATTCTCCCACATTCTACAAATATATGCCATAGGGCTGGGGGACCATAAATTCACTTGATTAAATATCCACCTGACCAATTCCTGTTGAACCTTTCTGGGACAGCCAGCCCAATTCCATCTCAGCCCATTAGTCAGTAAGCCACAAGGTACCTATTGAATATCAAGTACATGCCCACCGTGCCCGTACAGGGTATAAGATGGGCATTTATAAGACGGGTCTGTCTTGCCTGACAGATAAGAGGCTGTATGAGGGCATATGTAAGGGCTGTATGAGGCTAAGTGAGATACTCTAATACCAATGGAAAACTGGGAGGTAGCAAATTGAAAGATGAGAGATGGCTCCACTGACAATAGCATGAAAAAGAATAAAGTATTTAGAAATAAATTTAGTAAGTGCAAGAATTATACACTGCAACTGCAAAACATTGTTGAAAGAAATTAAAGAAGACCTAAAAAAATAGAAATATCCCATGTAAATGGATTGGAAGGATGAAGAGGGTGGGCAGAGGGGAGCTAACACTTAGCTGGTACAGAGCTTTCCTGTGGGATGATAAAATGACTTTTATCCTAGCTGGGTGGTGTGGTGGCTGCACAAAATGTGAGTGTATGCCACTGAACTGCATGTTCAAAAAGGGTTAAAATGCTAAATTTTATGTATATTTTACTACAATAAAGAGAAATCCAGATGTACATAGGGAGAGACTTGAGGGCAGAAAGCCCAGAGGAGGAGTCAAACTTTATTCTGGCCTCCAGCGGAAGCCACAGGAGTCTTCTGACCAGGTGGGTAGCTCAGCCTGGGCGAGAGGGAAGCTTCCTCCTAGCTTGTCCCACCAAACGGTAGGCGGGAAGGCATAGCAGGGTCTTACCTGAACATGTCTTCCTGTCTTCATTCAAGGTGTAGCCAGCATAGCAATCGCAGTGGTAGGACGCGGGCCCATCACTCACACAGACGTGCTGGCACCCGTGAGAGCCCAGGGCACACTTGTCCCGAACTGACCGGGAGTGGCACGGGGAAGAAAAGACGCCAGATTACAACAGAGAACAAACAGCCTTCTGGGAGGAACAGTTCTCGTGAGGTGCCCATGGGTGCAAAGAACACCTCCTTCACCTTCAGCAACAAGTCTCGGGGCTTGGGGGAGGAATCTCACCCCACTAGCCTCGCCTTTTATTGCACACATGCTGTCCTTTTTGTTTCTTGCCTTCTCTTTTGGCCTCTGCACAGCACTGGGCTGCGCTGAGTCTAGATTATATCCCCAAACTTGCCATCGGCCCTTCCTGAGGTGCACCTCGCCGCCAGCACCACCACTATTCCTGGACTACCATAGCATCACCAGAGTAACTTGTTAAGGACCTACTTGCTCCTGGAATTAGTGCGATGCTGCGCAGAAAGGACTACAGTGACCAAGGGTCTGTGCTGCAGACCTTACAACGTGGGACCGAAAACACTGGCCTGCGCACGCGCACACACACACACAAATAGTGATGATGACGACGATGATGATGGTCACATGTATGACTGGAGAGTTAGGTATTATCTGTCACAAGTAAATACATTTCATGGAGGACGACAGAGTTTTCCCAGGCTTGAGGAAGTGAGAAAAGGGCCCTGTAGGTCCTGTGTCTGAGACAGCCCAAGGCAAATGAAAACAGCGATTCTCCTCAAGTGAACTCAGAAAGGCTTCCTGAGAGACAGGAAGGCCATCGCAGGGGCCGAGCCAGTGGATGCGCTCCCTGTCGCTCCATGAATGTTGGTGCACATGCAGATGCTTCCCACAGCATAGTGCTGCCCGTGAGGCAGCTCCACGTGCAATGCAGAGTCCTCGTTGGCCCATCCACAGAGCGTCTTCCCACCTCACACAGCGTTCCCCTTCATCACTACAAGCTTTTCAGCAAAATACCATAGCAAAACCAGTTATTTCCCCTCATCTCAGATTAGCAGCCTCTCTAGAATTAACAAATGACTTGGCAACTTCTTGGCTTTACCTCTAATTTCTAAGTCCCCCTGTTGCCCTCCCTGCAAGGGGAAAGCAGGCCCTGAAGGGGAGCTGTCCATGTCACACACCACAGCCTTGGAACGGTGTCCACTGTTACCTTAAAATATATAAATACTGGCTTCCCTCCAAAGTGCCTTTCTCTTTTGTCTTATGCCCAGGGCAAGTGCCTGGGCTCTGCTACTCACCGGCAGAGTGACCCTGGGCAAGTTACTCACTCTGACTGTGCCTCAGTTTCCTCAGAAGGTTGCTGTGAACATTAAATGTGTGAGTGTGTCTAAGGAGCCAGGTCTGGCACACAGACTGTCGAACACTGGCTGCCTCATCTGGGAGTAGTCTACCTTCACTGAAAATCAGCTTTGAGGGCCTCCCTGGTGGCGCAGCAGTTGAGCGCTGGGTTTCAAAGCTGCCCGCAGCCTCTGCAGCACTGGTTTGACCCCCGGCCACAGGGCAAGGATCCCACATGGCGCACAGATCTCTCCTGCCATCCGCTGCTCCCCTCAGCAGTGTACTTCATCAGTCGGCCTGTTCTGTTCCCCACTCTGGCTCTGGTGAATTCTTTCGCCCTCCCGCGCTTCTGACTGTGCCCAGAGCTTGTATAAAATAAATAAATCTTTAAAAAAATAAAAATAAACTGAGAATTCTCTATTCTGCCAGAAGATCTACAAAATATGAAAGTAAAGTTTGCAAAAAAAACTTAGAAATTAGGAAAACTTAAAAAAAAATTAGAAAAACTTAGAAAAAAAAGGAAAAGAAATTCAGCTTTGATGCTTTATGGTTTGGTTTTGTTTTTTAAATAAAATGTCCCATTTTATTCCATCATATCTGCAAGTTTAAATGTATGTTTGCTTTATTTCCTGTTCCCAGGTCTGGGAGGTTAAAGTATTAAAGGGGATACAGGGAGTCCTCACTTCATGTTGTTGCTGAGCTCTAGAAACTGACTTCAAGCAGAACAATCGATGACAAAAATAGGCCCACAAATAACATCATTTCTTCAACAGCCAATGGGATTGGTTTTTTCTCAACATTGGACCCCAAAGACATTCATCAAAAAGATGTGATTTGAGGACATGCAGTGCCTGTGCCCCTGCAAGTACAGCCACGAGTCCTCCCCACCCCAACTGAGTTCAGTCCCCGCCTTTCCCCCCCACACTGCCCCCTGCACAAGCCAATGCAAGTCACTCCCCCAGCGTGTGTTTCCCAGTCCTGGCCACCTAAACCTTCTTCTCCCCCGTGGCCCAGTCTGGCCCCACCCTCCCTGTGTCCTTTCCTGCCTCCCCAGCCCTTCCTTGCTGTCACCCCCACTCCTTGGCTACTCACGCCCGCCTTCCTAAGGTGTTGGTTGTCTTTGCAGCCTGTAAGAGTCAAAAACTTAAGCTTTTTTTCATCCCCACAGTGCTGAGTGCAGCCTGGGGAGCCACGTGGCGTCAGTGCTCTTATAGATTTCATGTTTCTGTAAGAAGGAGTGGGTGATATGCCATTTCCCTTCATCTCTCTTGAAAGGGTCACATAATATATCTTCTCCAGGGAGAGGAAAGTACACATAAAAATCTCTAAAAAAAACACTGAATGTGCCAGAACTAAACACCACCTGAGAGCTAGGTGTTTCTCTTAGCAGTGCTTTGACGTTATGAACACCCCCCTGTTCTGCCACATGAGTTTCAATCAGATTAATGAGGATCAGCAGTGCTGGCGTGAGCTCACGCGCCGAGCCATGGGCTCAGCTCCTCCGAAGATCGATCACCTAGAAACTGTTGGGGGATGACTCGCTTCAAACTTCCTGGAAGGTCTATGTGGGTCTAATTCAGTCATGCACAAAGTCTCCTTTAGTAAAACCACCCGGTTTTAAGATTAGCACTACAGAAAAGATCCAGGCCAAGTTTTAACTGGAAAAAGATCAGTTCAGCCTATCACACCAGTCACCATTCAACTGCCTTCCTCTATTTGCTTTACAAGTCCCCAGCGCACAGAGATAAATAATTTTCCTGGATAAAGATCCTGTTAGCTTGTCTCATAACCCCCATCCCCACCCATTTCCCAGTAATTTTCTGAAGTGACCTATGTTTGCAAAACCTAGTGAGCGCTTGGCCCTCTAAGTAATGTGCGTCTTGGCCTAATAAACACAGTAGAATGTTCTGAGCCAGATGCTTAAAATTACCTTCAAAGATCTGTCTCCTGATTCTTAATAATACACCATCTTTTGAATTCCAGGAGCTCATACGGCTCAAAATTGACCTAATGACCCCCAAACAACTCAGAGTAGTAAATATGAAGGGGATGAATCAATATTCATAGCAACACTCAATCAATTCAATCCAATGATACTATCAATACTGACATAGATGATGCTGAGATAAATGTCAGCATCTGTTTCAGGACCCAAATTAATCTGCAATAATAAAAGAATCTCACTCCTGGTGAATTGCAAGTTGGTTTCACAGCAATGAAAAAGCCAAGTGTGAAAGAACTTGCCCGGCAGACCCCACCTGAGCACGTCTTCTTGTCGTCAGCCAGCGTGTAGCCCTCGTAGCACTCACAGTGATGGGCCCCCGCGCCATCATTCACACACAGGTGCTGGCAGCCGTGCGTGCCCGCAGCGCACTGGTCGTCAGCTGCCAAGCAAAGTACAGGAGAGAAGAAATAATCAAAAGTGGAAGACTTTTTGGCTGACATCTCGAAAAACTTACGTGCAGATAGGACTTTATAAGAGTAAAATGTACTAGAAGCCATAAGGGCTGTTTGCTCTGAGCAGGACTGAGCTGAGTTCAGCAAGATCCTGCAGATAATAGCAACTAGCGACGCTGCTACTTCCCCCCCCATCGCTTTTCAAAATCATGTGAACTGAGTTTTGCTAATCCAGGTAGCTCGTAAATGCCTCCAAAAGTGTTCTTTTTAGAGTTACTGTGCTCATACCAAATCGGGAGAACGCCAGCAGTTCTGTGGTTAGTTACACTAGATGCGGAAAAACCCAGAAGCAGAGTGTGAAGATGTACACTAACCCTTCTCTTATAGATGAAGGGAGCTGAGTCCAGAAGAGCCACATCTGAACTCCAGACCCAACTGTCCACTGACCTCACTTTTTAAATTTTATTTTATATATTTTTTACATCATTTTTCATTTTGCACAATGTATGCATTTTCATCTTGGTTATAATTCCCATACAATTCCCACCCAAAACTGCACTTTTTTCAGCACCTTCATGATATATTTAAACTTTATTTTTAAGCTTTTCATTCTGGAATCACTTCAGGCTTATGAGAAAGTTGCAAAAAATAGCCCAAAAGTCCTTACCCACTTTCCTCGATGTTTCCATTGTCTATAACTACAGCACAGTCATCCAAGCCAGGACATGAATGCTGATACAGGACTAGCTGCTCATCTACACACCCTCCTTAATTTCTGCCGATCATCCCTCTACTAATGTCCTTTTCTGGTCCAGGACCCACTGCATGAAGGAATCATGTCTCCTTCATCTCCTCCAGCCCAGACAATTCCTCAGTCTCCCTTTTTCCTTCATGACTTTGACACTTTTGGAAAGTTCTGGAAAATTATTTTGTGGAGTGTCTCTCCATTGGGGTTTGCTGATGCTTCCTTATGCTTCTACCTTTTTAGCAAGAACACCATAGAGATGCTGTTGTGTCCTGGGGACACCATGGCAGGAGCTCATGGTCACCACGTTCCCTGCTGGTGCTGGTGGGTTTGGTCACCTGGTTAAAGTGGCCTTGGCCAGGCTATTCCACCATTTTCTCACTGTAATTCATCAGAGTCTTGGGGGTGTTGCTTGAGTGTTAACTTACTGTGTTTGGCATGGAAAGTACCACGAGAACAGGTACAGAGAAGGAAATGAATAGCACGGTGACACGACCTTGACACGGTGCGTGCGGCCACTTCCAACTCTGCTCATAAGACATGGGGAAAGCCCAAGGGTGGCAAGAGAGAAAAACAAACCAAGCTCTTTATCACGTGACCTGTGCCCCACGATGGACAAAGAGCAGCCTCCTTCCCCACTTACCTGAACAAGTTTTCTTGTCTTCGTTCAGGGAATAACCTTCGTAGCACTCGCAATGATAGAAGCCAGTCCTGTCATTGACACAGATGTGCTCACATCCGTGAGTGTTCAGGGCGCACTTGTCGATCACTATCAAAAGACGAGCAGGGCACAGGTAAAAACATGGAAAATGTGGGAAATCATTACAGCCCCCCCGACACACACAGCTAATGAGATGGGGGGCTGGGGGAGGCAAGGGGGGCGCTGCTGAACTGCAAGTTGGGAGTCAATTCCTAGTCTTCACCCCACAACACGAGTAAGTCTCCTCCCTTCTTCGGGTCTCATCTCATTATCTATAAAGTGTGTAGGTTGAATTAAATAATCTCTAAGTTTTTTCCTTTCAAAATCATTTTTCTAGAATTTAAAAAAGTTCCTATTTCCCATTCTTCATTGAGTTCATGTCAGTATTCATATGCCAGGCGAGTCAGGGTCTCTCTGAACTGCCCGCTGCCTCCAGATTCCATGAATCTGCCTGGCACAGAGAGGAGAGGGTAGCTTGTATTACTTAAATAAAATTCAGGAAAAGTTCCAAATCCTCAAAGAAGCAAGAGTTTTTGCCCCCTTCCTTACTCACGGACCTTTTCTGTAAAATCAGAAGCACCCTAGTAGGCTGATTTATGTATTGTCTCATTTTCTCCTCATTCCTTTTCAAGGTTTAGTGACAAGCAACAGTAAACCAGACAAAAGGCAGATGGGAGAAAGCACCAGGTCAGACCCAAACCCGGAAGATGAGGCCCCTGCAGGTGCAAGTCCTCCAGCAACCCAGCAGCCTCACCTGAACATGTCTTCTTATCGGCATTCAGGGAGTATCCTTGGCTACACTCGCAGTGGTGCCTGCCGTCCCCGTCGCTGACACACACGTGCTGGCACTGGTGTGAGCCCAGCATGCAGGGGTCCACAGCTGTGCAGGGGGTGACAGTGGTGAGTTACAACGCATGGGAGACATCCCAGGGACTCTGCTATGTCAGAAGACACGGTGCTTCCCGCTCCTTTCTGGGTCTATCTTCAGTTCTCGATAAACACCGGCTATTTGTTTCCTGCTTCTGGCTTTTTAGCAATGCCACCCCTTATTTACCCCAAAAATACGAAAACAGTAATTTGAAGAAATATATGCACGCCCACATTTATTGCAGCTTTATACACTCTGTGAAAGCCAAAGCGCCCATCAACTGAAGACTGGATAAAGAAGACAGGACGCATATATTTGCAATGGAGCTCTGCTCGGTTACCGAAAAACAAAGAAACAAAAAAAAGATGAAATCCTGCCCGTTGCAAACCGTGGACGGCTATTACGATAATGAAAGAAGTCAAAGAAAGTCAAACACGTAGGATAGAGAGAAAAAAAACAGATGAACAAAATAAAACAAACGCTTTTAGACCAAATGACTCATTAGCAGTGACAGAGGGGAAGCGGCAGGGGTGTGGCTAAATCGGGTGCGAGGTGTCAATGGCACGGGAAGGCGAGAACTAGAGTGGTGAATGCTGTGTAGTAGTTACACCTATTGGTTTTGAATGACGCACACCTGAAACCACGTCATCCTGCAATTTACTTCAAATGAAAAAAAGACATATCACTTTTACACTAGTAGTGCTGCTAATTTAAAGTCACAGATGGTGTGGGTTCCCTCAAAAGAAAAAAGGAATTTTGAATTTGGAGCAGAAGCCCAACACGCACATGGTGAGGTAACTTGATCTTTCATTCAATTGACCCAACCTGCCGATGAAAGCGCGTCAGTGTCCCAAACACCAGAACGGGGAGAAGAATAATGTACCCCTAAAGCTCTTTGAGCGAGCTGTCCCACTGCAGTCAGGATCTGGTTCCCAAGGGCCCTATTGTTGGTGACTGACAGAACTCACACACAAGCATTCCTGCAGGCCTGGGACTATTCCCTCTTGAGCTGCGACCCACTTTGGAACATGCAAATGGCGAGGGTGATGTGGTTGCGGCCTTCTGCATACGCAGCGTGGGTTCCTGAGCCCAAAGACACAGGCAGGCATCACGGGGCCTCCGATCTCTGCCAGGGAATAAACTCATACACTCTCCCCCACCAGGCAAAAAGAAAAGGATGAACAAAATGAATGAAATGACATTCGCTGAACTGCATCCCCATCTTCTGGCTCTTTTGGCTCTGGAGTCATTTCTATCTCGTTGGATTTTTCCCCTAGTGGGACGCCTGAAAGAAGAATCCATGAATTTAGTCGTTTCTGAGAAGGAGGCCTGTTGGAGGAGGCTGGGGCTTCTGCGGCAGGTAACCCAGCCTCGCTGCTCTGGCAACAAGACAAGGCTAATATTTTCCCAAGCAGGGCCTATTCAGGAGTGATCTTTCCAGCCTGTTGACTGCAACAAGCTGCTCCTCAGTCTTTTTTCCATAGAGAGGACATTTTCCCCCAGAACAAGCAGGTCTTTTGTACCGCAAGGCAAGGGTTCCACTAGCCACGTGTTACTTTATGGCCTCCCGGCCCCACCCCAGGTGCTAGCTTGCAGACCCAACTCTGGCAGAGCCGCGACTTTATGGAAAAGCTCTCACCACAAGCACTGGGGCCTTTCCTGGGAGAAAGAAAACCATTTTCTTTCAGGAAAAATGATGAATGCCAAGTAGATGCCACCGAAGCCAACAGCGGCCTATGAAGGCCCAGTGTCCTGGAATAGGAAAGACAAGCAGGTCCCGCCAGGTCTGGCTGAGATGAGGCCAAACTCTGCTCCAGACCAAGACTCCATCTCCCATTTCCTGACAAACTGGTGATCTCTGAGTTTCAGTCATTTAGATATAAAGTCCCCTTGACATTCACAATTACAATTGCTGGCTCCCTTGTTTGCCTCACCCCTACCTCCAGACAGTTGCTTTATGGTGGAAGGCACTACCTCTATCTTGGCATCATCGGTGATCAATAAATGTGTTTTGAGTAATTAAACAAGGAAGAGATTACCTAGCAAAAGTTACCTACATTTCAAAATTCACTTGAACTAGAAATTTATGTGCCCTGGCTTGAATAATTCCATAAAGGGTTTCAAAAACTGTCTTCGAATGATTGAAAAAAATAAAGCAGAGAGATAGTAAATACAGCAAAACCAAAAGAAAATAAAAATAAATTTAAAAATAAAAAGTAAAGTACGCATCCCATACATCCAGAACGCTGACCAGTGACTAAAGATAAACTCCAGTCTTGAATGGATTCATGTTCACGGATGTGACTAATGGATGCTAACGTTTCCAATCAAATTAGCATGTTCCTACTCAAACTCCATCCTAAAGGAAGGAAGGAGTAGAAGGGCAGTGACAAAAGGATTTTCTAAAAGTCTTTTTCTTGCTATCCTTCAAAGGAGCTGAAACTCCAGTCTCTCCGATTGCTGATCCCACAAGGAATAATCTGAGAAAGAGCTCGGACACCCTGAAAAGTAGGGTGTCCTCGGCCCTCACCGTGACAGACAGTGGCACCAGCACCGAGGCCAGCATATCCTCCGGGGACAAAGGCTGCCACCTGTCCTCAAACAAGCAGAGCTGTTAGGCCTAGAGCTGGAAAAGCTAAAGAAAATATCTGGGGAAAGCGTAGTGGTGCTCAGAGGGGACAAGAGAGGCATCTTCAGTTTATTATCTTCATTTTTTTCTGACCCCATTGGGGAACAGCGGGCTCATTTATCCTGGGTATTTCCAGCCCTTCCCATTTCTAATGCAAACACGGAGATTTTATGAGCAAACCAAGTCACATATAAGGCAGCTCTATACTCCTACACCAACAAAGTATGTTTACATTGGTAAAAAGCACCAAAAAAAGTGTTCCTATATCTAAGTTTTACATAAAATTTCCATTAAAAAAAGAAAGAAATCCCTTTTTCTATAGGTACATATGCCTGGATATAACATCCTCTCCGGTGAGAAGCCAGCTTACCGCAAAAGGTTTCCTGGAACCGTGAGGAGAGTTTCTCGATGACCCCATAGGTCTCCACGTAGAACACATGCTCTTCCAGGGGCTCACTGGCCATCATCTTGAGGGATGCCAGGTCTGCCCGGTCCACGCCCACCGCGTAGAGCTCGATACCCGAGGCCCGGGCCCGAGCCGCCACCTCGTTCACCTGATCCTGGGGCCTCCCGTCTGTCACGATGATGGCCACCTTAGGGATGTTGTACCCGGGCCCCCGAGCTCCTGCCTCCATGGTGAAGGCTTCATCCATCGCTGTCTGGATGGCCAGGCCCGACATGGTGCCCGTGGACAAGGGTGTGATTCGAGCCACGGCCTGTTTCAGGGACGGCTTGTCCAGATGAGTCTGGAGGTGGAACTCGATCTTCACGGTGCTGGCATAGTTCACCACGGCCACCCGGGTGGCCGCCGCCCCGATGTCCAGCGTGTCAATGATCTGGGAGACAAAGGTCTTCACCTTGGTGAACTCCAGGGGCCGGACGCTTCGAGAACTATCGATGATGAACACCAAGTCCAAGGGCCTGCTCTGGCAAACACCTGCGAAAAGAATGTGGGGACTGAGATTCCTGCAATGGTCAGACCGCATCAGAAGTGGCGCCAGCCTCACGCCAGAGAACACCAGGGTGGGAGGCCAGACCTGGCAGCTCCCTAACCCCAAACACCCCGCTTGTCTGGATCTCCCCCAAAACTCTTCTCCCTTTGGATGTGAAAGGACAGAGGCCCTCAGAATCCCGGAGGTGTGAAGTCTCCCCAAATATTTCACCTCTGGGCCACGTCCTGAAATTGTACTTAGAACTTCATCCCTCTGCTTACACTTTGTACCCAAGGTTCTTCTTGATTCCTGAGAATGAAAGGATTCCAGACCTATTTTAGGCATCTTGGCCATCTGAGGAGCTAGGACAAGGTGTTCCTGAGGAGGTAGAAGGTGAGCTCCGGGCCCGCCTCTCGCCCGCACAGGCTGCAGGGCCCTCAGGCAAGGGCAGAGTCTGAGGAAGGTGCGCTGTGCTAGGCTGTGGCTTCCTCCACTTCCAAGACGATGAAAACTGCTCCAGAGGGATCCTAAATTCCCCTCCACCTCCTCATTCACTCACATTTAGTGTACTTTGGGGCCCAACTAGCTTTGAGCTAGTTGAAAACAGAATGGGGGATGCAATGTAATCTGATGTGTATTGCTCTATTTCAATCTTGCAAGTGTATCTTATTTTGAGAAGCAGAGACTGTGACCTGATATTTATCCTTCTGGCTCCCCCCACCCCAACTCTCTTAATCACCTCTTTAACTCCTTCCTTCACTATTTTTTTAGGGTATACCACACAGTAAGTCCTGGGCTACATAAGCAAATAACTGATTCCCTGCCATTAAGAAACAGGTATCTTAGAATATTTTTATTACCATCTCCTCTTTCTTATAACCCTCCCTCCAATCTTGTTCTACTCCTCCCTATTCCAGTCACCAAAATCAAGTCCAAAAGTCAGAGTGGCTAAGAGAGAAACCTGCTATTGAATTTCTTTTTCTTTTTTTTTTAATTTATTTTTATTTATACAAGAACTGGGGTACAGGCCAGATGCACAGGAGGGTGAGAGGATTCACCAGAGACAGAGCGGGTAACAGAACAGGCAGACTGATGAAATACACTGCTGAGGGGAGCAGCGGGCAAGACAGAAGAGGTCTGCTCACCATGGGGGTTGCTCAGAGGCCAGCGGGGATCGAACTGGCGCTGCAGAGGCTGCGGACAGCTTCACAGTGCTGCGCTCAACCGCCTGCGCCACAAGGGAGGCCTTGAACTACACACACACACACACACACACACACACACACACAATCTACTCAGGGAGTGGAGAAAAGACAGACTCAAAAGAAAATCCTAGGCTAAGCAGGTTGTGACAAAAGTCCTTTCTGGAACAGGAATATACCTGCATATAGTTTCTTTTAAAAAACTGAAAATCAGGGCCTCCCCAGTGGCGCAGTGGTTGAGCGCTGGGTTGCGAAGCTGCCTGCAGTCTCTGCAGCGCTGGTTTGATCCCTGGCCATTGGGCGAGGGTCCCACATGGCGCGCAGACCTCTCCTGCTGCCCGCTGCTCCCCTCAGCAGTGTACTTCGGTCCTTCTGCCTGCTCTGCTCCCCGCTCTGGCTCGGTGAATTCTCTCACCCTCCTGTGCTTCTGACTGTACCCAGTGCTTGTAGAAATAAATAAATAAATCTTTAGAAATAAAATAAAATAAAAAACTGAAAATCAGCGTCATGGTTTTATCCTGCTGCCTGGTGGTATCCAATTATGAAAATAAACAGTCTCCCACTTCCATGAACACTGGAGATAACTGGGTGTCTGTGAAAGCAGAGGTTCAAGGTGTTTTATACCCATTTGACAGGTGGGAAACCTGAGGCCCAGGGAATGGCAGAGCAGAAGCTGGGCTCCAGGACTCTGCCTTACAGCCCAAACAGGCTTTTCACTGGCTGGTTGCCTCTCTCTTTGAGGCAACATTTTCCCCCACAAAAATCAACATTATCTCATGTACTGGGTTAATATACTGCTGGTTGACTTTGAGCCATCAGCCTAAAACAGGCCCTATGTCATGTATTTAGTTAAGTCAAAAGGAATTAAGTTTTTTTATTTTTAACAACTCTAGCATTTCACCTCATCCCTTGATTACTATGTCTCAGGAGCAAGAAAGAAACAGGTTGAAAATCCTTCTTGGAGCTGGATCTAGACATTTTGGTATAATTGGAGTAAAAGACAAAATACATGATGCTATGAACCCGTGTCTGAAAATGTCTTTGTTAACACCCAGTGGTGTCCTTACCAATGCCAGGGTTATGTTCTTCCAAGAAATGGGTCTGACTCTAGGGAGAGTCCTCTAGGGAAAGTTCATGGGGTGTGGTGGGTAGAACAATACCACCCCCCAAAATGTCCATGTCCTGCTCCCCAGAATCTGCTCCTTTACATGGCAAAAGAGACTTTGCAGGTGCATCGAGAGGGTGGAGAGCGACCCTGGATTATTACAGTGGGCCCAGTGTAATTACAAAGGTTGATAAAATTGAAGGGGCGAGGCAGAAGACGGGATCAGGGAGGGGGGTGACATGTGAGGACTCAACCTGCCTTTGGTGCATTTGAAAGCGGATGGGAAAGGTTATGAGCTCAGAAATGAGGGTGACCCCTAAAAACCAAAACTGGCGAGGAAATGAATCTCCCCCACATCCCTCAGGAACACAGCCCTGCTAACATCTGCATTTTCCCAGTGACACTAGCGCCAGACTTCTGACCTATAGATCTCTCAGATAATAAATGTGTGTGGCTTTTAAGCCACTGAGATTGTGGTACTTTATTACAGCAGGAAATAAAAAGCTAACCCAGGGGCCTACCTTGGATCGCGGGAGCTTCTGGTACTGCCTGATTTCAACCCCTCAGCAACATCAGTCATCATTTTTGAAACTCGCTCTAATTTACTAGAAAGCAGCACTTTGATTCTCAGGAATGAAGTGCGAATCTGAATTTCCTAAAACGATGCTGCACTCACAATATTGCCACCTTCTGATAGTGCTGCTAGAAATAAAAGTCCGTGCCAAGCTCAAAAGTCTCTTGCGGCAAAGGGAGGGAATTTGGAGCAGGGTGGAATGTGGTACTTATTAAAGGGTTAGCCTTCATTATTGGGGTGAATTCCAGGTAGTGATGAACCAGTGCTGCTTAGGGGCAAGTGGCCATCCCAAGCAGAATCTCCCTCCCTCTTCTGGCAGCTCCTGGGGTGTCCTCCTGTCCTCACACCCAGGACTCCCCACCCTGAATTCTGCCCTAAATCCTAGTAGGCAGAGGCAGCTCCGGGACTGGGGAGCACAGGGAGTCCCAAGCGGGGGAGACAGAGGGAGGCACTTCCAGGCCGGGTGCATTCAGCTGAACGGAGAGGTAGGGCCAGGGGCAGATTTGGGAGGTGGCCCCATATTCCACAGCTCCCCAATGCTCCCTGCCCAGACTGCAGGGGGCAGTGACCGGCGTTTGAGCCTCACGAGACTCCAATCCCAGCCCTGCCTTCTCAGGACTCAGTTTCCCCCGCAGACCTCCCCGACAGGGGTCCTCCGTCCTGGCTCCGGGGTCTGGAGGGGCAGGAGCTGGGCCCCGGGGGCCGTGCTCCCCTCCGCCGCTCCACGCGCGGCCCACCCGGCCCTCCCCGTGCTCGTCTCGGGGTCCCCCTACCTGCGCCCCCTCCGGAATGGGGCTCGCGGGCGGGGGCGGCGGGCGCGGGGCGGCGCCCGGGGCTGCCCTGGGGTCCGCGCGCCCCCCAGCTGCGGACGCCGGGCCGGGCCAGGGGCCCGGGGGCGGCGGGGGGCGGCAGCAGCAGCAGCGGCCAGAGCAGCGGCAGGAGCCCGGGCAGGCGGCGCGCCATGGTCCCCGAGTCCGCGGTCGCGGGGGCCGGCCCCGCGCCGATTTAAAGGTCCCGCGGCCCTGGGCCCGCCCCGCCCTCCGGGGGGGCCGCGGGGGACCCCGCCCGGGCCCACAAGGAGCCTTGTCCGCGCATTCCGGCGGCAGCCCCGGAATGTCTGGGGCGAGCCCGCCCGCGGCGCGGGCCCCGACCCCCCCAGCCCGCCCGCCGCGCCCCTGGGTGGGCCCGGCCCGGCCTCCTGCGGCGCCGGCGTCCCTGGAAAGGGGCCCCTCTGCACCCCCTCGCCCGCCCGCCGGCAGCCGCGTCCCCTGCGGCCCTGTGGGGACCCCCGGGCGCGCCCCCTGCCGCCCCCCGCTGGCTTGCCGCCAGCCTCACGCCGCTCCTCACCCGCGCGCCGCGCCCCAGCCAAGTCCCACAGTTTGCTGTGGGCTCTGGTTTCAAAAAATAATAATAAAAATCCTCAGCGTCTAGCAGCACGAACAGGGGAGCTTTCATCCCAGCTTCAAACGTCCATAAACATGGGAACCTGCAGGACTGGGAACAGAAAGTCAAACACACGCCCCAGAGAGCCCCCTGTGCGCTGCAAGGACAGCTGGGGCCCGCAGCGGCTTCAAAGGCCCCCCTATAACCCATCTCCTCTCCCAAAGGGCCATGTGGCAGCACTGGGCTGGAGGCCCCCCACCCCCAGCACTACCCCCACCCCATCACTACCCCCACCCCGTCACTACCCCCACCCCATCACTACCCCCCCATCACTACCCCCACCCCGTCACTACCCCCACCCCATCACTACCCCCCATCACTACCCCACCCCATCACTACCCCCACCCCATCACTACCCCCACCCATCACTACCCCCACCCCATCACTACCCCCCCATCACTACCCCCACCCCATCACTACCCCACCCCCATCACTACCCCCACCCCATCACTACCCCCACCCCATCACTACCCCCACCCATCACTACTCCCACCCCATCACTACCCCCACCCCATCACTACCCCCCCATCACTACCCCACCCCATCACTACCCCCACCCCATCACTACTCCCACCCCCATCACTACCCCCACCCCATCATTACCCCCCATCACTACCCCCACCCCATCACTACCCCCACCCATCACTACCCCCACCCCCATCACTAACCCCACCCCATCACTACCCCACCCCCATCACTACCCCCACCCCATCACTACCCCCACCCCATCACTACCCCCACCCCCATCACTACCCCACCCCATCACTACCCCCACCCCATCACTACCCCCACCCCCATCACTACCCCACCCCCACCACCCCCTCCAGGAACGCACAGCCCCTGAGCTGGAAGCAGCTGCAGCCGTGCCCCTCTCTCAGGGAACCTGGGGCCTGTGGGAAACAGGCTGGCTGGCTCTGCCCGGCAAGGAGGCTCCTAAGAGCAGGTGACTTTTGAGCTGGATCTCAAAGGCCAGGATGGACGTGCTTCCCACAGACCTTATGTGGCCTCCCTGCTTGTGGACCGCGGCCCTTTCACAACCGCTCTTCACACCATAAGCGGAAAGTCACTTCTCTCCTTAAACCTGGCACCTTCACCTCCAGTGAAATTCAAACTCTTTTTCGTGACCAGCAAGGCTCATCAGGATTCCCCCAAGCCTGCTTCTTCCACCCTTCCAGATGTTATATGAGCTACTTGGTCCAGGGTTGCTTATGGGTGGTGCAGCTGCACATTCGTGGCCACCATATTGATTTTAACAAGTGGCAATCCACTTCGATAATGGCAGTGAGGTATCCTGAGGAATGGATGGCTTTGTCACTTGCACTTTGAGCTATAGTGAGTTGGTTTATGCCCTTAATATATCATTTTCTGCTTATTCTATCCAGAGTGGGTTCTGCTGTTTGCAACTAAGAATCTTATCTCGATTTTATAATTTTGTCCTCTGGGTGCCATTAGGGGGCATTGTAGCAAAGAGTTCAAAATAAATCAAATATCTCAGCTCCCTGGTGAATGACAGCAGATTCAGAAGACTTCAGACTCAGGCATATAGAGACCTAGGTCTCTAACTTTATGCAGGAGATTGAGGGTTCAGCAGAGCTCCCCCTGAACAAGTTGAGAGTGTCCAAGTCTATGGATGCATTGGATGCATCTTCTTGCATCTCATAAAGAAAAAACAAGACAAGGTGCTTGGACGACAAAAATAATTCTTTCTCATAAACAATTCAGGCCAAATGAAAGTCTTTTCTTTTAAAGGGCACTTACTTGCTGTGTGACTTTTTGCTATTAAAATTCACCTGAGTAGGGCCTCCCTGGTGGCGCAGTGGTTGAGCGCTGGGTTGTGAAGCTAGATCCCCGGCCACCGGGCAAGGGTCCTCTCCTGCCCCCCGCTGCTCCCCTCAGCAGTGTACTTCGGTCCTTCTGCCTGCTCTGCTCCCCGCTCTGGCTCTGGTGAATTCTCTCACCCTCCCGCTCTTCTGACTGTACCCAGTGCTCGTATAAATAAATAAATAAATCTTGAAAAAATAAAAAAATAAAACAAAATTCACCTGAGTAAAACTCAACGCAGTATGCAAAAAGAAACACATTAGGTGGCTTATAAATTGTATTGTCGCCTCCATTTTTTCAGTGGGGCAGGGGTTAGTGTGAGGCTAACTGGGGAGAGTCACGATGCTAGTCATTCTTCTAGAATAAGCAGAAAACCTGAGAATTAAAGCTAACCTTGTGTCCTGACATCTGTGGCAGTTTACAGTACCAGATTTTCAGCGACATGAGAGTCGCTCGGGATTGAAACAAGTTGGAAGGCAATGTTGACTGCTCTGGAAAAGAAAGGGCCCTTTCTGAAACATAGATGGCACATTTTTATTATCACCAGTAAGTTCTGAAAAGTAGTTAGTGACCTACTAGTATCCATTGATATTTCGAACTCACAATGTTTCTATTCAAATTAATGAAATTAATATTTGAAAAGAGCAGCTCAAAGCAATGTTATTTCCTTCTATAAGATAATTATTAACTTTAATTGCTTTATTGTACAGGTATTGCATGAGGGTTAAGTTTCACTAGTTAATAAAAAATAAAATATCAAGTCAACCAATTTACTGGTAATCAATGTAATATCTTCCTCAGCAGCCTTCCCTGAAGCCATATCTTAAATTAGTTTTTTTCAAATTTATTTTCACCATTATCTATGGTAAAGCTCTATTTCATGAACTGAGAGCTACACAAATATTTAATACATGTGCATGACAGAAATGATAGTTTTGTGAAACAATATTTACACTTACCACTAGAGTGGAACAACACTAATGTTTTCCTTATTTTACTCAACTCCATTCAGTTCTATGTTAGTTCTTTTAAAATATCTGATCATGTAAACAGCTGGGACTACATCAAATTAAAGAGCTTCTGTACAGCAAAAGAGTCAATAACCAAAACAAAAAGACACCCCACGGACTGGGAGAAAATTTTTGCACACAACACTAATGATAAAGGACTGATCACAAAAATCTACAAAGAGCTGATGAGACTCAACAAAAACAAAGTAAACAACACAGTCAAAAAAAAAAATGGGCAGAAGAGCTAAAAAGAAACTTCTCTGAAGAGGAAATGCAAATGGCCAAGAGGCATATGAAAAAATGTTCAACATCACTTGTCATCAGGGAAATGCAAATCAAAACTACCATGAGATACCATCTCACACCAGTGAGAATGGCACATATTAAAAAAACTAGCAACAACAAATGTTGGCGAGGATGTGGAGAAAAAGGAACTCTTGTGCACTGTTGGTGGGAGTGCAAACTGGTCCAACCACTATGGAGAGCTGTGTGGAGATTTCTGGACCTACTAAACATAGAGCTTCCATATGATCCAGCAATTCCACTCCTAGGTATTTACCCAGAGAACACAGAATCACTAATTCAAAAGGGCAGCTGCACCCCTATGTTTACAGCAGCCCTGTTTACAATAGCTAAGCTATGGAAACAACCCAAATGCCCAAAAATAGATGACTGGATCAAGAAGATGTGGTCCATATACACCATGGAATATTACTCAGCATTCAAAAAAGATAAACACATGCAATTTGCAACAACATGGATGGCGCTGGAAGGGATCATGCTCAGCGAAATAAGCCAGAAAGAAAAAAATACCAGATGGTCTCACTATAGCAGGAATTTAGAAATCCTAAATAAAGTAAAAATCAAAATCAACAAGCAACTATAAACCAGAGACACACTACAGGAGGGGAAAAGGGAGTAGAATCAAAACAAGGAATTGTACGGGGAATATAACCAAGACGAAAATGCATACATTGTGCAAAATGAAAAATGATGTAAAAAACATACAAAATTAAAAAACCAAAAATAAATAAATTATTAAAATAAAATAAAATATCTGATCATGAACATCTAAATAGAGTTCATGATTCACTTATGTTTTCCAGCCAACAGTTTGAAAAACCGGGGTCAAGTAGACTCTTTCTTGCCCTCTCTGCCTTCCAGTCTATTCCAGCTTCCTGTTCTTCCCTTCTGTAAGCCTCAATCTGTAATGATTTGGGATACCTGAGATTTGATCATTTCTGCCCAGGGGAGGGCGGACACCTGTGTTCACTGCTGAATTCAGGCAAATTCTCCCCAGCTGGGGAGCTGCTACTGGACACCTGCACAGATACCAGGACACAGGAACAGGGTGCGCAGTGGTGGGGCAGAGACTTCCAGAAACACACGATCATGGAGCAGACCTGACCGCCAGTCCAGCCTTGGCTGGGTGGCAAGCATGGAAAGACAGAACAGGCGCGCCTTCCAAGAGGCCCCGATGCTGCACACGGTGGCGCTCAGCGGCGCCCACTGGCGAAGGTGGTGGTGGGCCAGGTGCTGGGCGTGGGCTCGCGCTGCCTCCCCCTCTGCAGAGCTGGTCCTCACCACCTGGCGACACCTCCCCTCACCACCTGGCAGCTCCTCCCGGGAAGCTCCAGCAGGAGGCACTGCAGCAGAGTGGTCTTTTTAGCACGTTTGCATGTAGGCGTG